CGGACGCACGTTGCCCTCTGTAGATCACCCAGTGGGGTGATTGTGAGTGCACCGAGCCCCGCGGTAAACATCGAGACGTATTTGTATCCATGCCGTGCGCGCGTGCGAGGGTGGCCTCGAGGGCTCATCGTGGTCAAAAGCAAGATGATCGCCGCGCCGGGAGTCGGCAAAGCGGAACCTTCGTCATCGTCACTCCCGGCGACGACCCTAGAATCAATCCCCTCGCCCTGCCCACTGACGCTTCTTCCGTTAACGGTCACCACCACGTTCACATAAGTTTTCCGGTTCCTCGCTCTTCCGCTTCGTATAAATGTGGCCACTTCCGATTATGCTGGACTCCGTCCGTCTTTTGACAATCAAACACCCTACGTGAATACCCACCAACTTCACATACCCTCACCGTCATGCCTGCCGTACGTGAATTCTATATCCCGCAGTCCCTCGTCCGTCTGACGGTCCGCGCAGATCACGCACATCCTCTTCGACTGCGACAACACGCTCGTGCTATCCGAGCACATCGCCTTCGCGGCATGCGCCGAGCTCTCGAACGAGCTTCTCGAGAAGTACGGCAAGGAGCACCGCTACACGCCCGAGGCTGCACTGCACGAGTTCGTCGGCAAGAATTTCCGCACCATGCTCGGCGAAGTTCAGCAGAAGCACGGCTTCACCATGCCGCCCGAAGAGATCGACGCATACGTCGCGCGCGAGCTCGGTGTCGTCATCGCGGGCCTGCGCGCTAATGCGAAGCCGTGCGAGGGTGTTCCTGAGACGCTGGCACGGTTGAAGAACGAGAACAAGTACAAGCTCGCGGTCGTTTCCAGCTCGGCGCTGCCTCGCGTCGAGGCGAGCATCGAGGCCGTCCAGATCGACCACTACTTCCCGTCCGGCACCGTCTTCAGCGCCATGAACTCGCTTCCCGTGCCAACATCCAAGCCCGACCCCGCCGTTTATCTCTTCGCTTGCGAGAAGCTCGGTGCAACACCCGCAGCATGCGTTGCGATTGAGGACAGCCGCTCAGGCGCGACGGCGGCGCGCCGTGCAGGGATCACGCTCATTGGCTACGTTGGCTGCTATGACGATGCTGAGGAGCGTACGCGCATGCGCGACATCCTCAACGAAGTGGGCGCTGTAGCTATCCTGGAGCACTTTGACCAGCTTGAGGAGGTCATGAAGAAGATCGAGGCCGCTTGATCATCTACATCCGCATGTGTATAGACTTCTTGGCATAGACGGACTACGCGCATATAGAGCTTATAATGTAGACATAGAAGGATAGAGATATATGCAGAGCTTGCATGTATCAACCCACGACATACGCCGGAGCACTCCTCGCTGGAGATAGCAATCCGGTTCTGGCATAACTTGTATGTGGACCCCTTGGTTTGGAGTCCGTAATACGTGTTGGATTGGGCCGGCACAAGCGCGAGCACAAGCTTTTGAACCCTATTCTTCAACATGAGCTATATCCGAGAAAGACTCAATTACACATACGTATACGAGGAGGCGCGATGCGTCCTCAAGATCCTCCCGTACAAACCCTGATACGTGGATGTGAGATCATCACCAATCCCCGCGTAAGATACTGTAGCAGCTCGGTGACCCGTATCTTTTCTGACGGCTTGGGCGCCTGTGTGATAGCTATCCGGCCGGCACATGATGATAATACGAGTGTCACTGAGAGACCGTCCGGTGTCAATGGCGTTGCAGCGCGTCCATTGCTGAAGAACCAGATGGTCGTTAGGCGAGATCTGCTGCGGGGCGTGCACAATCAGTACCAGTCTATCGAAGAGAAGGACAAACGATGAACGCGGTCAGAGCGTATGGAAAGACGCAAGGATCGTGATCCTGAGGGTATGCCATTGCCAACGACCTCGTGAGATGGGAGGTGCCACACATATGCGATCGCGTGACTTACTGCCAACTACGATAGTTCACGTCCTCGGTGCGAGCGGCGGAGACATGGTCGGGCAGGAGAGGGTGGTTGATAAGGCAGACCGGGGAGCCCAGACTCGGGTTCTCTTGTGCAGTACATAGCTGGTACATAGCGCACTCGGTGGGAAAACATCATCGTTTGTGGCCTTACGGGTCCACAGTGCTTCGTCTTACGGTACCGCAGATCCGGTATCGAGACTAAAAGATGCATTTGCGGCAGGTAAACCGAGACACATGCGCTCACCTCTCTTGGGAGAAGAACCTCCCTTCAGCTAAGCTCAGTGCAATGAGCAGCGTACTCGTGCAAGACCCGGAAGGATGACCACTGTGGCTACAAGCCGCTCAGACAGCCCAACCTACGACCGATGCTGAGTCGACTTCCGGCTCACCGAGCTGCGTCCAATTGAGCAACGAGACTATACCGGAATAGGCTTCGGGACTGCTCGTATACCGTACGCAATGAGGGGCGCAGCGAGGGCACACGCGAGTCCGGGGGAAGACCGTATCGTGCGCAGACAGGTTCGAACCAGTTCGACTTACGACGACTACTTCTTTGGCCTAGCCGTGCTCGAACATAGCGTGATCGCATAGGTCACTCACCCTCGCCAATGGAAGTGGGATTTCTTTGTAGTGAGAGCGGGAAATACGTGGGAGCATGCAGAGAAAACATGTGGCAGAGTAATAGTAATTAATGTAGCGTCATGATCATTGAGTGGGCTGCGTTTTGAGCTGAAGACAGCATCAGTAGAGTCCTCATTCAACATCATGCACCCACACCTGAAGTCCATGGATCCCTTCAATCTCCCTCTTCAGTGCGTCATTCACCAGTCGATGTTGTTTTATTGTCGAAAGGCCCTTGAAGGCATCGCTGGTTATTGCGATTGCATAGAATGACCCACACCCGCCTGCAATATTGGTTCGTGAGAAATTGAGGTGTATGAGTGCTGTACGCGCGCACCTGACACGTCCTGGACATTGAGAGCAGATGGTTGGAATCGCTCTGCAAGCTTCGAGAATATATTTCTCTCCCCCTCATCCAGGTCTGGTGGTGGAGCCACGCTATATGCGCGTAGTAATGGTCTTGAGAGCAGGCCGGAAGCGACAGTGCGACGCGCTGCGAGTGCAAACATGATGGATTTGCGCAAGACGCGTCGGTGCTGACGGGGCCTGTGCCAGACGCGCTTGCTGACGGAGGAGCGGGGATAATTGGCCACGCGAAAGCACGTCCGAGCGTTCCGCGCCGCCGGCTGCCGCGTCGATGCGCGTCGGGGATCCAGAGCTGGCCAGAGACCCAATGACGGTCCCGGCATAACAGCGCGCACCCAGCGGCTCTTGCTCTTGACCGCCACCATGTTCACTGCTCTGTTCGGCGGCGCAGTGCGCGCTGCTCAGCGCACGCATTCACCCTTGCTCCGGCTGTCGGCCCGCGGCGCGCATACACAGAGTCGCATCCTCTCCGCGCTTCCCCCATCTCTACGATTCTCTGCGCGGCCGACCGTCAATGTACACAAATCGGCTCGTGGCGTCGCTACGCGCGTCCGGTTCTTTACCAGCACTCGTCTGGCTTCTCAGGCACCCGTTTCGCCCTCAGATGCGCCGGTACCCCCATATACACTCTCCAACCCGGCCGTCGGTGGCTGGTTGATGCTCTGCTCTGCTATGGTCTTTACTGTCGTCGTGGTTGGAGGCATCACCCGCCTGACCGAGTCCGGGCTGAGCATCACCGAATGGAAGCCTGTTACAGGTGTCATTCCCCCGCGCGGTGCAGAGGAATGGGAGGCAGAATTTGCAAAGTACAGGGAAACGCCAGAATACAAGATGTACGTTTCACCCTGTCAATGTGATTCGTACCCGACTAACTGACTCGGCAACAGGCTCAACGCTAACATGACGGTCGAAGAGTTCAAACAGATCTTTTTCTGGGAATGGAGCCATCGCGTCCTCGGTCGTCTCATCGGTGTAGCATTTGTCGTCCCGCTCGCGTACTTCACTGTTCGCAATCGCCTCTCGCCCGGACTCCCTCTCCGTTTAGCGGGTCTGTCCCTGCTTCTCGGCGCTCAGGGTGTTATCGGATGGTACATGGTCAAATCAGGGCTCGAAGAGGAGATCCTGCATACACCTGGAGCGGTACCGCGTGTCAGCCAGTACCGGTTGGCGACACATCTCGGCGCGGCATTGGCACTCTACGTCGGCATGTTCTACACAGGATTGAGCATCATCAAGGACTGGAAGTTCGCGAAGAACGGTAGCTGGGGTGGATACAAGCCCGGCAATTCGCAATGGGCCCGCGATCTGCAGAGCACCGTTCTGCGCAACTTCAAACGTCGCGCTGGGGCTTTGACAGGTCTTGTGTTCCTGACTGCTCTCTCAGGTACGTGCAAATGTCTATACCAATTGATTGAAGCTCATCGACGCTGTTCAGGTGCTTTCGTCGCTGGTCTTGACGCGGGTCTGGTGTACAACGAGTTCCCGTATATGGGAGAGAATATCGTACCGCCCACGGATGAACTTTTCTCTCCCAACTATGCCGCGAAAGACGGTACACAGTGGTGGCGCAACCTGTTCGAAAACCCTACGACTGTGCAGTTTAATCATCGTGTTTTGGTGAGCCACCAGCTGGCATGAGATGGAGACGTCGTTGTTGACCGTACGTTCTTAGGCGGTAACTACCTATGCCTTAACCGGTGCTTTCTGGCTCGCGACGCGTCGCAAGCTTGCTTTGCCACCATCCGTCAGGCGAGCGACGGCCGTCGCATTCGCGATGGCCAACGTGCAGCTTACGCTCGGTCTCACCACGCTACTATACATGGTGCCTGTGCCACTCGCGGCCGCTCATCAAGCGGGCAGTGTCGCACTTCTGTCAGCCGTTATCCATATGCTCATTGCTGCACGGCGACCCAGCGCAGCGGCGCGTGCATGGCGCATGTACAATGCAGCAGCAGCGTCGACAGCCCCGAAGACGGCAAGCGCTGCGGCTTCGGCATCGGCTGGAGTCAAAGCGGCGCTCGCCGGTGCGCCAAAAGCCGCCTTGGCTTGAATCCTCGGCGAGGATTATTGCTTTCTCTGGTCGTATCATACATTACGCTCAATCTGTAATCTGCATACCTATTAGTCACTCGGGACCTACATCACCTCTTCGAAACATCTACGTGCCGCGCAACGAGATGGATTGCAACTAGAATACAATTTGCCGAAGAAACAAGAAGTCCGTATCTACTCCTGCATCTGTACGTCCTCACCACCAGTTGGTGCCTCCGCGGCAGCAGGTGCGGGTTCTGCGGGCGCAATGCCCATCGCCTCCTCCTTCGAGAGCATAGTATCCAGGTAAACTTGAATGGGCTCGCCCTCCAGGATTCGGAAGTCGCCAGCCGCGGATTCGCCACTCTCCTCGTGAGGGCCGGCGGGGCCAAGGATCCCAATGGAAGTGTTCTTGATAGTGAGCTCCTTGTCCTGCTGCAAGGTCTCTCGCAGTGCGTGCAAGCCATGGCGGATGAGATCGTCCAGTTCGCCTATAGTCTGCATAAGCGCAAGAACAGTGACATACGACAGCGCCACATACAGTCCACAAACTTCTCATAATGCTTCTCCAGATATGTCTTTGCACTTTGACTGCGTGCGCCGATGGACATGGCGTAGTACTCGAACGAGGTGCCGGACGGAGAGAATTCGTAGAGATGTGGGCCGGTGTGATCATGTCCAATAACAAGGAAACCGACACCGTATGGCCTGCGGCCATATTCTTGTGTGTTCACCTGCGCCTCTGGAACATTCACGTCAGCTTAGCTGTTCGTATGATCAAAATGTTGATGCCCTCACTATCGGCGATGGCAGATACAAGTCGGTTTACGGGTACGGGCCGGTTAAATACCATCTTTGACGCCATGGCCTGCTGCCGCATGAAGTTGCTACAGCGAACGGTTAGCATGGAACATGATACGTATACGAGGTACACATACCTCAAGACGCGTGCATCGGATGTCAAACCGGCGATCGCGATACCAACATGGTCGTCGATGCGGTACATCTTCTGCTGGTACGACGCGAGTTCACCAGTCGAACGCTATACACATATTATAAGACTGTACCACATTCAACGACATAACTTCCGCGCACCTTCAGACCCAGGATAATGGCATGTGTCTTGGATCGCAGCCCAACGGCTGCTGAACCCTGCTTCACGGCCTCGAGCGAGTACTCGACTTGATGTAACCGGCCTTGCGGCGAAAAGACGGTGTTGTCCGAGTCGTAGGTGTTGCGGAACTACTGTTCATTAGATAATTACGCGCTGCGAGGTATAGATCGCGCACCATGGTGGATGGAGGGAGACCTGCGTGAACGCGACCTCGAGACGCGCACGCGTACGCGTCTCGCGCTGACGCGTCGAAACGCGCGCCTGGACTTGACCCCCATGTTGGGCAATCAGATATCTCTGCGCTGTGGCGAATTGCGCCTCTGTCGTGGCTCTGTAATGGCGCATGTATCAAGGACGCTATCCTTTGGGACTAGAATCTGGTCCATGTGTAGAGTCTAAGTGTGATCGCATCCACTACTCTTGCATTTCGTGGACCGCGTGCATGTCATACGGCGCTCTACCAACGGCAAACGCAGACTACAGAGACACGAGGAACATGATGATCTACTACTCTATGAGTCCAACGACCGACGCAACCTCCAGAACGTCTTGTACTCCCGCTGGGTTGCCCTCCTGCGGAATTGCCGTAGGGACGCGTCGTCTCCGGCGGCTTTCGAGCCGTCCTCTTGCAGAGATCTTGATCTCGGGACATCCACATGCTCGAGCGACAACTCGTAATTTGACGGATGCATGGCCAAAGATACGAGTGGATGCATACCTTCTTCGCAACTGGCTGTATAGTATATATACTAATGGGCCTTATGGGAAGGATAGCATCGACCAAGATGAGCTTCAACATCGACCCCAACCCTCCGGTAGCCACCCATCATGAGTGAGTACATGCTCTATCAACCTGTACCCGCTGTCTCTATCTAATACCTCCCGTTCAGTATCTATCCCGCAATCGATCCGACTGCTGCTTTCACCGGGAAGACGTACACGAGCAAGACCGTGCTCGTTACCGGGGCATCCCGAGGCATTGGACAGATAATCGCCTTGTTCTTCGCCAAGGCAGGCGCAGATGTTGCTCTCACCGCTCGCTCCAGTCTCGATGAGACCGTCGCGCTGATCAAGAAGAGTGTACCCGACGCCAAGATCTTGACGTTCGCCGCGGACGTCAAGGACGCCAGCCGCTCCGAAGAAGTTGTTGAGCAGGTTGTCAAGCAGTTCGGCCACCTCGACATACTGGTGGCTAATGCCGGAACCGCCAACGCGATGGGCAAACGTAGGCATTTTCATCTCATCTCTGCGATATCGACCGCTCATTGGACCTGTAATGACAGTCATGGGTGATCAAGATGCTAACGCTTGGTGGAACGTTGTTGAAACGAATGTCCTTGGTACGTCCAAGACTTACATTAGTCTATCGTCGATCGCTGACATGTTCTGAAGGTGTCTACTCCTACGTTAGGTGAGCCAAGCGATGACCTCGCTCTGTCTCTCCACTCACCATTATCCAGACCTTCTCTGAAGCACCTTTCCAAGACGTCCGGATACGTTCTGATCCTCACCAGCGTTGGCGGCATTGCCCGCTTCGCCACTGGGTCCGACTACCTGATCAGCAAACACGCTATAATCCGATTGGCCGAACTCATCGCGCTCGAGTACCCCAGCGTCAAGGCCGTGTCTATCCATCCCGGAGGAGTCTTGACCCAGCTCTCGGCGGGGAGTGGGATGCCCAAGGAGACGTTCGTAGATACTCCAGAGCTCGCTGCCGGAACAGCCCTCGCTCTCACGTCCGGAAGGTTTGATTGGCTGAGTCCGCGCTACATCGACGCGTCTTGGGATCTGGGCGATATCGAAAAGCTGAAGGACGCCATCGTAGCGAAAGACGCTTTGATCAACAAGTTAGCCCTGCCTTAATGTACCTGTATAGATAGTGCTTGCACGATAACAGCGATGTAGAGTCTATGAGATTGATAAATTAAGTCCTAGACGGAGTCTGGTAGCCTACCGTGACAGCAGTATCGAGGTCCGCACAACACCACATCGACCGGAAAGCTCCATATTTATTTCAGCATCGGAGATTGCCGACGGAGATATCCGTGGTTTCCCTTGTTCCGGATCCGCACGCGGTAGACGACGCCGTAGATCTTCTTTTTAAGCGATGACATGCCATTTCACGCCGCTATGGGAAGATTGTATTGCCTAGCTTCTCGTCATGAGCTCGAACATGGAGAACAACAGCCGTCTGGGGTAAGCTTCTGCCTTGATCAATGGTAGCCCTCGCCAGTATATGACCGCAATGGGACGTCAGCATCACCAGCTGCAGTCGGCGGTCGGGTGTGGTGTTTCATGTATGATATCGCTGCCTGCATGAGAGAACCTGTCTCCCTAGAGCTGCCCTTGAAGCCCTTGGAGGAATGACGGAGGGACGGTAAGCCAAGCGTCAGAAGCTCTATCGTATGTCGTGAACAAAGGGTACACCTAATCAAGCAGCATGTCGAGTCGGGGCGATATATATGAAGGGCGACGGTCTGTTGACCTCGTTCGCCCCCGAAGAGTCTTCATTTCACCCCGAGCGAACACGAGTGGAACATGCAGGTCAAGGTAGACCCCAGTCTTTCGGTCACCAAACGCAGCGAGTACGTTCGTCTCGAATGTCCACTACTACGACTAGCTCACGAGCGCTCCAGCATCTATCCTGCCATAGATCCTGCGTCTGCCTTCGCCAATAAGACTTTTGCGGGAAAGACGGTGCTCATCACCGGGGCTTCCAGGGGCATCGGTCAGAGTACCGCTGTCTTCTTCGCCAAAGCTGGTGCAGCCGTGGCGCTCACCGCGCGTTCGAGCCTTGATGAGACCGTCGCGCTTATTGAGAAAGAGGCGCCGGGCGCACAGGTTGCAACATTCACTGCGGATGTCAAGGATGTCCAGCGTGCGGACGAGGTTGTGGCGCAAGTTGTTGAGCAGTTCGGCGACCTGCACGTCCTGGTCGCGAACGCCGGCGCAGCCACTCCTCTTGGACAACGTACGTGAGGATGCCGCTCCACGCCTATATATCGCCCTGATTTATTGTCTAGTCATGGGCGATATAGACCCCAAGGTCTGGTGGAACGTTTTCGAGACGAATATATATGGTAAGTCGCCAGCACATCTAGTTGCGCGAGTTCAGAAGAGCTGATGGTCCTCGCCGCAGGCGTGTATTCTTACGTCCGGTTAGTAAAGCCTGATCTTCTGCCTGAATGAACTAAATATATTCGTCAGGCCTTCGCTGAAGCATCTTGCGAAGACATCCGGCCACGTCCTCATCGTTACGAGCGCGGCTGCTCACATGCGTCTCGCGACGACTTCAGACTATATCATGAGCAAGCAATCGTTGATCCGCATGGCGGAGCTCATAACGCTCGAGTACCCTAGTATCAAGGCAATGACCTATCACCCAGGAGGAGTCTGGACTGCGATGTCGGCTGCTAGTGGTCTGTCACAGGACTTCATGCAGGACAAGGTCGAGCTTGCTGCGGGCACGGCGCTCGCCCTTGCCTCGGGACGCTTCGACTGGCTCAGCTCACGCTATGTTGATGCAACGTGGGATCTAGAGGAGGTTGAGAAGTTGAAGGATGCGATCCTGGGGAAGGACGCACTGGTCTGTAAATTGGCTCTGCCTTGACCTACGACTGTTGCCTCGCGCGTCAATATAGCACTAGAATCGCGTCACGATACCTGTTGCCACATGTCGCATTTCATTCCTGCGCAGATGGCCGAGAATCACACTGCACGAAAGATGTTCTTGCTAATAGCAAACCATGATCAAGGACGTGAAGACTGAGAGAGAGGCTGCATAGGGGTTCATAGAAGCGCGCGGCAAGAGCCGCATGAATAGCGCGCGTAGCCGTAAACCGAGACCGTAACGAACGACGGCGGGGTTATCGAGTCGGAGATCAGGGGAATGGGGGTGATGTGATGCGTACAGAGTCCAATATCATAACAGAACCGAGTCCATAACGGCGCGCCCAAAGGTACAGGTAGCCTGACCAGTAGAGCGATGGAATGGGACGGAAAGAAAGTAAGATGGGGGACGAACGTCAAGCTCGTATAACATGTAATCAAGATGAGACAGAGATTCACGATCAGAAAATGGTGGATGTGGTGAGATGGGGGTTATACAGCGCAATCGCGCGGTCGAGCGGGGGTACAGGGGGGTGATAGAACATCGGAGGGTGGAGAAGGCAGAGGGTACGGCGGGTAGAAGCAGGTCCATGAGCGAAGGGGGAGGGTGCGAACGAGGGGTATTGGAGGCTCGAGATTGACACAGGGCGGGTATGAACAAGACCAGGAGGAAGGCGTGACGGGAAAGAGCGTAAGGATAGTACGATCGTGAGCGACATTGTGCCAGGCGACAGCCCGACATCATCAAGAATCGGCCAAGGCTTGTCTACAGCACAACCTCCCCCGAATTCGGACCACAATGGACGCCATGCGTGCCATTTCCTTTCTCGCGCTCTTCCTGCATGCGAGCACGCAGACGCGCCAGTTGACGCTCCTTGGGTACATAGCTTGGCGCCTTGATCTCCTGTGGTAGTTTGGGGCCGAACAGTGCCATGAAACCAGTACTGCCAGGCTCAGGTCCGACCTCTTCCTTGGGAGACCACACGGAGGGGAGGAAACTGCCAATGCCCCATGTGGAGCGAGAGCTCACAACCGGCGACCTAGACGTTGATGCAAGTTCTGTAAGAGCAAAAACAAGATGACAAGGTCAGCACATACTCGAGATAGTGCGGGGCGAAGGAGCGGTACCATGCTGCTGAGGCCGAGGTGCGATTGTTGGTGAGGGCGCCTGGGTGCTGGCGAGAGGCTTGCGGACGGTCGGCGCGGGAACAAAAGTCGGCTTGGCAGGTGCCGAAGGAGTGAAGCGACTGGGCTGAGGGATGAACGACGGACGCGTCTTCGGGCTGGATGTAGGGATAGAGACCGCAAGCGGCGCCGGAGGCGAACTCCGAGTGGTGGCGAACTTGCGAAGGGATGTTGAGCGCGGTATACCAGAAGGAGATGAAGCTGGGGACGCTCCACGACCGATAGAGCTCGGCGTGGACGGAGATGAGCTCAGTTCTTCGACATGTTTGGGTGTCTCGAAGTTGAAGGTAGTCTGGTTCTTGGGCGTGATCGTGGCGAACGTGAACGCCGCGTCTTCATCTTCCATCATGGGGATGTTGGCTGAGGCAGGAGTCGCCACGGCCGTCGAAGTCGGACTAGGGACCGGCGACGGCGGGTGTTGGAACTCGGGCGGAATCTCGAATGTGAACTTGATCCCACCCTCATCCTCCTCGCCGAAGAATTCGTCGTCCATATCGTCTTCACTCCCATCCTCATACTGGTCCTCCTCATCTTCGTCCTCCTCGGAGATCTTATCCAAAAACGAGGCAGTCGCGTCGAAGACCTCGACACCGACATCAGCTGGAAGAACGAATGGGGGAAACGATGCCGCTTCATCCTCGTCTGCCGTCGCGAACGGGTTACCGACACGCGACGCCGGTGCGTAGTCAACTGGTGGAGAGTTCTCCAGATCGTCTAGGCAGCCGAAGAAGCGGTCGACCTCATCCTGCGAATTGGTCTCTGGAGCGGCGACGACGCGCGTAGGGAATGCCCAGGCGCGTACAAGTGAGTGTCCCCGGGTATGTGTGTTGATAGTTGGCGTGGGCTTCGGTGTAGGCTCGGGAGCGTGGAACGAGCTCACACTGGAGCTTTCCGACACATCGTCGTCGACATATAGATCGTCATCGCCCTCGTCTTCGTAATGTTCAAGATCGTTATCTTCCTCGTCAATATAGTTCTGCTCGTCCACCTCTTCGACGGCGCCGAGTCCGAGTCCCTTAAGAGCAACGTGGTCGACGCTCTCGACATCGGTCGCCGAACTCTCCGAGCCGAAACTTTCCCAACGGCGCGGGCTAGGCGCAATGATCTGGGGAGGCTGCGGTGTCCCGAGAAGGTCGGCGCTCTCGAGTTCTCGCTCGAGAATCTCTCGGCGGCGAGTCTCCTCGGCCAGTAATGCGCGAAGACGGGAGGCTTCATCGAGCGCCTCTTGGCCCTTGCGGGCCTCCTCTTGTAGGAGAGCATGATGGCTTCGTTGCTCCTCGAGCTCCTGAGAGAGTTCAGCGTGCCGAGCTTGAAGCGACGCCGCGAGGGCAGCAGCCTCTTCCGCCTGACGCGCGACGGCACGCTTCTCAACTTCAAGTAGACCAACGCGCTCACGCGCGACCCATGCCTCGCGGCGCTCGACGTCGACGCGCTTCGCCAGTACCCCAGTCTGCTTCTCCAAGTCTGCGACGCGAGTACGCCATCCGGCGCAGTCCTTCTTCAACTCGTCACGCTCGGCTTTCAGGTCGGCAATGAGCTGGAGAAGCTCGTCTGATGGCTCAGAACAGGAAGAGTCCGAGACCATGGACTGAGGGCGCGAGCGACTCTTGAGCGCGCGCTCAAGGTCGGCGATACGCGTGAGAAGGACTGCATGAGACTTCGCGAGAAAGTGATGCTCGGTCTCGAGGCTGTGATTGTGCTCCTCAGCCTCGAGCGAGACGCGGCGCTCAGAGGTAGGTGTGCTCTCCGGGGTGGGTAGACCGAACAGATTGCTGGTTGACACCTGTGGCTTGTACGAGATGCTGCTCCGTTTACGCGAAATGGACTGTGCCTCCTCGGACGAAAGCGAAGACATACTGTCCGTCCGGTATGTCAGCGAAGAGCGACGAAAAAGCCCGCTGGACGGAACTGCGACAGGGGAGGCCATTGTCAGCGAGTTGCGTTTGTTGTTCGTCGACGCAGAGACCGGTGGCGACGATGCCAGCGTAAGCGTGCGCAAGCCGGGCCGGATGCTCGGGCTGGGTGATGGGAAATCCGGGTTGTATGCGGCGACGAAGTTCTCGGGGTTGAGCGACAGCGGGCGAAGGTTGAGGCCGGCTGGCCGAGGTCGCGTCGTCATCTCCGTCGGGGTGGCAGTAGACGCCGGTGAGAGGACTTCGGGCGTTGCCTCTTCCTGAGAAAGTTCGGTCTCTTCCTCTTCCTCCTCCTCTTCTTCGACCAGGGTGTGGAGTTGGTCCTTGTTGCTTGCGGACGGTGCCAAATGATTACCAAACGAATCGCGCTTGCCAGCGAGACCGCTTAGACTGGGGCCGAAGCTGGACACCTGGGGGAAGGAGGGCTTGCTAGCTGTAAGGACATCGTCAGCGTCTGACTGCGGATACGAAGGCAGGCACGACGTGAAGTCGAAGGGACGTAAGAAGCCAGAAGATACACATGTCAACCAAGCGATGGGCGCCAATCAAGACACTAGCTCACGTCGCAACAAGCCCGCGTGCAGCAGGATTCTTCAACCTCCTGGGCGCTCAAGATGCCACGCTGGCAAGCCGCAGACAGGCAGAGAGCAACGCCAGACACGCAGGGGCGGGGCCATTACACGGAGATAGGATACGTTGCCCGTCACCCACGATAGCATAGTGATGAAGAAGATGGATTCCCATCATCAGCTGCCCTCGGTTTGCAATCGTTCCCCGCTTTGAACGGAAGCCTGACGAGAACGGAGAAGCACGCGTAAATTACTCACGCAATTCGAACAGCCTGCGCTCGAGCTCTGGCGTGTTGAGTACCGGAATCTCGACGGGCGCGAAGTTGTCCGCGCCGCTCTTGCCCTCGAGTGCCCAGAGTGCGCGACGACGCACGCTGTCCCTGTCGCCTAGATTGATGTTCAGCTCCCGGTCCTGTACGGGAAGCTCGACGCCCATCATTTCTGCGCTTTCGCGCCTGGTGGAGACGGAAGAACGGCGGCGATGGTGCGAGTTGCGGGCGGAGAGAGACGAGTTGCTCGCGTGGTGTCCCTGTGGAAAGCTCGGCGCGCTGAACGACGGACTGAGCGGTGCACCTGGCACAACCGGTGGCGCGGCAGCCGAGAGGGAGAGCGAGACAGAGGTGTTGCGGGAGTGTGAACGCCCATGTGAGCGTTTGCTCGGGGCGGCTGGGGCACCACCGCCGAAGCTGAAAGATTGGAGCTAGTTATATATGTCAGTACTTAGGTGGTAGCATAGAACATGGCTGTACGACTGACCCTCTGCTTGTCAGCAGCCTCGTCGTCGTCGAAGGAAGTCATCCTCAAGGTACGGTCCATGGTGAGGGTCATTCTGAGAAAATTGGATATAAAAGGAGTGAAGGTGCTGCGTGAGCTTGGGGGTGAGCGAGGGACGGTTGGACCGGGCGCAGGAGAGACTGAGCTCCAAAGAGAGGGACGAGGACGTGGGCGCAGGAGGCAAGAACCTCTGATGGCCACTTGTCGAGCTATCAACTGTTCGCGTCCACGCTCGCACCAGACTTGCCTCCGCCCCATGTTCTCTGCTTCTATGTTCGTTGCCGCGTACCCCGAACAGGGACAGGTATCACCCCTACGGTGCTTTCCCTTGCCGCGAAAGCTGCCGTTCTTCGCTGCCTAGCGGAGTAAATCATTGGGGATTCGCCTGAATATGGCACGACAGCTGATTGAGCGCCGGAGCGCCGATCTGGTACTACGCTACTACCCCCTCCTTGGACCCGCTTTCCTCCGCATCCCATCTTGGTCCATGAAGCATGGCGACAGTTGTGAAGATCATACCCGGACGCACAACCTTTCTACTCTGCGATGTGCAGGAGCGCTTCAGTACAGTCTCCTCTTCAATCTTGTTTCCGTGAGATGCTGAACATGGTCTCCACGCAGGGGCAGCCATCCACGCCTTCGATACTCTACTGCTCACGAACGTCAAGATGATTAAAGCTGCCAAAGTGAGCCTCTCTGTCATCACCCGTATACATATCGTATGCGACTTGAACGCCGACGATAACTGATCTGACCATATCACTCAGATACTCGAAGTGCCTGTCATTGCTACGGAACAGAATCCACGCGGTGTGTATTCAGCCCATCGACCGCGAAGGATCATCTTCCTTACAGAGCCGGTTGTGCACGGACTGACTTCTACGCTGCAGCGCTGGGACCGACGGTCTCCGAGCTGACAGATGCAATGCAATCTCTAGCGCCGGAATCTCGCGCTACATTCTCCAAGACGCTATTTTCGATGGCTACTCCGGAAGTCCTCGCAACGCTCCGCGAAAGGCAAGCGAAGTCACTGGTCATATTCGGGATTGAGGTCTGTATCGTTCACAATCCACGGCAATGCGTTCTAATCGCTCAATTGTACAAAATAGAGTCATGTTTGCGTCCTTCAAAGTACTCTAGACTTCCTCGAACATGGATATGATGTGCATGTACTCGCCGATGCTATCTCAAGCTGCAACAAAGAGGAGGTGCCTGTTGCACTCGCACGTATGCGACAAGCCGGCGCGCAGATTACGACAAGCGAAAGCCTTCTGTTCCAACTTCAACGTGAGTATGAGCGCTCCTAACACGGACAATGAAGATTCTGATTCGCGCATATAGGCGATTCATCCGGTTCAGCTTTCAAAGCTTTCAGCTCGTTGATCAAAGAAGAGAAGGGCGCAACTCAAAGCGCGGTGCAGACGCTCATCCCTAAGGGATCTCTCCTCTGACGTGCCTACATCGTGTATGTGGGAGACACCGACGTTCCAAGGGGAATATCTACAACGCATGTCCCCGTTGTACGCCGATCAAGACGCCTCGGACATTGTTCATGTGCGGACGAAGCTTGTCGAGTGCCGAGTGCTCGCGAATCGTGCATGGTGTTTACCTCAATAACTGTTACAACCTGCATGCGAAGATGAAGGCGATTGTATTGATCCTTTCGTCTGGCCAAGGCTAGCTTCCAGTGAGACGCCCCATGGGCATGGGCACGGGTTCTTGAGTGCGATGTCGATATGAACGCGAAATTATTGCGATGTCAAGCACTGTTGCTATACGAAAGTCAATCCAGAGCAAGTACTGGATGTGCTTCTTGTCGGACATGTCTATAGATAACCCGATTGGGTATCAGGACGGACATCCTGGCGGCCGACTGACCACGGTGTCGTAAAGCCTGAGGGAACGCCATCCGGGACCGGGTGCAGTGATAGTGTTCGCGTTGGATGACGGAGAAGCGCACTTTGGGTGCAATCACAGTACTACACGCTCTCAAAGCGGCTTGAGCTGCCAAGAAGGTGCATAGAGGCGTTCTACCTGCCTCCAAGATGAAGAAGGAACGTAGCACCCACAGCATGAGCGTGGGAGCCACGACGGCATCGTCCGACCCAAGTGGCATCTCGCGAATTGACCTTCACCACTACGTCCACAGTGGCCGTCTGGCGTACAGCCTGCTGAATATTTGTGAAGGGACGAGCAGCTCTGGTTGAACTATAGACACGGGTGCCACTGTAAAGCGGCCTTGTTGCTGCAGCGTTTGCAGCAGTCCTTACTCTACGGTTTTCTGCAATTCGCCTGATCTTAGGCCCGACTGTATGGCGTGCAGGTAGTGCGAGTATCGTTTCATCTCACCTCAAACTTTCAACGCCTGCTGACCCAAGTCTTTCTTCGTAGATCTGTCTCGTATCCAATTCGACGACGGGCTTTTCGTTAGTGATACGTCCTTGGGCACAAACGGCTTCAACATGCCGATGGCATCGACTGTCTGACTTTACGAGACTCATATGTCCTGCAAGTCGGCGTCTCTGTGGTATATCATCGGAAAGCTGGTAGTCAAGACGCAGTGGCCCCTCATGACACCGTGGTGATTCCTCGCGGACGGCCTTCCCATGTCGCGGCACTTGTACTGATCGACTTACGCCCTTTCAAGATGCCCGCCGACGTGTTCTTTCTCATATCTACCTCGAGCTTGCGAGACATGGTAATGAAAGTCGTTCTAATGGCTGTGCAGTGCGCATGCGCTCAAGGCATCTCGGGAAGTCTTCCCGGAGACCTCATGGAAGGGCGACCTGGTGTTCTCGTGCGCAGTTGCTTGGTACGTGTCTGTATGTTCTTGGGTACTTGCGAACGGCGCTGCTCACGTTGTCCTACCAGCCTTTCCGGTTTGCTATGCGACTCTACTGTTGCCTTGTGCTGCTCTGGGCATTGATATGTATCGACGTCGCGCAAGGATGATGCGAGGATAACCGGGATATCAACGCACAAGAGTGTTACCCGGCGATGGGAGAGTATCCCAGGCAGTCTACGGCGTGACCCGCCTCTCCATTAGCACGCACTCCTCGTGTGCCCACAGGCATCCGGGTGGGTCATTGCTTTGTCTAGGTCATTGCCGATCTCGAGCACTATTCACTCTTCTTCCATATCGCAGAACCGGCCACAACCACACATTCGCCCCTCAACGCGTCAAGGTCAGGGCGACCCTCAGCTTCATGTCTGCTGTCTGGGCGGACGCACACGCCATACGCGTTGTACGGGCCTGGGCCGTTACTACACGCGGTACAGACGGCGTCCAGCCGTCATATGAGCCGTCCCGGGCCTGATTCTATATGACCCGTGTATCTATCTTCAAACAAAGCTAGTACTGTCTGTCTTCAAGGGCTTCTACCGTCGGCTCTACTCTCCCAGTCGGAAGCCTGTCAACATAAAAGATCTGAGGAAAGACTGCCCTACCACCACCCTCAAGGGCTTTCCCAATCGCTCGTCGGCCCTTCCACGCAATGCAGCCTCGCGCTCTCATTCCCTTTGTCGTCGCCGCGCTCACCAGCTCCGTTCTGTCGGTGCCAAGCCCTTCTGGGACTGAAATGGCCAAGCGCGCTACCTGCACGGTCAACAGCATCGCGTCAGCGTCCAACCTCTCATCCTGCACATCCGTCGTCATCGAGGCCTTCTCTGTTCCGTCAGGCAGTACGTTGCCTTGTTCTGTCCTTTGCACGCTGTCTCTGATATGCTGATGGTCCTACATAGATACGCTCACGATCAAGGCAGCAAAGGGTGCCTCTGTAAGTATGCAGGGCTCGGTCACCTTCTCCAAGACCACGTCCGCCGGCCCATTGTTCACCCTCGATACCGACGTACGCATACTTCGATCGAGTACAATCCCTTCACGAGCTTAATTTCCCTAGGACGTGACATTCAACGGCAATGGGTTTAGTTTCAAAGGCAATGGCGCTGAGTACTGGGATGGGGAGGGCACGAGCGGCGGTATGATCTGCTCATGCACAATGTATCTCCTTTTGTTGTGACATACGGTACTCAGGAACGACGAAACCGCACCCATTCGTCAAGTTTCAGGGTGAGTTGGGTCGTCTCTCGTTATGCATGTGAGCTGTTCAGGAGCTGAACTCCCGCGCAACAGGATTCGGCACCTTCACGGACTTCATCATCAAGGATTCGCCTGCGCATGCCATCTCGGTTGGCACAAGCGGTGGATCAGCCGTCTTCAGCAACGTCCTGGTTGACAACCTCGATGGAGCGTCTCTAGGGAAGAATACAGATGGATTTGACGTGTCTGCTGACGATGTCACGATCACGGGCTCGACGGTGATCAATCAGGACGATTGCCTCGCATTCAACTCCGTACGTGATTCATATCATATGTCCTCGTCATCAAGTTCACAGTTGTTTGCCACAGGGTTCAAACCTTCTCTTCGAGAACAACCATTGCACTGGCGGTCATGGCATCTCCATCGGTTCCATATCCGGCAGCAAGTCAGTCTCTGGAGTAACGATCTCTGGTAACACCGTTACCGAGTCTATGTATGGCATGCGTATTAAGGTTGACACGTGAGTCGACTTACATTTAGTATCTCGGGCTCGAAAAGCTGACTAAGAGTTAGCGACGCAACAGGGACCGTGTCAGACGTAACGTACTCGGGGAACAGCATCTCTGCAAACGACAAGTACGGGTTCTTGATCACTCAGAGCTACTCAGAGGACTTCGGTACTCCCGGCACGAAGAGTACCGTCTCGAACATCAACTTCACCGGCTCAAAGACGACTGTCACAACTACCGGAAAGAAGCCGGTCGTTGGGATCGACTGTGGACACTGTACGGGCACTTGGAACTGGGCGGATCTTGACGCCACAGGCGGGGAAGCCTCAGACCTCGTTCTCGGTGGCGGCGTGAAGGTGAAGCTTATCACTGCCTGGTGAGCTTACTTTGCTGACGTTCTTATGATGCAGATCTCGGGCGGGACTTTCTAAGCGGGCGTCGGTCCTTCCAAGCTTAGATCTGTAGGTTGCTCGTTCGCACGTGCCCCATGGGCTGTTCGAAGTTCAAAACACTATGGATCATGCTCGACCTTGCCAGCGAAATAAAGACTGCATAGTAGACGATACCGAATCATGTGTGACTCGGAGTGAGAGTTTATATGCAACGGATTCGGCACGTATATAAAACAGAGCCAGAGCGGCCTCTCAGTCTGTTAGGGACTGGCTGAGAGTGCAGAGTCACAAGCCATTAAAATATCTTGCATGCTGACGTGCACCTCTATGGCGCGACAATATACTCGCAGGGAGGTGAACCGGAGGTTTGCGGCCAGCATCAAAATCGGGAGCGGGTAGATCTAGACAACCTCGCACTTGTCGTGAACGAAAAAAGTAGGGGAAGGTAGCAAGAGAACTCGTTGTGCGGATGGGTGTCGTCAAAGGCCCACAACGTGAGCATTGCCCCGCTGCGAAGAGTGGCCATCATAGATGTGCGTCGAGAGACAGTCGATGCCTGCATCCCGAGCATCCTCAATTGCATGCACCAATTCCAGTCTTGCGGTTGACGCAAAGCTTCAAAGGGCCATTCGTTGGACAGTATCGCTCCCAAGCCCCTTGAAGAGTCGTTTATGAGGATCGTACTAGGCCGCGCTAGGGAGTGAGGACTTGACGCGATCTGTAAGTCTCGTAGCGGTGAGCGGCAAGCTCCAGGGCTAATCCTCTTCGCCGATTACCATATTGATTAGCGCTGAGACGTCAGAGGGCGCCTACATGATGGTTGAATCGAAGTGAATTATTCGTGCTTCGGGGATTGACGGACAGCGCCGGAGATTGCCGACCTAGAACAAGGTGACGACGAGTGACCACAAACGGTCACTTCCCATGTTCAGACCTTGAACCACCACCACGCTTGTAAGTTGCTCGACCATCGAAAAAGTTCGGTATTTTGGAAGCCACTTATACATACTTGATCCATAGTAGTCCCAGACCATGGACACAGAGCCGTTCAACATCAGTGCTGACGAGGTCAATTGCCTAGTCCATGCATACCTTCGTGATTGCGGTGAGTATAGGACGTTTCGTCCGCACTCCGCGATTCTTAAAGCACAATTCGTACAAGTATGGATGAAAACTGAATGTACATAACAGGTTTTGAGCACGCGGCTTTCTCGCTACGCTCAGAAGCCCGCCTTGAGAAGTCAAATAACTTCCAGAAACAAGTCCCGCACGGCGAGCTGGTCGACCTTCTCGGCCGCGCACTATTGTTCAACTCGGTAGAGAACCACCCTGCGGGTAGACAAGGATGCAATGTTCCGATAACTTTGCTGGATAAGCATGCCTGTTCATTTGGTGGCAGGCCGCTGGCGGCTGCCCTAGTCACCCCAGCGCCTGTTTTTGCTTCCCCTGCGATCCCTGCTCCCGTGCCCAGCACTTCGTTTACTCCTACTCCTCAAGTTTCCAAGGCAAGCTCCACTTCTTTTGTCTTGAAAGTCGCATACTTATCGTTGATGGCATCACAGAACCAGGAACATGCGTCAGGTCAGTCAGTCTAAATACCGAGACTGCAAAAGCCCTCTCACACAGTCTATCACACGGGCAGCCACAGCTTTCATCCCATCCATGCCTATGGAGATTGATATGACGGCGGAGGTATCGGGTACAGCATCAGGATCAGGAGATTTCCTTACCGCCATCGAACAAAGCGCAATCCAGATGCTCCCTGCCTTCGATTCAGAGGTGCGCCCAATGTACCATAGTGTAATTCTTGTTGTTGACCGTCGAGCTGTAGATCTTTGCGATCGCATGGAACCCAGTAAACCAGACTTTGCTTGCCTCGGGGTTTGTCATTTCACGAACGAGGCTCAAGAGAGCGGAGCTGACATTGTCTCTGTGAAGTGCGAAAGACTCTACCATCAATCTGTGGAAGCTTGACTTTGCGTCAAATGACACAAGGATACCCTTATCGACACCTGCAAAGCCATTTTCTCAGCTGAGGCTTACAGAGAACGACGAAGCAGACATCACATCGCTAGACTGGAATGCAACCGGCACGCTGCTTGCGGTTGGGGCATACGACGCGAAACTCCGAGTGCTGACAGCTAGTGGGGACCTGTACTTTGAAGACTCTAGTTACGAGGTATGCGCGATGTCTTCCGCTTTTGGAGGCTGTTTCTCAGTATGGATAGGCTCCCATCTTTGCTGCACGTTTCTCGCCGCTGGGGAAGTGGCTTGTGACAGCCAGTCTGGACAACCGGGTATGCGTCTGGGACGTAGAGCGACGGCGCTTGCACCGGGTGCCATTATTCCGCGGTGAGCTATCGCACCCGATGCTCGTTCATGGAGAGCTCACGTATTCGACCCGTAGGTCCTTGCCTGGACATTGCATGGTACTCGGAGAACATATATGTTGTCGGTGGAAACGACAAACGGGTAAGCGTGATGGACGTGAACGGTAATGGACCGTTAACTGTCTTCGTGTAAGTTGAACGTTGTGTATTCCCACTCGTTGCTAACTGTCAATGCTCTACAGCGGCCACGATAACGAAGTCAATCAAGTCCGTATCAACGCGAAGAAGACGATGATTGCGTCCGCTTCGGACGATCACACTGCGCGTATCTGGTTAGGCTCGTCGATCAAGATCAACACAGACGGCACAGCACCTCCTCTTGTGAAGCAGTGTGTTGTTCTGCGCGGCCATAGCGCATCCGTCAACTCAGTGGCCTTCTCGGGTGGAGACACTGAGTACATTGCTACGTTTGTCTGGTCCCGCGTCGGTCGTAAGGAGGACGCTCACATGACACCCTTTGTATAGAGCATCCTTCGACAAACAAATGCGCCTGTGGGACCCGCGCACAGGACAGTGCACCCATCATTTCACCCATCATACAGGGCCCATCTTCTCACTGGCGTTCAATAAGAACGGACGCCTTCTTGCGACGGGTGCCCAGGATGGTTTCATGAACTTATACGATATGAAGGTAAAAGCCATTCAGTATTCCCGCATGACCTCGACTCAACAGAAGATACAGACAAAGCAGAGAATCTGGTCGTGGCGCGTGGAGGGAAAAGTGACGAGTGGTGTGTTCGATCTCGCTTTCCAGGTGACGCCAAATTACGAACGTCTCTGTGTTGGGCTTGAGTCGGGACGTCTTGGCATCGTGAATCTGAAGCGTCTCCCATTCGTAGCCTCCTAAGTGGCTTGACAGAACGGTCGATATAGGCATGCATCTCTTGTTATTTATTGCTTTGCCTTGGAGTATGAATGTGACCTAGTATGTATCGGACGCGAGTAAAACGAAGACAAAGAAGGGCTTCCATCATCCACGGGTGACCCAAGACCAGTTCTTCGTGCCTGTTTCTTCGAAGGCGGCCGTCGCCTTAACTGCGATAGCGTCTAACTCCTCCGTTTTCGCGCCGTCGCGGACAACACGCCAAGCGCGTACCGCTTGATGAACCTCTTGAAGCTTGCTGAGACCTACTACCGAGGGCATGGGTACTGGCCCCTGCTCCGCGACTTTAGAGGCCCATGCTATGGCAACAGCGGGCAACCCGCCATTCCAATCTGCACAACGGATCACCGCCTCCTGTGCAGCTTTCTTGAGCGATTCCGGCGCGGGATGCCATGTTGGGACGCGCGGAGTGAGCAAGCCCATACTGAGTGGGCTCGCGGTGAGCAGCATACCAACACGTGCCCGCTCACGTAGAACGGGAGCAAATGCGCGAAGCGTATCATTTTGGAGGTTCAAGTGCGAGTACGAGAGCACGATATCCAGAGGGCGGTACGGTGCAGTATGTAGCGCGAGTAGGGAAAGACGGAGTAGCGTCGGCAACGGGAAGCCTACCGAAAATGGAGTCAACCATCTAGATGGTGTTGTCGGCCGAGCGGGTAAGAGCGTACCTGTAATCCCGATGTTTCTTACAAGGCCCTCGTTCTGCATCTTCCGAAGCTCTGCGATTGCATCCAAGATCGCCTGGTCACCTGGCCCATGTATAAGCGCCTCTTGCCCTGGCGCAACTCCGTACGCCTGTGCCTCCGAGCCGAGAGCGCCTGAGTGGTCACCTTCTTTTCGGGGACCAACCCACTCAGCAACGAACTCCGTGTCGTGTAGGTACACGGCATCCAGATAACTCGTATGTAACCGCTCGAGGCTACGCTGCACGCTGCGACGGATTGTTGCGGGAGAATAGTCGAAATCAGCTCCGCCGTAGCGGCCACACTTGGTCATCTGAGTTGCATGGTCAGCCGCAAGCACAGAGAATGGCGAAGAACACCACAACGCACGAGTTGGTACGACTCGCGGGGAAACTCTGCTTCCAGGGCCTTGAGGGCAGTCCCCAACACAATTTCTGAGATGCCATAGTAAGGGGAAGTATCGAAGGAGCGGATGCCATAGCTGGAAGGCACAATCAGATCTCATGAAGAGGCAACTGAAGTAAACCTTGAGTCTTACCGCATCGCAAGACGGACTGTCCGTAACAGTATGTCGGTGGACAAAGTGTCTACTGCGTTATATATGTGCGAGAGCGTAGCGGCGCCAAACACGAGCGCCGAGACATCAAGTGAGCCGAGCTTATCCTACCAGAAGTGAAGTGGTCAAGTCAGATCTAAGCGCACAGCGACAAGTTGAAGCAGGTGCTTGCCAATGCTGTGCCCGGCACTGGCTGATCCTCCTGCGCATCGGGGATCGTGTCCAAGGGAGGGAAGGTGAAGACTGGTTGTGGCGAATCCAATGGCACGGCCATCGAGGTTTGAGATGGGGGGTTGAGGCAAGTCAGTAGTTGGGGGTCGGAAGCCCGTATCGGCTGAGTGCGTCCGACGCTTCGGGATCAACTCTCGATCATTCGGCTTCCAGGTACAGAAATGGGAAAAGGTATGGATTGCAGTGCCAATAAAACTATATCACACTACAAATATATGAAGCAGCGTCCATCACGCACCGTGACCTAGAGGCCACCGCGAGTCCAGCTGTGTGGTTGATCAGTCCTGATGCTGCTGGATGGCCGAAGCAACGCTACGCACCTCTTGGCGTCGTGAGTGACGGTGAGCATCTTGGTCGTCTCACCGGGCTTGACGTTCTGCCACGGCTGCGGGTTGGACTTGGTCCAGACGACTGACAGATGATGAGTACGGTGCTTTGCAGGACTTTAGATGGAGAAGACGCACCGGAAGGACCCATGGCGAGGCGGTACATGTACCACGAAGCACCAGCGCAAGCACCACCGATAACGGCGTAGCTGGTTTATCCGTCAGCTTCGACGCTTTTTCTGGGAATACGTGAGACGTACATGGGGAGAACCTGTGATCTTCGTTCAGCGCTCAAGTCGAACGGACGATCTGAAACAACGCACCTCGACGGAGTACCAGTGCTGGCGAAGGTAGCGAAGGCCGGACATGGTGTGGACTGGTCTATAGGGTCTAGGATGTGTTCTAGAGACGGTCTGGAGGTAAAAGGCAAGGACGACCAGAGGCACTCGCTCGCCCTTCTACATGCCGCCAAACTCCGACTTCTCACGGAATGGCCCGAGCGAAACGCTCTATTTGCTGCTTTTCTTTTGCCTCCACTACGCTCTTGCAGTCCGGAGCTTTAGCGTTCGTTCCGATAGTAGCCGTGCCCGAACCCCATCGGTACAATACGGGAAGTATTCTTCACGGCTCTCCATAGCGCGCCGGCTCGTGAATACTCCGGTTGTCCACGCGATGAACCTGCGAGTTGAAGCTGTACAAATTATTGGCCAACTGATGCGACACGCTAAGCGGTGTCTATTGACAACAGTTCACAAGATGGTCAGGTGCAACTTAACCAGAATGCAAGAATGACTACCCCATCCGAGAACTTCTTGCTATGTCTGGTGGCGTTCATGATGCTTGATGACCTGTCAGCATCCTACAACACGAGGCCAGACAAGCGCCCTCGACACTCGCTCGCCGAGCCATAAGATCCCAAGAGCAAGTGTAACTTCTTCTCCCGCCTCCCTTCAACAACCTCCCTTGCCGTATCATGGCACACTCTTTGTTTTGGCCGGGGAAATATTTCTTCTACCCCATAGGCAATACCTCTGCCATCAGCTTGACACGGGATTTTCCCCCGAGTGTGCCCGCCAGTCTCCTTTTGCTCGGTTGCGGGGATCCTCGTAACGTTCTCTATACGACTTTCTGTGAGCCCGCGCATGGTGCGTCAGTACTCTCCCAATCATGAATTTGAGAATGACGGAGTTGATATAGCGAACCGAAAACTCGACTTCACTTGCTGCGATTGGGACGGCGGGATATTAGGTGTGTGGCCAAAATGTGACCCTGTTCCACCATACTGACTTGATATCGCTTAGCACGCAACGCGCTGCTGTTCAGCATGATCCTTGACAAGATCCCCCAGGAGACGATTTGGAATGTGTTCTTCCACATGAAGCTGGATAAGGACTCACATGCGGTCCTTGTTCGACAATCCCAGAAGCTCGCAAGTTTCGCGGAATCTGAGCCGACCTGGCGGACGTCAGAGTACGGTTCTCTTCTCAGAGTCAGCACACCCCAGACCTTGACCGAACTTCGCCGGCATTGGCTACTATATGCGGAGATGGAACAACTTCCCGCGCTGCGCCACAAGGCCATACTGGCAGCTTTCAATAAGCACCGAAACTCCGTCCTGGGAGGCCAGACGCCGACTGCCGCGGCTCGGTCTGCTGGTCCCCTCATGACATCTGCCTTCGCGGTCTGCGACGAGGTTTTCCGGGGCTACTGGAAGAACGGTGTTGCCTCCACGAGCCCGCAGACCATTAGCGCGGCGACCTTACTCAACCCGACCTTCGTGTACTCCCGTGGCGAGGATGCCTGCTCTACTCATTATGGTTTAACGCCCATTACGCCCTTCCACCTCGATGCACTCTTCGCGAAAGCAAAGGGCGAACCGACCCTGTCTGACGTGTATAAGCACATAATCAGCCAATTCAACGGCTGGTGCGACGCGTTCAGCAGGCTCGCGAGCTCCGAGGCAACGGCCCCCATCGTGCGCTTCCTCTGGGGCGATGCATTGACTGCCGCGCAATGCCTACGCGCTTTCACCCTGACGGAGACACTTGACATCGGCACCCCAGTGTCGCAGTGGAAGACCCAGCTTCTGCAGCTCAGCGGCGAAGAATATATCGAGAGCAGTGCGCCGACGAAGTTCAACATCGTCGATACGTCAAACCTCAGCGACCATCTTGGCCTGTTGAACATCCTGATTGCTGCCGCTCCTTTGGTTTCTGCTCCGTCGGGCGTGCTCTACACTGAGTCTTTGTTATATCGAGCGGAAGATGCTACGAAGGAGTTCAACGATGCGCTGCATGCCGACTTCGCCGTTTTTGCTCTACTTACGGGCATCTGTCCAGTCGACTACCTGTCAGGTTTCACGACACGATCGAATGTTCACGAGTTGATGGCATACATGGCCCTCAAGAACAATTCTCAGCAGTTCCACCAAGTGACGACGTGGAGAGCCCCGTCCTCTGGCGACTCGGGTGCATTACTTCAAAGAGTACCAACATTCGACTCGCGCCATTTGGCTACATTCTTGTATGACATGTACCACTCGGCAAGTCCTCGTTGCCTTCCCCGCGGGCTGGAGTGGATCTGATGTGTAATCAAACGTTTCTAGTTATTCGAGCAAGAGGACTCCAAGCACTTCTGGCGCATTCATGGCGACAAAAGTCGAGATGACCTTATGCGAGCCATTGGATCAACGTCGATTACACATCACACCCGCGAGACATTCGTTCTTCTGCTCAAACTCGTCAAGGGACGCCTAGCACTCGGTGCACCTGAGTGGGCCTCCGTCATGGATTGGTTTTTCATGATCCATGATGCGGACCGCTCTTTGCCTATGGACGCAAACAACCGCAACGACCTATGGGCCCACTTGTTTCGTCACGGGCTCTACACCGCGGCCTATATCCGCCCTCCATTCCCACCTCTTGGTCCCTTCGCATCATGGCAGGACATTCCGGTTCTTGTCCGTATTGTTCTTGTCATCCCTCGCGAGCACCTTGCCATCTTCGAGAGTCGGGGGAAAGACGCCGGAACGCCTCCGCTCATATGCTACGTCGAGGGAAAGGCCACGCACAACATCTTCTCCAGCGTACACGTTGCTTATGGACGCGCAGTTCGAATGGGGACACGCGGGCGACCATGGGTCCGGTTTGAGGAAGACAGTCGCGGGCGGGAGGGCGAATCACCACTGGTCGCCTCTTTCGTCATGCCTTCACACCTCCTTGTCTGCTTGGAGAAGCCAGAGGGGATCAGGGTACACCTCGCCCTTCGAAGCCTTCCGGCGACCGTTAGTTACATAGAGAAGCTCGGCCTGTCGCTGTCCGTATTCTCTGCGCCTCTCATGGACCCTGATCTCGTGCACGTCTTGCCCGAGCAGCCCCTTCCGTCTCGCGCACTTCAGGAAGAGCCTGTCAACTCACCGGAACTTTCGTTGCGCCAGGGAACTATCGGGACCGCGAATGCAGTGTCCGTTGAGCTCGATGAGCAATGCGAGCAGGTCTCTGTTCTCGTGTCGCGTATCTTGGTCCAGGATTCGGGAGTGAGGGAGGCCTTTCAGAAGGGTGTATCGCCGGAGATAAGACAGGCCTCTTCTTGCGTGATGAGAGTTTCTTTGAGCGGCCGATCTCAGGATGTCGCCTTCCCATTCCCCGTCATCGGTTCGTTGAACAGGATGCGACTCGCCCGCAAGTCTCTTTACATTGAGGTAAGCGCGCGTAATCAGACGTCGAGTATACACGCATTGACCAGTACTACACAGGTACTTGTGCCCCTGTCAGGTGGGCTCAAAGCGGACGGCATGCGTTTAAACCTCTTCCCGGTTCTATCCTCTTCACAAGACGCTTCCCAGATTCGTGCAACACTCCCGTGGGGCATTCATCGCTTGGACCTGTCGACGCAGCCGCGGCTCAACCTCAAGGCGAAGTCGCTGAAGAAGTGGCTCGACCCGCACCTTGGCGCGTCTCTCTCTGCGAGCGAGCGCTCCCTTGTGAAGAAGCCTGAGAAGGCCTCCTCTTCAGGTACCTACGCCATCTTGGCTTTCCTCAAACAAACTCTGCACGCGATATTTGTCCGCGCAACGGGGATACAGCAGGGTGCACCCGCTCGCGTCTTCAACCTGACTGATGAGGCGACACACAATTGTGATACCATCATACTGGTCAACGAAGTGCGACACGATGTCGCGTGTCATACCGTCGTCTGCGACGCGTTCGTCTTGCCTCTGACACCGAGGCTCATCGAGCGCAACAAGCGCGCGTTTCCGGGGCTCGTTGGGAACGGGCAAGCTATCAAAGCTCCACCGGGTGTCATAACCGCCTGGAAGCAACTGCTGCCCGCACTCGTCGAGCGTTGTCGTACATGGGAACATGGCCCAAATTGCGAATACGTCGCAACTGGCTGCGTGCCGCTTACAGTGGAAATGGAGCATGTCCCTATCTGTAGCTGCGGTGCCGGTAAGGACGTCGAGGAGATGAAGAAAGACCCAGCTTGGCGAGTTTTTGCGCCGCACGCCACCCGTATTGCGATCAGCCCACTGTTCGCAGTGTCGTATCTAGAGCGCGTCGCTCGCGATCCTGAGGCTCATCGATGTGCTCTGTGCAGAGGCAGAGGCAAACCGAAGCTCAAAGCATGCACGGGATGCAAAAAGATCCGGTACTGCTCCGAGGCTTGCCAGAAGGCGGACTGGAAAGCGCACAAGTTGAAGTGCAACACGTAGGAGACACTGCTGAGGATGAAGACTTCCCAGAGCTAATATCATAGTACATGTATCATGTCTGTATCCAATACTGTTGCTCTCATATGGGTATATACGCGAAATCTTCTCGAAGTCGGGAGAAGTGAGCGGGGCGCGACCAGATCCGGTTGCATCGGATTTACGCCCTACCTTTCGTGTCGTTGACCTCGAACCTGGTTTCATTTGCGTGTGGTTCTAGAACTTGAACGCCGACTGAGTAGGCCCGACGGTCAAAAAGAGGAAGCCTATGATGGATGGACAGAGGCGAGGCGCGACGACGGACGCGTCGCGCGTCGCAACGCGTCAAATCACGTTCCCGCGCCTAGCGCGCCGCTGCCGCGGTGCCGCGCTTGAGGACCTCAGCGTCTGCACTATACCCTCATCAGGCCTTGCAACTTTCCCCGATCCTACCGCCCTGATACACTCATGTTTGGGAAGCTCTTTCATCTTGGCTTTGACGCGCTGCTTGTGGCAGCCTTTCTTGCTGGCATCAAGCGCTCTACGGGAATAACGTGCGCACCGCAACCACAGCGAAGCTTATGTGCTCGTGCTTCACTGAGACTCTGCATGTAGACCGGCCTTGTCACAAATAAAGAACAAGGATATAAGACGTAGGCCCTCCTCTGTCGCGACCGCAGCATGTGTTGCTAATAATTATATATAGAGCTCATGCGGTCGTATCTCGAGGCTGGTGCGTTGAGTCTCGTACTACGGATGGCGCTGTAACTGACAATTGCGCAGGGGAATATGCTTTCGATTTCGCTGTGGTAGTCTTTGGGGTACGTGCTGAAGTTTTGCGGACCCGGAAGCAAGGATTGCTCATACGAATGTACCATGACAGCGGTCAGCGTCGTTCGAGAGACAACGCGGTGATCACTGAGCTCTTCGTCCTCACTCTCATACCCTCATTCGCACTGCTTGTGAGTCCGAGCGCTCTTATATAGATCGCTCACAGTATTGACCCGTCGTGCAGTCCGTCCGCTTAGTCCCATCGCTGTATTCTTACACTACTCTCGCTATCATTCACCATCACCCACGCTCCCCTCCCTATCCGCAAGAAATGGAATATATATATGTCTCTGGCACATACAGCGACAAGTTCAACCGAGGAAGTTGAACACGAAGAAATGGAGAACAATGGATCCGAGTACAAAGTCCGCGAATGCACTAGGTTATATGTCAGACAAGTTCTCTTGGTAGATACACGAACAGTCACGCACCGCTCTGGCGAAACGCTCTTGAATAAAGCTCGGTTTTCTGGGTTGACCTGCGTCCTTAACGACGCCGTGAGCACAAACTGGCCGACATTGCTCGAGAATCTATAAATAACATCATAGTTCAGTCGCATGTTGAGTCTAGAGTACGTCGACATACGCACCCGGCCAAGAATGCGTTGAAGGGAAAGTTGGTAACGAGAATGCAGTATAGGAACTGCATGACGCCGGAGAGCATTAGGAACACGAGGAAGGAGTCGATGAACTTGAGCCGGCTGGGTGTCGTGTCCACATATGCTTTCCATAGTGTCTCGACTGCGTTGCCGCTGTCGTTTGCGCCGGCTCTGGCCTTGGCCTGACCTGGCGCCTTGACTGGCGTGGCCGTCGCGGATTTGGGAGCCATGAATGTTGAGAGCGCGGTACGGGACTGCGCGAACGCGTACGGACACGTCGCGGCGTGATGGGACCGGGCCGGGGTGCCGGAGACGCGCTCTCAGAAATTCGCGGGCGACAGCGCGTCAGTCGCGTCTATACGCTCACCATGCACTCTGTCCGCCGCGTCGCCCTCGCGTCCCGCCGCGCAACTTCTTCTACGGCAACTGCCACTGCTCCGGCGCTAAGGGCGCAGTGGACCGTGCGGAGGTGTCTGCATGTGCGCCGGCCGTTGCCGTACGCCGTCGAGGACGGGCTGGCACCGCTCTTTACTCCCGAGGCGCTCCAGACCATCGGTGTCGACTACCAGCAGGGTCTGTTGGACAGGCTGAATGAGGAGACACGTGGTACGTACCTCTTGGAGCAGTAATACAGTTGCCATTTGCTGAACTTCGCGGAAGGAACGACCCACGTCAACAAGACGGTCGCCCAGATCGTCATTGACACTGCACCTGCCCCGACCGAAACCCTCACGTTCAACTATGCGAGTGAAGCCCTTAACAACGACTTCTTCCTTAACCACCTAGTGAGCTGCACTGCATATTATACAACTATCGTGTGACTGACTTGTCGCCACCCAGAAACCCGTCCCGGAACAGGCGCCGAATCACGAGAGTGCTTTCTTCGGCACCGCACTCCATCTTGAGATTGAAGAGACCTTCGGCGGCATCGACCAACTCAAGAGCGCCGTCTCTGCAGCCGGCATGGGCATGTTCTCGGGCGGCTGGGTCTGGCTCGTGACCGACGCGAACGGTCAACTCGGTGTGCTCGGAACGTACGGCGCCGGCACATTGCTAGTACAAGACCGCAGTCAACGCTTCGACCACTCTGAAGCTGTCTCCCTTGGCGGACGCTACCAGACTGGCAGCACCCTCCCTCAAGGACAGGCTCCGTCCTTCTCCGGTCTCGCAAGTGCTGGCTCCAGCTCTTCGCCCGTATCAGGCAGCGCTCGCACACAACCTCCAACCGGACCCGCCGCGGGTGCACGTTCCTTGCATATTTCCAGCCGCAGTGAAAGCGTCTTTGATGGCAAGGGCGTACGAGACCACCAAATCAACTTGGAGGGGCAAGGGATGAAGATGACGCAGTTGGAGAAGCTCGGGGAGGTCCTTACGCCGCTGTTCTGCGTCGGTGTACACGAACGCGCGTGGATGGCGGCGGGCTTTGGTGTATGGGGCAAGGAGCGGTATCTGCGCGAGTTCTGGAGCGTACTCGACTGGGAGAAGGTGTGCCAGAACTACCACAGGGTCAATGGCCGTGGCAAGGGCAAGGGCACTGTCTTCTGAAGGGCGTGATCTTGGTCCATTTAGTGTAAAGCTGTTAATTCAATACTTCAACTTGCACCTTTTGGAAGAGTGGCCGCATTTGCCGGTTGCGTGCAAACTAGCAGTGCTGATAACGGACTGGGACTGAGTACACAGACGGCAGTAAGAGATACATCAACATTGTCTACATCTTGTGCGTCGATACATAAGTACAAATAACAGACCGCAGTTGTCCCATAGCGGGCAGTAATGATACATGCGTTTCATACAACATCTCGAAAATATCAAGCACTAATCGTATACCCCATTACTTATTTCTTCTGAGGCCGAGGCGTCTAGCGTGGTCTATAATCACGTCAATAAGGTCATGCAGACGCTTCGGGCTTCGCCGTGCGTGTCGCGACGAGCGCGCAAAGGGCAGCTATATACACTGATCAGTGGACTGCATAAGGAGATGCTCGATTGATACGACATACCACCGACACCGGACCCGTCCTTCGCGAGCCCAATCGTGACCATCTTCTCTCCTTCCTCGCCGATGAGCAACCTTAGCGCCTCGCGCAGCCTCTCCTCGAACTTCGGGTAGAACTGGATCAAGCTGCCGTCCACGCCCACGGGGATGACCTTCGCCTTGCCCGTCGGCTTCGCGTCGCTTCCCAGCCCTGAGATGACGCCCATCTGGACGGCGACGGTCGCAACGGCCGTTGCACTGAGTCGTGCAGCACGGTTCGCGACCAGCGAGCACGCCCAGCGGACGATCGCTGCGTCGCGGAGCGAGACGGCACCAGCCTCAAAGCCAAGGTGCTTCGCGACGACTTGCCGTACGCGCTGCAGGCGGTGAACCGTGTTTGGCCTCAAGTTCTCAGTCGAGAGCGGCTTGGTGAAGTCCAGCAGCGCGCTATCATCGAGAACCTCCGAGCCGTTCGTCTGCGGCGCAGAAGCCTCGTCGGCCGCATGCTCCTCGTTCTCCCATGCACCCTCAACGAGCGAGAGCATCTCCGTATCAAGACCATAGTGGGTGTTCAGCTGTGGTGTGCTCTTGCCCTCGAACAGGATCGGTTTCGGAGATGCGTCGACGAAGGAGAGAAGCATGTTCCGCGTGATTTCGCCGAGGTACATGCCGGAGATGAACTTCTCGAAGGCCTGGAAGCGCGGATTGATGCTCTCGCGGTCGAGCTTGTTGTCAAAGGGCGTGCTGGGCAAGGTTGAGCGCGCATTGTCAAACGCGCCCCACTCGGTGTTCACGATCATATCGCCGCCGAGTGCCACGGCGGGGTGGTTGCCCAGCTTCGTCAGGTTCTCGATCTTCTCGACATACGCGCCGTTGGTGCCAGTGCCGAAGATCGCGCCTAATGTGCAGCCGCCAGCGGTGTAGGCGCGCGAAAGGAGCGCGCCGACGGTCTGCGAGAGAGACATGTGTAAGCTCGTGAGAAATGAAAGTCACGGGGGAGTTAGGGGCAGTTACGCCGCACTTCACCGCGCGCCACATCTCGCGCCGCCGAAGTACAGCGGAAACCGCCAGAGGCCGACCGGATATCGGGTTGGAAATAGAAGCGTACTCACGTCGTTAACGAGGGCCACACACTTGACGTGCAAGTGCTTGCGGTCGAAAGCGTTCTGCAAGCCTTTTACGACGTCCTTGCCGATCGCGTTCTTAGCAGCGAAGCCTTTGGTCCATGTGAGAAGGAAACCCTCATCGAGCGCCGTCTGCTCGACGGGGAAGGAGAATGTAAGTCCGAGGGGGAGTATAGGGGAGTCTGTCGGTGCAGTCGGGTTCGTCGGAGAATCTGCAGAGCTATGCTCGGTCAAGAAGGCATCGACAGAGTCGGCCATGTAGTCTGTGCAAAGCAAGAAAGATCATGAGGGGATGTGTACAGGGGAGGGGACAACATACGGACCGAAAAGGGTGGAGACCTCGCCGGTCTTGAGTGCCTCGGAGACCTTGTACTTTTGCTGTGTCAAGCTGAAGGTCTTGTCTCCGTGGAGATCTACGCGGCAGACGCGACTATATGCTGTCTAAGTCTTATTGCTCAATCAGAGATCACCCCGAGCTCACAGGTTGGTGCCGCCGAGATCGAGGGCGAGGAAGGTGCTACGGCAGTCGCGTGAGTGAAGAGGCTAACCAGTATGACTTGCGCATACCCAGTTTCTGTACCATCTGGTACGCCCCGTACGAAGGTCGGGCTGCAAAACACAATCAGCGATCATCACCGCCATTCTGGCGATGCAGCTCACATCATGGCCATCGCTTGACCGTATTCCGAGAGGCCCTTGTTAAAGTCGAGGAGGAACTGCTTTGTGATCGTCTTGAGCTCATCCTCGTTAAGGTAGAACTGTTGCTCGATGTCGTCGAGGTGGGCCTTGATCTTGTCTGGCTGTGCGCCTGCGAAGGAGGAGGTGAGGGGGGCCATGGTTAGAGATGAAGAGGTGAGGTTCAGGAAAGGAAAGTCGCGGCATGATTTTGTATGTTGAGATGACGTTGTTCCGAAGGACGCACGCGGGAGCTGAGAGCGACCGAACTGGTTCTCGATGGCCATCGACGGCCTCATCGTCCTCGAGCCCAGCGGCAGGCCCATCGCCCAGACCGCCTTCCGGACCTTCTCCCCGGCCTACCCCCTCCTCCACATCGACGCCTTCAACGCCAGCCCCAAGGATGATCCCGTGATATACGTCCCCTCCTTCGAGCACGGCGCTCCCTCCGCCTGCGTACACGTCCGCCACAACGCCCTCGACTTTCTCTGCCCCATATCGGGCGACATCGACCCGCTCTACGCCATCGCGTTCCTCCGCACATTCCTCGACATCCTCGCTGATTATTTCGGCGACATCTCCCCGGCCACGCTGAGGGACAACTTTGACATCCTCTATCAGCTTCTCGAGGAGACGCTAGACTCGGGCGGCCATCCCCTCACCACCGCCCCCAACGCTCTCCGCGATATCGTGCTGCCCCCCACACTCTTCACCAAGCTCCTCTCCGCTGCCGGCATCCCCGACCTCGCCCACGGCGCTGGGCCCGGCGGCGCCGGCCCGGCAGGCGCCTCGACCGCCTTCAGCAGTCCGATCCCTTGGCGAAAAGCCGGCCTGCGCTACAACGCCAACGAAATATATTTCGACATCGTCGAGACCCTGCGCGCGGTGGTGACCTCGTCGGGTGCGGCAGTCACCGCGCGGATCGCGGGGCGCGTCGACGCCAACGCGCGACTGTCGGGAACGCCCGATCTGGCCCTCAGCTTTGCGGATCCTGGCAGCCGCGCGCTCGTGGACTGCGCGTTTCATCCGTGCGTGCGCCTCGCGCGCTGGACCAATTCTCGGGTGCTCTCGTTCGTACCCCCTGACGGAAAGTTTGTACTCATGGAGTATGCACTTGATACTTCCAAGCTCGGCACCGCCGCGACGGCCCAGGCTGCAGTGCAGGTACCGCTGCACATCAAGGCGGCGCTGAGCACCCACGAACATGGTGGTGCGTCGATCTTCTTCCATACCACCTCGACACATTCTGTCATGCCTAAAGCGGTCGACTGATTGACGTCGATTCCCATTCTAGGTACATTCGACGTTGTCCTCACTTCGCGCCATATCAAGCCTCTGGAAGACGTCGTACTCGAGCTGCACCTTGGCGAGAGCGCCACCAGTGCGAGTTGTACTGTAGGAAGCGGCGCCGAGTGGTCATACGTTCCTGCTCGTCAGGCTCTGCGTTGGGCAATACCAGTCGTGCAGCAAGGATCTGGTCGTTGGGCACTTCAGGGCACCTTCAACTCTTCGTGCGTGTTCACAGGCTCTCTCATGTTCTCGAAGGCTAATTCGCAGATGGTACAGCGATAAACATCCGCGCCCGGCGCGGGCCATTCGAGCAAGCTATAGCGTGAGCGCGAGTGTGCACTCGGGTCTTAAGGTCGATCAGCTCAAAATGACCGGCGAAACGTATCGGCCGTACAAGGGTGTGCGCGGTCGGAGCGACGGGCAGATCGAGTGGCGGGTGGATTGGGTACATCAATCTACATAAGACGTGCTGTTACACGATTACAGAGAGTCGATGCGCTTGCGTGTGTTATCAATAAATGGGCTAGATTCTTCAGCCGAGGAACTTTCTCCAGATCTTGGTTCTGCGACCCCCCGCAGACGTCGCATGATGGCCGAGTTACTCTATCCTGAGCTATAGTATGGGCTGCCATAGACGAGCAACTCTGATAGAAACCGTATGCCATCCTGCGAAGACCTCAGATCTCGATATCACAGCAGAAGCGCTTGTCCAACTCACGTGGGCGCGATTAGATTGATACCCACCGCGCGCGCACTCGGGGCCACAAACTTCCTTGCTCACCTAGGTGTCATCCATCACCTAGCATCTGATCGGTCGGTCCTATTATTTGTTNAAGGCGCGACGCGGCACCGTCGGCGCGACTTCCCGAGTGCGCCCGCCGCGGCGCGTGTCGCCTCCCACGACGAGCTCGACGTCTCTTCGTAGCTCCTCACGCACTTGCGTGATGGCGGTGGTACTTACATACACTTCCCAGTGTGTGCGGTAGCCAGGCAAGCTCTAGTGCCTAGAGCTGTAGCATATTGGATGCCTGCATCTGCCTGTGAATAGTAGTCCATACAGGTACATATGAAAGCATGCCAGCTATAAATGTACATTAGGCCGAGCATGAGCGACTGAGTGAGGCCATCTAAGTAGGTACTGGTTTGAGGTGCGTGTCTACGAGTGTGAGCCTCGAGGCGCGATAAGCAAGTGGACGTAACGTAAGCCGTCGGCGCACTCGGATCGCGCACGAACGTGCGGTATTTCCCCCCGAGGCCTTCGCAGTACTCACTAGGGTGCAATAGCTGGTGTAATTGGCATTGAACACCATCTCCGGGTCGGTCAGAGAGGTATTACTGGCAAGAAAAAGGTGGGAATGCCAGACAGTGAGCGGCAGTGTTTCGGATCCGGGCCGCGGCGATCACCGAGCCCGCGCTTCGGGACACGGCCAAAGAGAGCGTCACAATTCGTACGCTCCATAGCTTTACGAAGGGCTGTCTCAATATCCTAAAGAAAATACAAGCTCCTTTGGTTTCTCCCCCCGAAGGCTCTATGAGAAAATTGTGACTAACCACCGATCCAATCTTCTCAGATCGCTCGATACGCCGCCAGAGGCCGACAAGACCATTGACTTCCATGGCCGCGACGACGTTTTCGCGTTGACTTCTGTCCCCTGCCACAACCACGCCGTATGACTACATGGAATGAGTTGTGCACACATATAGTAGCACTGGTGAGTACGTCACAATTTTTTCTGAATCAAAATGCGCTCGCGATGTATCACCGGGAGCACATTTTGCGTGAGCTAGATCAGTGCAGAGATCGGCACGTTACGCTACCTAACACCCCAAGCGCTCGTAATCCGAGTGGCCTATATGCATTGTAAGCATATTTCAGAGTTTCTCATGGCCTGCGATAGGGAGCGCTCTCTTTAACGAGGCCACGAAACCCGATCGCGACTCCTCATGCTCGCAAGACTGTGTTGGCCGTGGGGTACCACTATCCTCCCCTGTTAGAGCATAGCTCCTTCAGAGCGACGCACCTTGTAGATAAGACTCTTGTGAGTGGTTTATCTCATGGCGAGGCCACGGGTACAGTTGGAGTATTGTCACTATCGAAGCGAAGATTCACTTGCATAGTGCATCTTAGCTCCCTGGTGGGAATTAATCGTTAAAGGAAGGCGGAGGCGTATCTAAAATATACATTGACACTCAATACTTGCTTCAGATAATCTGCCGAGGCTTTGACTGAGGTCGAGGTCATTGGAAGGGACGGTGAGGGAGGAGGGAGTCGTCAGTAAGAGGCAAGGCCCAGACCCCTCGAGGCCAGTCTTATGAGTAGAGCAGCAGCCCCTCCCCCAAAGTCATCGGGCATGGCGCTTCGGTAGAAATCGGCTGGGTGCGTGAGGAGCTACGAAGAGACGTCGAGCTCGTCGTGGGAGGCGACACGCGCCGCGGCGGGCGCACTCGGGAAGTCGCGCCGACGGTGCCGCGTCGCGCCTTCGACCAAAAGCGGAAGGCACACGCGTCATCTATCCGCGCCCTCTGCCTTCGCCCGCTCCCGCCTCCGCCATCACCGAACCCTACCCCTAGCGAGGGACAAGGTAAAGGTAAATAGCTGGGGAGGGCAATCCTAGACGGCCAATCGGCCGAACAAATAATAGGACCGACCGATCAGATGCTAGGTGATGGATGACACCTAGGTGTCCTTGCTTTCGTCCATCACCGTTTCTGGCACCCCATTAACCCCATCCTACATTGTGCCGCGATGGGAAAGAAGAACGCCACTGCCCAGCAAACCAAAGCCGCCGCCAAAGCGGCGAAAAAGGCCAAGGCTGAAGCGAAGACGGCGCGCACTCAGACGAAGAAGGTGAAGGGCAAGAAGGGAAAGGGCGATGACGCGGAGGATGAGCAAGATCTCGAGCGCATACTCGAAGACGTATGCACTGCTCTAGCTCTAGTTCTCACGCTTAGTCTGATGCGGGTGCGGACAGTAGATGCGGAAAGAGTACGAAGCCGCGCATGCAGTGTCCGAGGAAGTCGCGGCCGGTCCACCCAGCCGACGTGCAAACGCGACGCTCACGCCCTGCCCGAATGGCAATCACCTGTGGTGCATCGGCGGCGAGTTCTTCGGCGAGGATAAGAAGGCGGTACGTGCATATACGCTATCTTCTGTTCGCAAGACGCGTCCGATTGATCGCGCGCGTCCATTCAGTACTTTTACAACGATGTCTTTCGCTACACCCCCGAGAAGGCACGTCATTTCGGATGCCCATCGGCCCATGCTTGTCCTTACCCAAGTCCTACAGGATGAGTGGCGCAAGTTCATCTCTCCGACGTGTCCCGGCCCCCGCTCAGCGCATGCCGTCGTGGGCTCTCCCGCGGGAGGTGGCAAGCTGTATCTATTCGGTAGGTCCTGATCAAACATATCATCGCCGATTAAATGCGACTATATGCGCTCAGGTGGCGAGTTCTCGTCTCTCTTCCAAAATACATTCCATCATTACCGTGACTTCTGGGTCTTCGACATCACTAGTCATGCTTGGGACCGCATCGACCTCAAGATCATGCCCACTGCGCGTTCAGGACATCGGTACGCGGACACTCCGTGTTATCAAGCAGTCAAACGCTCATTTATGCGTCCAATCATCTCAGAATGGCCATGTGGAAACACTTCATCATCCTGTTCGGAGGCTTCAACGATCCGGGGATCATCAGTACGCGTCCGACGTTCTCCTGGCGACACACCTAAGACCAACTCACGATTCGCACAGCAAAATACCTGAACGACCTGTGGGTATTCGACACACAAGAGTACAGATGGACACAGATAGAGTTCAGGGAAAACGAGAATCGACCATCGTGCGTTGTTTGTATGCTCAGTAGTGATGATTGCTACATGCGTTACGCAGACCCCGAAGCGGATTCTCTTTCTTACCGACCCCCGACGGAATTGTGCTTCACGGAGGATACTGCCTGGAGTACGCGAAGGGTAAACGCCCGGTCGGTATCATGCTCGAAGACACCTGGTTTCTGCGGTTCGTTCGCGCACAACCCTCCGGACTCAGACGCACGCTTATTTGAATCTAGGATAACGATGGTTACCGGCGATGCAGCCTCAGCTACGCCCGCTGCTGCACCAGCACCAACAAGCAAGAAGGGGGCCCCATCGAAGGCTGCCAAGAATAAACTGCCGTTTACCGTCAAGTGGGAGAAGCGCAAGCGGCCTTCCACCGCCTTTGCACCATCACTGCGTAGTGGGTGCACGATGGCTCTATGGAGCGCGCGGGGTTTAGGTGTCATGTTTGGCGGCGTCACGGACGAGGACACGGATGAGGAGAGCTTGCGTAGCGTCTTCCACAACGACCTGTACGTCTTGTTATCATAATCGCGGCAGCGTTTCCGGTTATAACGATGTATGCCACAGTTATGCCTATCAGCTAGGGCTTGAGAAGGGTAAGTGGTCGTCGCTGCTATTACGGAAGCCGAAAAGGAAGAAGAGTGGCGCAAAAAAGAAGGCGCAAGCAAAGGCGAACAGGGACTCCGACTCCGACGTAAGTTCACCGCTATTGCGGGTTGCTGTCAAAACTGAGAATGGTTCAGGACGACGCGCCGCCGCCAATCCCTGCTCCGAGTGCACCTGCAAACGAGGCGACAGATGATGATCCGACATTGACCACGCCAATGCCACGGTACAACGCGATGCTTGCCATCTTGCGCAACATGCTCTTCATGTTCGTCTTCCCGTGGGATTGTTGCAGACTGCGAGCTGAATCTCATTATGCGTACTGCAGATACGGAGGTATTTTCGAGCGCGGATCCCGCGAGTACACCCTGGACGACTTCTACGCTCTCGCATTGGACAAACTGGATCGATACGTATGTTTGAAGAAGAGTGACCTGCTCATACCCGAAGGCGAAGAAAGCAGCAGTAGTGGAGAGGACGATGACGACGATGACGACGATAGTAGTACTGATTCGGAGGCGAGCGAAGGCGGCGAAAGTGTATCGGCAGAAAAGCGGGACAGAGTTGAGAGTGCACATGTTCCCGACCAGGAAGAGGTCGAGGAGGTTGTTGAAGAGCACGCGGAGGAGGACAGCAGCGGAAGCGAGGGGAGCGTGGACGGGGACGAGCGTGATAAGGTCTGTGTTGGGCCTCTAGGACTCGAACTTGCACTGACAAGATACGCAGGCGGCGCTCAGGGAAAGAGCTACAGCTTTCATGGGTGTGTCGAAGGATACCACCCGCTCAGAAGAGGATGTCATCAGCACACCACTTCCTGGCGAGAGACTCGCCGGATTCTACAGGCGCTCGAAGGAATACTGGCTTATGAAGGCCCGCGAGACCACTGACGATCGCGGCAAGGTATTGAGTGAACGCGCATTCCACACTGCCCACAAAAGATTCGGTACGTCAAGTTTGGTTGATCTCATTCCGTGTCATTCTCACTGATTCCTATTTCAGATGAATACAAGCCACTTCTCAGAGAGGTCGAGAAGATATTAGCGGAAGCCGGTCTGGACGAAGAGGAAATGAAGCGCGTCGGAGCAGGCAAAGGTGCTGGCGCTCAAGGGCAAAGTCGAAATAGGCGATGATTCTACCATATATTGCTCTCGTGCACCATGTTGTGTAACGATATGTCTCCTAGAGAATATCTGGCCACCACATAGGTGTATAGTGAATGTTTTGAACGCGGTCTCTATTATCATCCACCCGCAGCGACAACGGCTCGGCCAGTCACAACGTTTACATGAGGTTGAGGTCACCGAAGCGCTCCTTGTACCCGGGAACGGTCCACTTGCCCTTCTTGATCATCGTCTCTACTGCCTCAATGATACGCGGGTGCGCCTGGCCAACATCCTCCGCCTGCGATGATACGTCAGTTATGATATACATGGAAGAACAAAGCGACGTACCGTGAGGTCCTCGAACTCGCGAGCATCCTCGATGTTCTTGAGCGTGGCCTGAAGGTCCTTCAGCTCAACATCAATCGCGGCCTCAGTCTCCTGCGCCTTGGCAACCTGCGCTAATATTCAGACAGTTTCTCTCCGACTATACCACGTCCACATACCGCCTTGGCCTCGAACGACTCGATGGCCTTCACGTGCGCGTTGACGTCGTACGTGACCGGCTTGAAGGACGTGAGGAGCTTCTCGGCCTCGTCGACGACAGCCTTGTTCTTGAGAACAGAGCGGTAGTGGGCGAAGTCGACAGTCGTGGGCTGCTGGCCGAGGGTCGCGGCGGCGCGCTGGGCGTCGGCGTGGCGCTTGCGGAACGCCTGCAGCGCAGCGACGGTCTCTGCCAAAGCGCGGAATTATATTAGACACAGTACGTGTACAGTATCCAATGGTAGACATACCCTTGCCGAGACCAAGGGAGGAGTAAATGCGAGAGAAGTCCTGTAGGTTGGGTTAGCTCGGGTGCACGACAAGTATGGCCGTATCACGCACCACCGCCGCGGTCGCTGCCTTGGACATGACTTCAAGTATCCATATCAGTTCCACGCTCAGGAATGCAGTACAAGCAGATACGAACTGAGTATTATGAGTGGGGGTTAGAGGTGATGTTCGCCGCGCGCACAAGCAACATCCGAAGGTTTCGCGCGCTCCGGCAAAACCCGCCCGCGTCGTCCCGGCTCACCGCGCCGCGCTGCACTTCGACCTCGGACGTTCACTGCCTTTTCAGCGTATTACAAAGACCCCTCCTACTGCAACATGGACATGGGTGTAGTGTTCTATGCCACCACTGAGAGATCAGATAACGTGAACGTGTGATTTTTTTCACTGCTTCGCGCCCGGCAGTGGCAGTACTCGGGGTAGTACATAGCGGGGAGGGTACTGTACAAGAACTACCAACTATAGAGGGAGGAACTGAGGAACAACTCGTCACACTTCGCCGTCCCTGCCAGGATGTTGAGCTCGACGTTGGCGCAAGCATTGCACACATCGCTAGTGAATGACGCCGGACCGCATGCTGGATAGAAATCAGCATCTTGGTGCGTTGGGGACAACAAGAGGACTTACATGAGACTGCCATACGGCCCGACCATTCTTGAGAACGAGAGTGTACGAGAGAAGCGAGATCCGGGCGGCCATTCAACACTCGGAAGTTACTTGTATCATTGGTAGCATCTTCCTGACCGTCGGCGTCTTTCACGTCGTCGATGGAGTCGCCGTCCTTGCTGCCAGAGTTCTCTTCCGTTGTGACCATGATGCGCACGACGACCTGCTGATGTGATAGGCCAGAGATAGCATTCTGTATGTCTTTGATGAACCACTCGGCAACGCCTAGGATAATGTGAGCAGACGGTACCTCGAAGCCTGACTGGATAGACGCACCGATTGTCCGAACGACCCAGATCAGCTCCACGCGGCTGCACAACGATCGGCTTCCTTGCTCGCTCTTCATGTGCGCGACGAGATCTGTGAAGATAGGCAGGACATGTGCAATGCCGGTGCCGCCGGCGAGCAAGAGCGCCGAATCGTACGCTCGGAAGGTCAAACCGGACTCGCCGAAGGGACCATCAATGAGTACGCGCTGAGACGTCGACCCGCCCGCCTGTACTACCTTCCTCGCGAGCGCGCCAGTAAAGCCATCACGAGGCAGAACCATAAAGCGCAGCTGCTGTTCTTCCTCGCTGCTGCTCGCCGGAAGTGCCATGGTGAACGGATGCGACTCGAGCGGCCTGACTCCGGGGAAGCGCAGAACGACATGTTGACCCGGGGTCCAGCGCATACGCGTCGGAACGGTGAGAAGCAGGGCACCGGTAGAGGACGTCTCGATGTGGGCAGTGTGCAGGGTCAGGTTACGATAGAGCAGCCATCCCATGCGAATTGTGAAGCCGTAGGCGAACACGGCGAATGTAGCGTACATGTATGCGCTTCAGAATGGGTAAGAGAGCGTGGGTATCGCAAACGACGGGAGTACTGACTTGCTGTTCAGTTCATCCACAACGTGATACCAGAGAGTGGTCAGATACACTATGCACGATGAGTATATGACGCAAAGTAAATGGCTCCGCGAGACACATACCAATGACAGCAAAGAGGTGAAGGAACCAGAAGCCTTCGTATGCCTTCGAGCGAAAGACGGGGAGACTCGCCACGCAAAGCCAAACGAGGGGGCCCAAGGCGATCCAGCCCGTGAGATAAGAGCTGCTTTGCATGAGGCCTTGTTCTCTATATGAGACGTCAGCATGTTTCAACTTTCGAGTCGCCTTCGTGCATTCGACAACGTGCCTTGCGCCCCGAACGGCCATCGCCCCCGTATGCACCAAGCTCATGTAAAAGTGCAAGCCCGCAACACCCTGGTGCAGAACCTGTAACTTCTCATATGCGGTACCTATGAATTATCAGGCCCGAACTACTGCTGGCGGCGGCGGGAGGATAAGGCTCACCAGTGAAAGTGCCGATTAAATTGCGCTTTTGTGCGAGCACGAAGAGAAACGGGAGCATCGCCATGGCCAGCCATTCGCTGCGCAAACCGAGCGGAGAACTGCCCCCTGTCCAAAGTGTCAGAGGCATGGACCGGATGGACGAGCATGGCGACTCACAGAAAGCGGGCCTATACCAGTATGTGATGCCGAAGCACCAGCCCGTGCAGAAGGTGAATGCAAAGGCGAGAAGCATTGTCTGCGCGAGGCTCCCCGTGGTGTAGAGGGGGGCAATCCAGCGGTCGATGGCATAGGGAAGGCGTAGATACGCAACCCAGCGACCAAATGCAGCGGCCTTGCGGACGATTAAAGATGTAGTGGAGCCATGTGCAAGCCTGATGTTCATTGAGTCGGTGTTACTTCTAGCCAGTGCTCATCAACGTACCGTCTACGCCGCTCCCAAATGAAGTACAAGTTGACAACTGCGCCAACGAAGATAGTGGCAGCGAAGAAATAGATGCCATAGTACCCGTATTTGATGCTTTTTGCCCAAGCGTCGATGTGGGCAGCCTGATATGCCGTCCTCTCTGCCGATGTGGGGACGTAGTGGCCGTTGTAATACGAGCCCGGGGTGGGGCTATCCGGATAATGCATGCGTTCTCGTATATGGCCGGTCGTCGAGTCGCCTGCAACTGCAGTAAGGTAGGAGAGCACAACGAGGGCTGCTGGCAAGCAATAGTCACGCTTTTCCGGATTTTTATACGCGCGATTTCGACCAATGATATGGTTCCAAGATGAAAGGCGTTTTATTGCAAAAACTAGATACCCCGACGGCATGAATCCTTCAAAACACGTTACAACCGCGATTCAGACTGAATCGAACACATATATAGACAGCTTTCTTGGTCAAAGTCGCTAGTCTTGCTGTGGAACAAGCGACCAAGACGATCTTGTCGGAACGCCTTCGGAGGCCGACGACCGGTGCCAAGACCATTAGGGCAGAGGGTTTGTCGTTATCGACATCGATGATCTTCTAGGCGGCCGCAGAGTGCGATAGTCGCGGGAAGGCGTGCGCTATGGCGGCGGCGGAGACAGGTAGAGGCGGGCATTCGACGAAGCCGGACCGGCCCATTCAGTCGGGAGGATCGGCGCGCATGCCGACGAAGAGAATGGTCGAAGCTGCGACAAGAGTACGACAAGTATGCGTGGCCGATGAGTGCAGTAGAACCTCTTCCGCAAGGACCATCATGGTGAAGGCGACGAGCCTCATCACACTCGTCCGAGCACCTCCCCGTCTTACAAGGGACGAAGGTGCACCGAGTAATGTTTGTCGGGGACCACCTAGAGGGGAGGAGAAGACACGCCGACCGTTGATTGCTGTTGCGAGCCGTTAGCGCAGGAGTCGATGTGGTCCTCGTCCAGCGAAGGCGGAGCCCACTTGGTGCGCGTAGGAAGGGCGTCTGTCGAGTTGAGATAGATGTTTTCACGCGTTCGCTCGTGAGTCAGATAGTAGCAAGTTGGGCGGCGACAAAGGGTCGTATGAGTGAGAACGGACAGGGAGGACAGACAAGGTGGTGGTTGAAGAGTGACCCGTCTCAATGATCGCGAGCGCCGCGCCCAGCCAACGAGAAGCAGAACGCCGGATTGGCCTGAGGCAATTGATGAAAATGGCTCATCGGCCCGAGATCCCCGGCCCGGAGTCGGGTAGTTCAACGGACTTCGCAGGGCTCAGCAATAAGAGGCATGGTACATCACCATCTGAAAGAATGACCACCAGCAGAATACTACTGTTGGAACAGGAGAAACTCATCTGTCTGAATTTTGCCTGTTGGCAGACCACTATGCTCGCGTCAAGCTTCAAGCTTCAAGTTTCAAGGCCAAACAAAGTGGGGTCGGTCGAAGACATCTTTTCGCCAATGAATTATAAGAACAAGTGCTGTCCTACCCAGCTCTCATTCTCTACAAGACAGACACAACCACAACCGTACCGACTCTGCCTCAAGATCAATACTCAAGATGGCACCACGTCACCCCCATGTCACCCGAGCTCAACGGGCCATAAACACGGCCGATACGCGTTCGTCGGCCCCTTATATCGGACTCGCTTTTGCCATCGGACTCTTCATCGCGTGCGCAATAGCCGTGGTCCTTTACTTCTGCTTGAAAAGGCGTTGGAACTCCCGGTCGGACGGCGGGACTGTAGAGCCTTGCATTTCATTATGGGACATCATTCGCGGACGGCGGCGCGAGCCCGCGTGCGCCAAGGAAGGCCACTGTGAACAATACTTATCTGAGGGTGAGAGTTCTGTCGTCTGAAGCAGCTAGACGACTTACTGATGTATATTCACAGACAGAACAGCGGTGTCAGAGAAGAACAAAGCCGTAAACGATCGTAGCGACCCGAGGCGCTCATCCAGTCCGAGCCGACCGCCCTCCATCACTCTCACCGATTGTCTCCCGGGCCAAGACTCGCCCATTCCCTCCCCCGTGAGTGAGCGATTCTTCAATCAACACACCAACAACGGTTTGGAAGAACTCGATATCGCCGATGCGCACGAACTCGGGCCCGTCGACACAGTTGACTTTGCTATCTCACAATTAGCCGCCGATATGAGCATACAACTACTGGGAGCGCTGTCGGGAGCATCCGTACGGGAGTGCGAATAGACATAGTGACGCTAGTTGCAACCCAAGTCGCCGTAGCGCGGCTTCTGTGCTGCTAGATACTCTTTTTGGATGCATGAAACACAATGTTGCATAGCTGATGCTCGCGAGGGATACGATAACGATAGTGCCCGAAGTGGTGCCTCGGGAAAGGCTCGCGCTCAGGGATGTCCTTCCTCGTCCGCGCTCGCACGAGGAGTTGACCCATTCGACGGTCGGCTACGCTGAGGGAAGTCTGAGTGAGCTACATCGAGCTTCTTAGACTCCGATGACACACAGCATCCAAAGACCACGTAGAGCTGGTGGCGATTGCGAAACAGGGAAAACAGTAGTGTGCTTGTAGAGTTGAGTGCGGGACATGTTAAAACGTGGGCAAACAGTCGACTAGGCTCATTCTATCCCGGAGAGCACTACTAGCAGACGTAGTTGTAGTGAGCCGTTCGCCATCAGAGGGATAGCGCGGGGTCAGAGCAGCGAAGCGGAGATCGCACGTAAAGGAAGAGGCCGGACAGGCGAGCGAATGGCGCACGTTCGCCTACTGGCACGTTTCGACGCAGTCCGAAGTTGTCTGTCCCAGGTCAGATAAAGCATTCACAGCTGAGATAGGGAGGAGCTAGCAGTCATCTCTGCCCCCTCACAGTCTATCCCCGACGTCGAGTGCGTCGGGTCATTCGTCCAGTGGTTGTCTGTGGCAACAAGTTCAAACGGTGCGCGCGGATCGAATTCGCGCGTCGTGCCTCTCATTTATTGACGCCCACGATGTATTCTGACAGCCCGCCGCTTTTCTCGCGCCTATCGAGTGCAACGCTTCCCTTAGATCACGACCGCCATGAGAGTTCCGACAATGGAGCAGTTCGTGGCCGCCACCGGTGACGAGACGGGCATCCGCCCTGCTGGCCCGACCCCAGGCGCTCTATTTGGTGAGTGTGTGTCCGATACGGTTCAGAACATCCCGCTGAGAGCTCTACAGATGCAATGGAGGACTACTTTGACTCCAGGATAGACCTTGTGTCTCGCAAGCTTGCTAAGAGGAGAGAAAGCCTACAACTGCGGCTCTCGCTGGGCGGCATCCTGCGACGGACAAACTCAGCCCCAGGTGCGGAAGCCCTGTCCGAGCAATTCGAGCGCGAGATTGCAAGACTCCAGCTCAAGGTGAGTGTCACGTATGAAGAGCTTCCGCAAGATTGTGAACATGCCGAACCGGACAGATGAAGTCGCGCATGATCTCTCTCACCACGGCCTGGCGTTCAAGTCGCGTCGTTCGCACCCGCGAGAAGTTCTCATTCGTCTTCGGAGTGATGTCCATCCTATTGTCCGCCCTCCTCTTCGGGCTGTACCCTACGTGCGTACGCACACTACACATGCTGCGCACGCAGACTGACACGCACCTTAGCTGGGTACACGTCGCGTACACAGCACAAGCGGCGTACCTCCTTCCCATGCGCATATACTCTTTCAAGAAGCGACGATGGCATTACTTCCTTTTCGACCTATGTTACTTTGTCAACATCATGAACTTCGTCTGGATCTGGATACTGCCGCAGTCTCGCGCCCTCTTCATCGCATGTTATTGCCTATCACATGGGTCTGTCGCTACAGCTATCGTTACCTGGCGCTTGGGCATGGTGTTCCATGACGCGGAGAAGGTCACGTCTATGTTTATCCACATATACCCACCATTTGTACTTTCTACCATCAGGTGAGCTTTGCTGTCGATAAATGAGAATCAGTGCTGATGAAACTGTAGGCATTTCTATCCCAATGCCGCCGCACGGTTCCCTGCTCTTCAAGACCTACCCCACCTTAGCGCCAAGGATGCCTTTGTATACTCTAGCGTCTTGTGTAAGACGCCCGTTACTCTCCAGAGTGATCCGCACCTTACCTATCTTGACAGATCTCTTCTGGCAGACATGCTACTGGAAGTTCGTCTGGGTCAATCGTCGTACGAAGATCCAGTCCGGCGAGAGAACGACCTCGCTCACCTTCTTCCTCAACAACAAACGTGGATGGGTTGGAAAGTTACTTGTTGCCACCCCTCCAGAACGTCGAGCGGTCTACTATATGATGGGCCAGTTTGGTAAGAGAGTTCAGACCACCATCTGATAACCCACTCACTTCTATCAGCATACGCAATCGTGACAGAGCTCATCCCCGTCTTTGCCCTATACGATAGTCTACATTGGAGTGCAGCCTACCTCCTGGTATGCTTCAGCGTCTCTGTCTGGAACGGAGCAGGTTTCTACATCGAGGTGTTCGGCCGCAAGTATGTCGATCCTTCCCTTTGCTTGGCCAGGTACTGAATACACATCAGATTCGAGCGTGAACTAGAGGCCCTCCGCAAGGAACTCGCGGAAGCGAATCAACGCGCTCTTCAGCAAAGCCCAAGCCTCACTGCGGACGACACGTCGACGACAGTCTCACCCATACTGGGACCCACGTCTCCTCAGACGCCTAGCCCCCCAATGCTACCGACACTCGGGGCACCTGTACCACCAATCCCGTCCCTAGAAACAACGCCAGCTCAGGTCGCGATTGCCGTACAGTCCGCCTTGTGACAAGAACTCGATGATTGTACTTGGTTTCGTCACTCTACAGTCAACGAATGTCCGGACCTTTGTTGAATCGTTTCAGTAGATCCTATCTGGCGCTCTCTGTTTCCTATTGTATTTCTAGCTGTCTTCAACACGACCGTCTTTATGATGTAATGAGATGTTACGAACCATATCTTCTACTTGCTGCCCGCTCAACGCAGATCTTGGTATCGTCATCGTGAACGTCGGAACATCGGTCTGCGACGATAGCGGCTATCCGTTCTCGCTGACTCCGTGCGAGGTAGATAAGCGCCCCTACAAATGGATTCTTCGCGGAGCCATATCGAAGGGTTATCCTCTGCCTTACTCCGCCATGATGACGACCATAGCTCCGGCAACTGTCCTCATTGCTCTGGGTCTAGCTGCATGCGCTGTGTCCTTACTCATGTGGAAGAGGCGAGCGCGCTCGCAGGAGGATCGGACGAGACAACGGAAGATCGATCCCGGCTTCGCAGAGGGTGAGTAGCTTCCCGTGCCATTCGCGGTGGCGTGACTTACACCATCATCGCGCAGAATGGGCACCAGTGTCATTTCAGTATCCAGAGATTGCAGCCTTCGAACATGACGTCGATCACTTCCCTCCGCGGCCCTACAGACCCTTCAAACCCGGCACATATCAGTAGGATACATGGCCATCGTTATGATACTCAAAAGCGCTGATCGTTTCTTCAGCGTGACCATGGGTATACGGAACATGAATTGGAATGACTGGATCGAGGTTCGCTATAGTCCTTACATGGGGATGTATAACTGATCAGAACCTCAGTTGGACAGTCAATTCCTTGAGTGGCATCGCATTCGTTCAGAGCGCATCACGGCCAGAGGTTCCCAATTGATCCATGTTCTTCCTGATCGTCCCATCGTTCGTGGGGCACAGCCCGCTGCCGAGGAGCTCGTACAAGAACTATCCGAGTTCCTTGTCAGACGATACCCGAGCATGTACAGTGTAACGCGCGATGAATCTGTAGACGGATGGAACGGCGCGGGGAAGGTCACGACTGTCACCATACTTCCGACGAAGGAAACGTATGACGTGTCTGTCGAGCCTATGCGAGTGGCTGCGCTGCTGTAAGTCATCTCATGCTTTTGATATGCTTTATATCTCTGATATGTCTAGCATACCGGATGATCTGGCTATCCTCATCAAGGGTCAAGACGGTCAATATTACCTACAAGGAGGCGCGATCATCGTCCCAGGTACCATTCATGTGCCTTGTAGTGGACACGTACTAACTTCTCTGCACCTTCAAAGGAACCTGGAGGCTGAAAGACAAGATCGGTATGCCGCTGGATGAGATCCATATCACAGGCGAAGTACCATATTGTATGCTCCCTTGCTATGTGCAAGCCCATTCACTCCAACTGATCCTTCGTTCAGATAAAGAGAAACTGCAGCTCTCTATGAATCGATTCTTTTCCCGCCTACCCGTAGACAAACCTGTGGTACGCAACAACTGGTTCTTCCAAGCCGTGCTCCCGCGCGACGTGGCCGACCCACACGATCCCGAAGAGCTCGGTTGGTACAAGAGTGTGATGGGTTCCGAGGACGACTTTGTACACGTGCCATCTTCGTATCTTCTGGAGATGGAGGCTCTGGCAAAGGAGAAGACAGGGAAGCAACACCCTGCGCAAGCATACGACGCAGAGAAGCCACAGGCCACGACAACGAAACAGCAGAAATGTAAGGCCGGCGCGGACAATGAAACACCTTCACCAGTACTCCCCATCACGGTCGATCGCATACGCCTGCGCTCTGAGCGTCAGACGCTGCGAAGGCTTCCCCGTACAGGCGCCATTGTCTTCACGGTCCGGACGTACAAGACGCCCCTAGAGCAATTGGCGCGCGAACCAGGAATGGCCGCGCGGTTGGCTGCCGCGCTTCAAGGTGTCAAGGAGGGCGCACCTGAAACCTACTCGTCAGTATCTCGTTACTCACATTCTAGATCGTTGCCGTTGTTTGCTCATACTTCGGTACTGACAGGAGGATGCTATCGATGAAGGGCCTGGAGAAGGTGCTGTTAGACTATCTCGACGCTCGAGCAACATTAGAGGGCGCCCTTTGATGAAGCTCTCAGCGATAGTAGTTCGACACGTTTGAACATCACCAGTCACTGCAGAAGTGAAGAATGAACACTAGAACAGGTACAAGCATGGGGTGCCTCTTACGCATAGCAATGAAGGATCGGCGATTGAGGGCGATTCTAATCATCGACTCTGTCTGTGGTTCGGATGGCGTAGCACTGGCTTGGATATGAATGCACCTCATGCACTAGAAGCACATTTCGCGCGATCGAGTTATCTAGCAGATCGATGTAGTGAGCTCGCACTGCGCATAACGCGCGTGAGCAGACAGCAGACCAAGGCCTGCGAGCTCCAGACGCCACCAACATCTAGCCTCACGGATCGAGGGTGGCGATGCTAGGGCGTAAACCCACGTATGGGATTAGCGCGTTGGTCATAAGATACACGACGCGCACGAGAGCATCCACTCCCCGAATAGAAGGAGCAGTGGCCAACAGGTCTGTTGGGCGAGTCGTCAAGCGGTTCTCAGCCATGCCACGGCCGTGAGGTACTGACGCGGTAGTGGTGCACAAGATCGGGTCAGGATTTCTCCAAGATGCGTAATATCTCACAATACAAACTGCGTCCAATAGTCAGGACGACTTGCCGAGGTTTAGGAAGGAACCCTTGAGCGCTCCGCAGTACGATCGGCCTTTGACTGGGGGCAGTCTCTTGAAGGCTTGAAATTTCAGCGCACTAAACTTGTATCACAAGACTGGAGGATAGTGGGCGCAAGACTAGAGGTCAAGCTCGAATGGGACGTGGTGCGGCCTTCATGAGCATTACTGGAAGCGAAGCGTCCATAAGAAGGTAGGATAGCAACAAAGAAGTTCCAGGCCAAGCGGAACGAAGCATATTGAGGAACACTAGCATAACGTCAATCCCCACCGATTTGGTATACCGATTATGGCTTCGCAAGCACCCACACCCCGTGCCGGGCACGCCGAGCGTCGTCGGGCGTTACGCCACCGGCCTGCTGCTTCTCCATTCGGAGACGCTTTGCCGTCTTCTTCTTGCCCTCGACGATGCGGCGCTTCTCGAAGTAGACATACCTACACCAAGATGAAGATGAGTGCATGCTATACATGCGACGCGAAGCAGGGAACGTACGCGCAGTAATAGGTGGAATTGTCCGCGCCTCCATATGGACCACTCTGTTTCACTGGGGATAGGTTAGTGAGACGTATTGCGACGCGAGCAAGACGCGTGCGTACTAAAGCGCTGGTATGAGTTGCTGTTCACGTTGCCAATCTCCTTCAGCCAGTGCGTGACCTATGGAGCTCCGGTATCAGCCCAGTGGTCAAACAACTATACGCGAGAGCGAACCTTGAAACCAGGCTCCTGGAGCAGAGCGCGTATTTTCCTTCGGATATCGTTGCAGTCGTCGCTAGAATCATTCAATGCCCCGTGTATGAAGCGAAGCCGAGCATTACGCACTAAATGGGTGGCCCGCCCTCGCCCTCGCCTTCGAGCTTGATCTGGTGCCATGGGAGTGGATTGCCGTCTGCGTCAGTGGGAGGCCCGTCATCCTTGGCAGCCTTCTTCGTTTTCTTCTTCGGCGGCGCTTTGGCAGTAGTCTCCGCGTCGTCCGTCTCAGGTTTGGCAGCCTCCGTCGCGGGGTTGTAGTCGTCGTCATCGGATATCTCCAGAACGTCGGACTTGCGTTTGGGTGGCATGTTCTACTAGTATGTTTGTGGTGTCAATAGCTGAGTCGTGATGAAGTGTCAGGGTAGTGGAGTAGTGCTGGTGGTCGATTCAAGCTGTCAACGGAGACATGTACGCGTTATTTGTGGTTGTTTGATGCGCGTTGCGGCTGCGCCGACGCTGGAGGCCGAGGTCGAGGTCGCGATCAATGATCGCATACTTGCGCATATCTGTGCATACCAACAGATACCAACGCGTACCCGCCGTGGGTGCGTGCCAGCCCGCCTCAGCGCAATTCGTTATAGGTGCGGTTTCCTCGATGTAGACCACCCATATACGTCTGGCCAGAGCGCGTTACGCCAGCGCGCATAAGATGGATGTCGGGCCCGCAAGACAGGAATCGCTACCTAGCAACTTCTGTCAATTCGCTCTGTGTCGAGCTGAGTTGAGCTCAACTACGCTCGGCGGTGTCGATCGTAGTACACCGCCGCCCTGGATAACCGTCTGTAAGAACCTGATAGCCGTCCACTCATTCTGCACGCACCCAATCTCGCAGAGTCTTCTTGCCTCGCCATCTCTGCACGTCAACCCTCACGTAGGCCGTGTAAGTATCCGGCATCGTATCTGAGCTACAGTCTGCAGATCGCTAGCCCTCGCGGTGGTTGAACCTGCCGTCACAATCGCCAGTGCCTGATCAGACAGCGCGGGCGGCCGAACACCCTATGACCGACCTCGCGGCGTCTCCCACTGGATGCCACAAAAGTATGAAGCGTCGCGGAGGACAATGCACTTGCAACGAGAAAGCGCAAGCGCGTCATGTCGCTAGGACACACGTTCAATGCAACAAGCCGATCGTCCCGTTTAAGTACAAAGCCACAAAAGGGTTATCCGCTCTTTCTTTAGCTTTTGGCGTGCGAGCGGATGCAGTCGGGCGAACTGCGGCTGTCGTCATACCGGCGGCGCGGCATACCACACGATGCCGAAGCCTGGACTTGAGCGGGACCGCGCGGATTCGGCGGGATTGATGCGCTCCCGAGGTTGCCGCGCCCGATGGTCGTCGGAAAGGTGCAGACAGTAGTCGGTGGATCAAATAGCTCTACATTGTTACGTGGCATGAATGCAAGGGTGGTGTTGGCAAACGAATACTCAGCGCTTCAGCGCCCACGCACAGTACTGCGATCCAGTGCTTTCCGAAGCGTCTGTTGACAGCGCGGGATCGTGTAGCGCGCCCGGCGATTTTTTTAGCTGTAGCGAGCTCACGATGGGCCCAGATAGAAGACAGGTGTACGAGCGCCTATCTACAAGGCTGCTCTCCTGACCCTGCGCACTTGATCTCGGCTAATGTTATGTTCAAAGCTTGACACGACAAGCTTTCCTCGTGGCGGGCGATAGCCCTCGGAGGACTGAATGTATGCGTGCACCGGAAGCTTGCAGGTCAGGCGGGCGTACGCTAGCTCACACGCGCATTTCGGAGGCAAAGGGTATGCAAACCACCCAGAAGACAGCTGGTTTCAGGGAGGCTCTGGAATGCTGCACCTCGAGGATCAGGGTAGCTGCTGACGATCAGAGGATGTCAGGAAGCTTGCATGAAGAGACTGGAAGAGAAGGAGGATGGGTGTCTGGGCTGCGAACTATCGGAGGCGCGCGGCGGATCTCTGCCTCGAGGACCCTCGAGCTCCACAGCTTGGGAAGGAATGGCGCGAACGGCGAGCCGCCGGGTGCGAGGTGTGCGCTCGATGGTTATCGCCGTCTCATCACGGTAGATACATAGCGCGCTGGGCGCGGCTGAGGGTGGTCGGTGTACATACAACTTCTCGACGTGGCTTTTCTACTATCTGGCATTTGCATTTGGTCGAAGATGTCAGCGCAGCATGCGCGTATTGTGGGCGCGGGCAAAAATGCACGGCCGGAGTCCGGACCACGCGTGGCAAACAGCTCATCAGCTGAGACTGCACGCCAAGCGCTCAACACCGAGCGAGGATTCAGCTGTATGCGACTGGCATCGGGTCGAACGACGGCGAGCATAGGAACGACGGTGTGCGACACTGGCAGCTCACGGTCATTGGCGACGTCAAGACAGGGGAACGGGACCCAAACGGGACCTGAACGCGCGAAGAGCGGGTAGCGTGTGATCGGTCTCAATTTGAATCAGCCAAGGGATGGGCGTTGACGCAGGGAACTCTTAAGCCAACCGACGTCACTGACATCGCTTTTCCCGCCCGTCGCCTCCCCTGCGTCATCACAGTCATACTCCAATATTCTAGGTCAACCGTCCAACGACGTCGTCTTTTGATCCAAGCTCGGCTACTGGGTTTTCTCACTACGTATTGCTGAAACGAAAACGAGATGTCGCCTACGCAAGCTTCCGAGCAGGGCGATGACGCTGTCGTCCATGCCTCCCGCCCTCCTCCGCGACCCAAGCGGTCGAACTTTGATCAGGAGCCCAATCCGTTCGAGCAGTCCTTCGCTGGCCCTACGTCTAGCATCCGCTCCTCTGCCCGCCAGAACTCGAACGAGTCCAAGGCTACCGACGATGGCGCCGCCCGCTCGGAAACTTCCGATCGGCGTTCGCCCGGCGACGACGAGAGCAAGCCGACGCTGCCCCCGCTCGCATCCATCTCCTCGCCCTCGGACCAGTACCCATGGGGCTTCCCCAACACCGCCAACGCCGCCAACTCGCTCCGGGCCGGCCCGCTGTCCCCCGCCATGCTCGCCGGCCCCGCCCAGGCCAACGGTCAGGAGGGCCAGATGGCCTTCGACCCCTCCAACTTCCGCACCGGCCTCACCCCGCGCACCGGCCTCACGCCTGGCACCGGCCTGACCCCCCTCATCGGCGGGCCTGTCGCTTTCCCACCGCCGTCACCCGGGACAGCTGCCTTCCTGAACATGATGAACAACGCCGCTGCCGGTCCCGGCGCGGCCACGATCACGCCCAACACGCTCAACGCTATCACCGGTGTCCTCTCCAACACCGCCAGCAATGCCCAGCCCACACAGGGACCCCACCCTCTCTCTGTCTCACATGTTCCTGACCGGTACGACCGCAACGGTCAGCCAAATCACGCCCCAAGTCAAAGCCCGACGCAGGGTCACCCCAATGGTCACTCAAACGGCCACCATGGTCAGGAGAACTACGCCGTCAGTGCTCAGCATGCTCAGAACAACGCCGCAAACGGACTCTTCCTCCTTTCTCAGGCCCACCAGGAGCTGACAAAGCGCGAGGAGGCTCAGCGTGCGGGTCAGTATGCCCACCAAGTGCAACAACAGCCGCAACAGCAGCAGCCCGCACCGCCAGCCCCCACTCAGAATGGCTCGCGTCGTGGTACAAAGCGCAAGAACACCGACGCCGAAGCCCCTGCTCCAGTCGCCAAGGCACCCGCCAAGCGCACCCGCCAGAGCGCACAGAACGTGCACGTCAAGGCGAGCCCGAGCATCGACGAGGAGGAAGAGGACGACGACGACGATATGATGAGTCAGGACATGTCCCCGCCGGCCGCAAACGGCAAGAAGGGTAACAAGAAGCCTGAAACGGAGGAGGAGAAGCGGCGCAACTTCCTGGAACGCAACAGACAAGGTCTGTCTTCTCTTTTGACAGTACTCGTCGAATTATGTGCTGAATCTTGTGTTCTCTCCAGCTGCACTCAAATGTCGCCAGCGCAAGAAGGCCTGGCTCGCACAACTCCAAGCCAAGGTCGAATTCCTTACCCAGGAGAACGAGCGATTGCAGTCGGCCCTGGTTAGCGCTCGGGAGGAGATCGCGCGTTTGAGCGCCGCTGCCGTTATCCCCGGTCAGGTAGTGCAGCACGGCGGCGCGCCCGTGGCCGTTAACGTGAGCCTTCCGCAGGGCGGGAAGCCCCAGAACGGCAGCGCACGCGGGTACGGATACTGATCGCGATCCGTACGGATCCCCCTTCGTGCTTTGGCACTCCTGCTTTCGACCCTGCTGACTGATTGACTGGACTGCGCGATACTCGTACCCTTCATTTCTTTACACCCCTTCGCCCATATCCGCACCCCTTGCCACGGACGATCTCATACACGATGGACCGTTCTTATGCCCCTCCCCCTCCCTCCCCCTTGAAACCCCTTTCTCGCTCTGCGTGTTCTACATACACACATCACTATCCTCGGGGCACAGACACGAATGCTTCTCCCGACATACAGAATAACGTCCCTTGTATTACCTGTTCTGCTTCCATTCCCTTTCTCCCGTCCTCGAACTAGCTGTCTTTGTATCGAACGTCATCCAGAGTCTGCGTGGTGATTAGTGAAAGTACCCTATGTTGGCCTCTCCGGTGCTGCTTGTTCTCCATTTTGTTACATATCTCATGGTGGCCGCGCTCTGTGTACATGCGCGTGTATGGTTCTATGCATGCAATTCGTCTGCAGGATGTTGCGCCTGCAGTTCCTGACGCGCGGCTGCCTGACTTCCCGTAACATCTATGCACGACATCACCTCGGATGCGCGAGCCGGACAGATTGTTCTGAGACTGCCCACGCTTGCTCGCGAATTGAGGAGGGATGTTGCGCGATTTGGAGTTACAGCCACGATTCCACTGTAAGGCACACGATGAGGTTGAGCATATCGTCCTATAGGCCGCGCTCATTGCTCATATTGCGATCTAGCACTCATGTGGTGTAGGTTCCCGCGACTGCTATCGCGGGTAGAGATTCAGGAGTATGTGAAGGTTCATACATCATGGCTCGTCGAGGACCTGAGAACTGTGCTGTTGATTAAACTACCTGCAGAGTTGAACTCTTCCCGTTGTGACCCTCGGCAACCCAGCCATCCTGAGAAAGGCCCTTCCGGCCCTAAAAGCGCATCCTTCGCGGCGTTGTATCGCGTTCGCTTCTGTTTCTCTTCGGCATACGTTCGTGTCCTGCGTGTCGATGTTTCAGCATACCTTGGTGCTCAAGATCATCGCCAGCACTTACGGGTCGAAAGCGCGCCCCATATCCGACGAAATCCCCGCATACAATGCGAAGAGGGACGCTTTTGACAATGCTGGTCTGCGCAAAGGATCAGAACAGTATGCCAGCGGACAGGTAAGTTGGTTCTCACTTGAATCTTCCGTTCGCGCGGTGTTTTGGGGAGATACCTCTTCGGATCCCGTTGATAAGAACTTCGTGGCCGGCAGAAGAGTCGGCGACCCAGCATACAGCTTCAGGATCTCAAGTCAGGACAGGAATTATATCCGTAAGGCGAGATGATCGCACAGTCATTTGACGAAGAGGTCGCATTCAACACAGAGCGCGAGTGCTCAAAGGGTGTGTCGGTAAAGTGAACTTTCGGCTTGGACGAACGGAGACCCTCCGGGAGATCTGACCGGATATCAGCTCATTCCTGGACATTGAACGTGTATCGTTACTTGGTAGGTTGGCCAATCTTCCGTGAAGAGCACGGTCGCAGTCGGCTTCTACGATGTCTCGCATGGAATGATCGACTTCGCCGATGACAATAGCGTCGATATAGATGGGCTCTGGAACCATGTCGCTAGCAAGCGCACCCTGAACGCCCAAAACACTCCACCGTGCGATCTTGTCGCTGCACGACATGCTAAGAACGGCTGGCGCATCCGCGCGCCCGGGTTTAGTCCTAAGAACACCCAAGCGCGCGTAGTTGTCGCGCCCTCGGGACACGGATGCGGTAGTGAGCTCTGGCCATGCGGACGAGTCTTTGAGTGCGGCCATAACAGGGTCTTGCTGCGCTGCGAGCAACCTCGTTGAGGCATCTCCGCCTAGATGTCTGTGAGCAACCCAGATGCGTGATGTGCATGATGATGATTCATACATGGTACAGTAGATATATATAGATACACTGAGACACAATCTCTGAGAGCGTATATGCAGTCCCCCGACGCATATAGCCAGTGAGATTGGACACCTCGATGACACCTCCTTACTTCCTCGAGTAGCCACCTGACAAAGCCGCGACGGGCCAGTACCTCCGCATGCGAGTCATGCAGCGCATCTCCGCATACAGGTAGTCGAGAAGCAGGTAGGCATTTTGAGCCGGTGCCGAGGCTGACGACCTTGAGTCGGTCGCGTATTTGGTCGTGCAAGACAAACGAAGCAAGGATCGTGAACTTGCCGGGCTGGGGAATAAATGCCAGCGAGCGATAGGCAGAAAGCGCAGCTTGGACTACATCTTCAAGCCTGGTGTCTACCGCGCATCCGCCAGCATGTTGCATATATGGAAGGGCTGCAGATGGCTGTCGAGAATAAGTTGCAGATCAATGATCGGCACGGGCGCGCCGGCGGAACGGTAGGAACGTGGCAGGCACGGTGACGTCGGTGAGCGCTAGCTTTTGGTGTGGCTCCCGCCCTTGGACCTGCACCACAACATACGCCGCAATTGTACTGCTTCAGGGCCTCTGGCATGCACCCAGCCTATCTCCAGTACTCCTCCTCTCCAACGATGGGTGCATGACTAGCTTGGCGCTGGTATATAGTTGGTCACTTTGACTATCGGGAGACCCCACGTCCGATCTCTCACAACCTGAGCATACCCATTACCCGACGCATATATCCCCACATACACAATATCCACTATGGCTTTTGGTCTTGGTCGCTCCAGTAACCGTCGCACCCGTGGCGCCACTCTCACCACCCCGAAGACGACCACCACGACGCGCACGCGCCGCCATCATGGCTTCCATCTGCGCAAGGATCCCGACCGTGTCGCGGGCGGCTACAGTACGTACCTTCCGGCTGTCGCACAGCCTACAACCGGCTCATCTTATCATGCAGAGGCTGCCCTAGCCAACCCCAACACAACCCATCAGGGACGCAAGCACGCCAAGTGGGAGCTACGCAGGATGGTATGCAGCCTCACGACTTGAGCATGTCGAGTAGCCGACTGACTGGTCTTTCGCAGGGTCGCGGAAACGAGGCTCATGTTCCTCTCATGACCAAGATCAAGCGTACGCTTGGAATCCGCAGCACTCCTCGCGCAAGCAGGCGGACGCACACGGTATCCAGTACCAGCAGGATGCGCCGCACTCGTCGTGCTCGCTATTAGAGGAACCATTCACCCTGTTCGTTGACATACCCAAGTACAATATAGCCCTTGATATATCCCCCATGTATAACCGTGTATGAGTATTCACCGATGTAATGATGCTGTTGAAGTACACCAATCGCGGTACCCTCAAGTGAAAAGCTCGTGCAGATGATGGCCGATAGGGCAGGGTATAGTAGTACATGTTCAACATTGATAGCAGTAGTTACATAGATATGAATGACGACACATTTAACCATGGATGAGATGCAGGCGCGAATGCGAGGAAAGCGATACTACAAAGCGGCGGAACATAGGAACGATAAATAGACATGATGGATTAGATTGTGGAGAAAATGGGAAGCCACACGCCAGGTGTTTCTTCCTCCAACCGATGGAGCAGGATGCGCTTGCTGGAGATGACAGTGCCATTTGACTGGCGGATCAAAGTCAATACCTGCGTTCGAAGAGCAAAGGCATGACTTTACCTGCAGGTAGTGTAGTACAGCGCGGCCCAGGCGACGTGCCAGGCCCGACATACTGACGTAGTCGCCAGAAGTGACGGTCACCGGAATCTCGTAGCTCAAAGGCGGGTATCCGTTCCACTAATGGGCTAGTCAGTTAAACAGTGTTGCACAGCCGATGACCAACGAGCACTTACGCGGATACGAACGTAGAGAAGCCCACGCGCCGAGAGGCGGAGATTGTAATAACGGTAGCGATACCTCTTGGACATCTCGACCCCATGGCGGCCGCGATCCAGCACTTCAGAGAGCAGCACGCCAGATTTCCCACCAGCGCCGCGTGCAACGAACTTGATTTTCGAGCCTGTGCGCATGTTCGTGCCCATTGACATGGACATGCCTGGCATCATACCCGAAACCATAGGCCCAGCCATCCCATTGACCATCGACATTGGGACCGATCCAGGCATTCCCAGCGGCGGAGTTACGACGGGAACCTGGTGGATGAAGGAGCCTGGGGCGGGGGTCGGCATGCGTGGATACTTCATGTCGTAGTGTTGCGACGGGTATGATCCCAGAGGCGGGGCGCCGTAAGGACCTGCGCTGAACGAACGCGAGCGGGTTCGACCGGTAAAATAGGTTTCCGGTTCGCTCATGAGTGGCGATTCTTCGAGAGACCCTTCGTCATACGCTGGATGAAAAGGCGTCGGTTCGCGTTGCACTGGTACCGATACACCGGAGCCGGGGTGAAAAGGAGTCCGCGGAGGAGGAGACGGAGACGGAGACGGGCTCAAGCCTGGATGGTAGGGAACCGGCGATGGGGCGCGATGCTCACGTGGGATACCATGCATGACTCCGGGAGGAGGTTGGTATGCGTGGTAGTCTTGCTGCTGGTACGGCTGTTCGAATATCACGCGTCAGGTCCATCTCAGTGCTCGGGGCAAAGGGTGGTGCTCACGTCGTCGTAGTTTCCTGCAGGATAAAAGGGCTCGTCAAAGGACGCCGGGCCAAACCCATTGTCGTGAACGCTGTGCATGGATGCACGCCGAGAGGGAGTTCGCGCAAACTGGGGGTAGGCCATATCGGAGAGCGTGATGGGAGTGGGGAAGGTAGTCGTTGGGGCTTTTCAGTACGGGTACCAGTCCTTTATACGCCTCTACAGCCGACACAAGCGTGGCCCGGAGATGACAGACCGCTTAAAGAGCAGGGAATGGATGCCACACTTTGTGAATAAACAAAGCTTCCGTCGCGTGAATTGAGGCGTGTATACAGCCAGGCAGGGAGAAAGAGCCGCGGTAAAAGAGCTCTGGCACGTCCTAAGCGATGAATCAAGGGCTTTCTTTGACGCACAGAAATAGGATACGGCGACTGGGGAGATAACATCGAAGCAAGGCGGGGGCATCTGCACTTAAGTACCGCGAGAGGTGTGTCCGAACGAAGCTTACCACGCGCCAGCCCCGACATACGTCCCTAGCCACGACTCGGCGTAAGAACAGAGGGGTTCATCAGAGATAGCACAGGGTTCGGACATTCGCCGAAAGTTCTGCATGGAGAGTCTCGCAGCGTGTTCCCCCCGTGTCGCTCAGCGCTTGAACTTTGGTAGCGTCGCTAATCTCTTTGTGACTCCAGATGAGAGCTGCATGACAAGAGACGGGAGCAAAGAGCGTTTGAGGCTGAAAGTATTGTATCGTCGAAATGAACGTCTTCATCATGGTTGGAAGTCTGAGCCAGACTCGCAAGTCGGACGAGCTCAGACCTGTTCAGACGCGGGAATATCCGCCACCACGTGTCCTGCCGCACGCCACTATTCGTGCCCCGTTCTTTCTCTTCTAACCTTCACATCCCGCGCGTGCCGCAGGCTGTTTACATACATACGGGAACCCCTAGAACTACGGAAGTCTTCTCGGCCATAGACTGTGCAACTGTGCTAACTCTGAACATATATATGGACTCAGACGATCTTCAACCCGTTCAAGGCCCGGTAAGTCCTGTGAATACCTGTACGCACATACGCAGTTCTCATACCACACCTGGCAATAAGACCGCGGGGAGCATACAAGACCTGTTGAATAGCCTTCGAACGTCCGCTGCTTGGGCGCAGGTTGTGGGCGTAGCGTCTGCCGCCGACGCTCGCGATGCGAACAACCTCGTTCACACACCTGGCCATGAAAGTCATGAGATAGGGCATCCGGTTTCATCCACACATACGGCAACGCCTGTAATACTTGATAGTGCGACGTCAGTTGGATCACCCTCGCCTTCAGTCGCATCTCTGCTGTCTCAGCTGCAAGCGTCTTCTGCGAACATATCTGTGTCGACTGGTCCTCCAGCGCCTGCTCTTCAGCGACAACTGAGCGATGGTCACATACCGACCACGCAGGAGTATGGCTCTATGCCAGACAACCTATCGTCGCAGGGGGCGACCCCAAACCAAGCTCAACAGAAAGACTTTCGAACGATGTCCTTTCAGAAGTCTCTAACACACGTTGCTGCGTTAGCCGAGGACGAAGACTTCGTCCAGGCCATGAAATCGGTGAGTGCAGTCATACCATATCTGATCATGATAAAGCTCTAGTTCTGTATCAGATGAAAGAAGAACAGGATGCTCTAGAGCGTAAGCTCTGGGAGGAAAGAACCGAGATCCTCGACCGACACGAACAGAAGGTCAAGGCGGCGAAGTCCAAGGCCCAGATCATCGGATCTGGTCTGTCGAAACTGGATGCAGACCTGTTGTCCGACGCCATTCGTCGAGAGATCCAGGCATTCGAAGTAGAGCGAGCGCTACCAGCATGGGACGGACTAGTAGCGAAGCACCAGGCCGCGATGGAGGTCCTTACCGTCCCGGCCATGTTCGTCGCATCCAACCCTGCCGATCTTCAGGTGACGATGGTCATTCTCTGATCGCACGCCAGGCTCTGATTACTCGGAATAGAAACAGAAGAAGGTTATGCAATTGGTCGAGGGGACGATCTACGGCGACGAGTAACGGGGCTACTCAAAGCGCCGGTTTTTGTTCCGGTCTGGGCAAGGACTGGGTAACACGCGGACTCAGTCTTCCATCGAACGTGTGGCGAACCTTGTCAATTAACCATTGTTGAACGAAAATGGATGTTTCCTCGTATCAGGAGTTCAGCGTTCGCTGATCGGATGTATATGTTTGCCGTTCCTTCCGCAGCGGGTTTTGTGCGCCGGCGGCGCAAGTGCCTTGCGTTTCGGACTGCAGCGCTCAGCGCTGGGTACTCTCCCTCGGGCACCATATAACTGCCATTGCTTCGAGTGATATTGACAACGCTGCGGCGGCGCCACCATCTGGTTCGAGGCTTGTCGCCATCGCCTCCGTGTATCTCCGTTGCTCAAGCCGTTGCCGTTCTCGCGTGCGGAGATGAAATACCAGCACAACGGCTCGGTACCTTCTGCATTTGATATATCCTCAGGCCGAGGTCGGGCCTTAACGAATCAATAACCGTCCGGCGTGGACGTCTCTTTCTCCGCACCCCCACCATCTCTCGTTCTGGCTTCCAGGCGTGCGCGGGATGCCTTATGTCGACCTGTTCTCGCGCGATGACTTCGCTCAGCTGTACTACCACACGAACTCGCAGTCAGGCTCAGTGTCTGACTTTGATCCCGCCAAAGCCACAATCGTGCTCTTACATCCGTTCATATTCGACTGCACATGGACAGCTAGCCAGATGGGAGACCCGCGGCTGGGTGATCGGTACAACATCATCGCCTTCGACTCGCGCTTCTCGGGAAAGTCGCGTACGAAGTTGACGGGCAAGTTGGACTATTGGGTATTGGCAGCGGACATCGCATATGCGTTCCAGGTACGTCTGCTACATTGAGAGAAGCGCGACACCTGCTAACCCCGTGTTCGTTGCCAGACATTGCGCTTAGCACCCGCACATTTCTGGGCCGAGGAAGCGGAATCGACAAATGTTGCCATGCGGTTCGCCATGCTGTGTGTTTCGTCTGCCTCGTTGCCCTCACTATAGCTGATCTCTAGCGTAGATTCCCAGAGATGTGTTTGAGCTTAGCGTTGGTCTCTGTGGCCCCGCCGACCGAGTATGTATCGCTGCTCCCTGTTTCGCGCTACCGTGGATTGAACGCGCGGTAGATCACGGAGGTACCTCACATCTGCGGACGAGATCCTGCGAATGTGGGGTTTCGCTGAGAGTCTCGAAGACTACGAGCACGCCTGCCAAGAGCTTGTAGAACTGACCGTTGGAAATGTGCGTCCGTGACCATCTTGGTCATCCATACTCCGTCTAATATCTGCTCAGGACATACCTGAAGATGAACTGGATAGGGTGCGTGATCATTAATCCCTCTTATGACGTGTCCAGTGCTCTGACCCTCGCGGATAGGTCGTAGCGTTCTGGCAGCAGACATATCCACCCACGCATCGTGCACGTTTCATGGGCCTCATGAGTTTAATGTTGAATGTATGCGCGTTCCCCCCCTCCGGAACCTTTGGGCTGACGCCGGACCCAGAGAGTACCATTGACTCCATCGCAAGTTGATAATATACACCAACCGGTATTGTTGATACATGTGCGTTCGCTCTCCTGGTCAACGATCGTGACCTGACCGAGAGACCATCACTTAGGGCGACAAGAACGAGCATCACCCGCTCAAGTACGCGGAACGCTTGCAGTCACGTTTACGCTATGCCAAAGACGGGGCGCGACTTAGCGTCTTACGCGGTAAGCGCGTCGTCCTTCTTCACGAACTCGTGTACTGATCCAGCGTCAGGGTGCGGCGGTTACATTTCCCTACAACCTTCAGCAGCTTCCATCGCCAACCGCTTCTACGCCAACTTCCTCTCCTCATTACCTCCCACTCGCTCCGATTTCTTTACGCGTCCTCTCTCAATCCCAAGACGTATGGCCATCGCGCTGCAAGACCTCTCGGACATTGTACACAATCCAGACGTGGAGGACCGCGACCCGTCTTCGTGCCTTTCCTTCTCCCTCATCCCGCCAGACATAGCGAAGATGCAGCAGGAGGGATTCACGAGATATCATCGCGGACAGAAGAGCGCCTATTCGCCCATACGGCCAGACGGGCGGCCATTCAGAGAGTAAGCACGGAATGAGTCCGCGCTGAAAGACAAGCGCGTGCTGATGTAGGTCCAGGTTTTCCGCGCGGCGCGACGACCACTGGTTTACGAGCGACGGTGTCGACATGCTATCCTATGCGACCGGCAGTGAGTCCGACTTACGTCTGGATCTATGATTCTGGCCGCCGTGCTGACCACTCTGCAGGAGCCGTTTCCCAAAATATACAAGAGAAACGCAAGGGCTCCCTCCCTTCCCCGAACCTCCCCCTCATGAAAGAGTTACCCGAGACGTATTCAGACTCGACACCACCAACTCCTAACGAATACAGCCTCACCCTGAAGCTCCAGCGAACGGCCTCCAACACTCAAGCGGCGATTGAACGCCTGAGCAATGGCAGGAATACGTCTTCGCGCGGCTCGCTCATCAACGGAACCCCTCTTACTCGTTACCTATCCCCATAGTCATGGTTTACTTACACCTTCGCCGGTCGTTTCTCGCTGTCTGTATCACACACCCTCTCATCATCATTACGCATCATATCAAGGACATTCTCCATTCACTCAGCACACGGACCACGATCTCTGCCCCTCTCAAAACTTTACTTCCCAGTCTACCGCACGGCCGTATAAAATCCATTAGCGTCGTATAAGCTTTACCGCATCGGTCGTAATGAACCCTTAGATCTTAGATCCCCTCACTATACATCCTATACATTCATCTCATCCCCAGGCCTGGCCTGTTTACCGCCATGTTGATCGATCTACCGTCGCGTTTGATCGCACAGACTCAATGCTCCGAAGCGCTAAGCGCTTACCGGGTCTCTTCGCGGCAGACTCTACATTCTTTAAAATGCAGGACGAGAACTTATACCGACATCGCGACGCTCCCGAACTTGCGCTTTCTTCGCTGCCCGCGCGCGTCGCATCTTCAGGTCAACCGCCGGCCCGCGCAGTCGTCGGAATGCGATCCCGCCTCTGATGGCATGCGCACGCTGAAGACGAGGCCGAGCAGGCACGCGCTACATAGCTCGGGCACGACGGGGCACATATGGCAACAAATACAGCGCCCATAGCATCCAATATACACTAACGCATCACTACGCGCCTCACAACTCCGACAAGCACGGCACCATCGAGGGAAGCCACACGCATCACGACAGGTCCATCCCGTCCTCCTTGGCGTCGCCGCGCACATGCGGTGTGGCGAGCTCGCGTCGGACCTCGGACCCAATCTGTGCGTGCGGGTGAACGCGCACGACATCGAGCAGAGCGTTCTTCTGGTCTTGCGTGAGGTGTTCGGCGTACCTACGCAAATGCATGAGTTGATATGCAGGGAAAATGATGTTCAGTAATACATACCGTTGACAGAGAACGAGGAGTGATTGGTGCCACAGCACCGGGAGCGCCTCCGAGCGGCCCTTGTGTGTGTTCGATATGCGGATGAAGTGGAATACCAAAGCGTCAAGTACTTGGTATGGCAATGTATACTTCTTGTCAAGCAATACACGGATGAACAATGAAGTTGACCCTGAGGATCGACGTCAGCGAGGATCACTTGCAATGAATGCAGAGGCTGACCGTTGTAATCCATGCGAGAGAGTCGGACAAGGGCACCAGAGGCATGGATCACCGGTACGCTGACTTTTGCGAGAACAGACGCGACGATCGCAGCCTCCTTCAACGTACAACCAGTCTAGCAGGGAATGTTAGCCCGCAAGGCGAATATGCGAGAGTAGGAGACAAACCTCGAGGAGCGGGAATACAATGCCTTTGAAGAACGCGGCGGGCTTATACAAAGCCCTCTTTAGCGCCTCGTAGTAGTGTACGTTCAGCTTGCGGTTATTCTTCGTCGTATTTGGGTTGACGATGTCATCGCGTATAGCGTCGAGCAGTACACCCTGCAGGAAGACCTGCGCTTGGGCGGGCTTCATATTCGACACGAATATACGCGTCGCGGCGTGACAGGCGGCCGGGGACCATGTCTCGGGATGCGTCAATGCCAGGATCCGTGCCCAGCCGGGCAGTGAAGGCACGATTTTGAATGGTTTGGGTAAAGGACCGGAGCGGTAGTTGCGCAGAAGTTGACCTACTCTAGATGGACATGTCAGGAGACGTGGCAAAGATGTGCATACAAGACAGAACAAACTTTGTGTAGACCTCAACAACCTTCGGGTCCAGTCCCTCCGCAGGATCAAGTACACCATCTCCTCTACTTGCCGGCGCTCGGATGACGGTTGTCTGATTCGCACCGGAGTCAAAGTCGAGTTTGGCGAAGATCATGTCCGCAAGCGTTTTGCGCTCCCCGGCATTAGGCGGCAAGAACGTATCCAGAGCTTTGATATCGCCCTCGTCAATGTCCTGCGTGACTGTTATAATCGCATCTGCACGAGCACGCATATAGTCAGGCGATAGAACATACGAGGTCATGCTCTTCTTGATCCACATCCAAGAAACCTGTGTATTCCTCCGCGGCTTCGTCGTCGTCGATCTCTTCCAGGTCCCGCGCACGGGAGAAGGAAGAGTCGGAGAGGACTTCTTCTTCGTCTGCCTCCTCGAGTTCGTCTTGCTGATCCTTTGCGAGTTCGAAGATACGTTTCGACGTTTTAGGATCGAGGATTGCCTATAGAGGGAATGCGATTGAGCAGCCGAATAACACTGAAGACGGAGATGTGTTCACATCAGATTCGAGATCATCATCTGCGTCGGACTTGCGCGTCTTTCTGCGCTTTCCGGGAGCGGTCACGCGTCCATATTTGTCTGACAGCTCGTCCTTGCGGAGCTGTACGTGTAGCGGGTCGTGGCGCGGTGCTGAGGACGCTTTCTGTGCGCGAGGCATGGTGGAAGGAGGAGGAGGAATAGGGGCACTGCTCAAATTTCGAGCCACAAGTCACGTCTTGGGTCACATAATTAGCGCCTTGACGCGCGCGAAAGCAGGTCTTGATTTGGATCATCCACGAATAACATGGCCAGCGCAGAAGGCAGGAAACACGCCCGTTCGTTCTCCGCCCTCGCCGACCCAAGCGCCGTGGTGAAGATGCAGCCGTCGAACGTCGCCCCGATCAAGACGCTGGACAAGAACGGGGAGGAGATCACGACCGTCGGCTTTGACCGCTTCGGCTTTGACTGCGAGGTCCCGCTCGAGGTCGTCCGCGCCCTCTACCTGCGCCCGCACTACATCGTGACGCAGACGTCGGACGATGCCGACATCGACTCCAAGGAGGACTCGGCCCACGCAAAGTTCACCGGCCAGTTCGCAGCCTACCAGTCCAAGAGCATCTACCACCCCGACTCCCAGTCCATCTCCTACACCACCCTCTCCCGTTTCCCGCCCGTGAAGCTTCTCCCGCCCTCCCAGCGCAAGCGCGTCCTCGTCACGGGAGGCGCCGGCTTTGTTGGCTCCCATCTCGTCGACCGCCTCATGCTTCTCGGCCACGAGGTCACCGTGCTCGACAACTTCTTCACCGGCTCAAAGACCTCCGTATCCCACTGGCACGGACACCCCAACTTTGAGCTCGTCCGCCATGACGTCGTCGAGCCCTTCATGATCGAGTGCGACCGTACGTCCAATAATCAACACCCGACGAAGAAACGGCTGACAGCTTCCATGCAGAGATCTACCATCTCGCGTGTCCGGCCTCGCCGCCGCACTACCAGATCAACGCCGTCAAGACGCTCAAGACCTCTTTCCAGGGCACCCTCAACATGCTCGGCTTGGCGAAACGCACAAAGGCCCGCTTCCTCATCACGAGTACATCCGGCATGTCTCGTCATTTGTTCACCATCTGTCTCCGTTCTGACCCTTTGTTTCGCAGAGGTATACGGCGACCCCGAGGTGCACCCTCAACACGAGGACTAGTGAGTATTTTTACCCCTGCGATATCGGGCGATGCGCCCATGTCCGTCAACGGCTCGCAATCGCCGTGCGCGGCGCCGCGACTTTGCCGCGTTTCACACGTCCCGTGTTTATCGCCGCTATAGGCAGTACTCCTGCTTCGGATAGCGACCCGGACAGACGCTGAAATGTTGCCTTTACCAGCTGGGGTCACGTCAACCCGATCGGCCCGCGCGCCTGCTACGACGAGGGCAAGCGCGTTGCCGAGACGCTCACTTACGGCTTCCACCGGCAAGACAACGTCGACGTCCGCGTCGCGCGCATCTTCAACACCTACGGACCGCGCATGAACCCCTTCGATGGCCGTGTCGTTTCCAACTTCATCGTCCAGGCTCTTCGCGGCGAGGACCTAACCGTGTACGGCGATGGAAGCCAGACGCGCTCCTTCCAGTACATCCACGATCTCGTCGACGGTCTGATCGCGCTCATGAACTCGGATGAGACGCGCCCGACGAACATCGGAAACGGCGACGAGTTCACGATCTTGCAGTTCGCTGAGCTCGTGCGCGATATCGTCGAGAAGGTCCAGTCCGAGGACGGCGAGAAGAACGCTCGTCGCGTGAACATCATTCACGAGGGCCTGCCCACCGACGACCCCAAGCAGCGCCGTCCGGACACGACGCGTGCCAAGGAGAGCCTCAAGTGGCAGCCGCGCTGGACTGTGCGCATGGGTCTGGAAGAGATGGTCCGGTACTACAAGGCCAAGATGGCCGAGGGCTCGCTCTAGACGGCTCGCTTCGATCGCTGCCGGTCGCTCCGCTAATAATCTGCGCTGCGCGTTGCTTCTACTTACTTACATATACATACATACACCCGGCGTGCTTGGGCCGCCCACGGACTGGACCGCGATTCGCTTACATAGTTTAGAGGGCTGCTCGGAGAGAAAAATATAGACGATGGTTGTTGTAGAGCTCACAGTACGCTATATAATGCCAACGCTGACTCACCGCTGATGATGAATGTGGTTGGACAGTTTTGGATCAGCATGTTCGAAAGACGTAGAATAGCATGCATCTATGCGTGCTATTCCCGTAGTTGTGCTTTAGCCCTGTGATGGCGAATGATAGAGGCGCCAGGCCTTCGCCTTCAGCGTTGGATAACAAGAATGGTATTTGATCAAGAGTGGACGTATAGTAGAACGCGCATGTAACGAGCAACACCGTAACAGAAATGTTCAAGCCGGTCCGTGGTAGGGTGACTTTGCGACGTGGTCAAGAACGTGGGTCACAGCTTCGGACGCAGCTCGCCTGAGGAGAGGCTCCTCGTCACCTGTTCCGCCCTCAATCCTTGCCCAGAGAACAGATATATCGCTTTCCATCTAAGCAAACCCTGGTAAGAGAGATGACCGGCTAAGGCATATGCAATACTCACAGAGACAGCACAGCGGAACAGAGCCGCGCGGAGATCAGTGCAAACCTCTCGAATCAAAGTCTGGACGTCTTCGATAGTCTTCTCAGCGACGTTCTCAAACACCTGAGAGCAGCCCGACTGGAGCTTCTCACGGAAGCTGTCCTTGGTGCGTTGGGCGACTCCGGTGCCGGGTTCGACGGCGCGGGCCAAGGCGTACGCCTCCGTGAGTTCTACCTGTAGCTTGTCAGCCATTCTTCGCGAAATATCCCTTTGTCCGCGGGTCAGCTTCGCCTGAGCTACGTCTACAGCTGTCTTTATAGCGTTCTCCGCGCTAGCGCCGGCCACCTTGATGACGTCGTCCACTCGCGATACAAGAAGGGTGCGTGTGGCGTCCTGTCCTGCAGACTGTTTGACCTGACTGAGAACGCCAGAAAGCCCTTCGCGAAGATCCTGTATACGCGCATTGTCCCCTTGCGAGAGATCGAGTTGATTAAAGGTCTGAGTCCAAACACCCAAGACATCGTCTTTCATGCGAGCGACCATGCTTTCGTTCCAGTTACAATGAAAAACACCATCGCGACGCATGACTGGCACCATCAGTTACAGTCTTCCATTCAACGAGGAGGATGTGGTGCTTACATGCAATGAGGGTATTCCACCTAATGACGCTGACGAGGTCATTGAAGGTCTGTAAAGAGCTGCCCGATGCCTATCGTTCCGGAGTGTGATTAGAGGATGTGATGGAGATGAAGTGCGCGAGACAAGACCCTACCGTCTGGGAAGCCGCACGTAGAGAGCTGACGAATGCATGTCCAAGGGCTTCAATCATATCAACCTCCAGTTGATTACAGACGGACTCGAACGCCTGGGGCGTCCATCAGTTTACATAGCTCTGCCTAGCAGATAATGCGCCACACCTGTAATGCAGTCGAAAAGATCCCATGATCACCTGCGTTTCACGGGGCGTGAGAGATGTGAATCAAAAGGGAATGAAGAATACGCCCCACCTTCCTCGATCTTGGTGATAGACGTGCTGTACCAGCGAACCATGAGACGCGCGATACCATCATCAAGCTCTTGATCTCCGTCGGAACCGGTCGACTGCCGCCCGGTAACATCGAGGAAGGCCCGGATCGAAAGTGCGTGCGCCTCAAGGTCCCTCGTCAATGACCTCAAGAACACCTTCCTCCGTTCCCGACCAAGCTGACAGACGTGTTGCTGCAATGAGACGATACCCGCATCACCAGATGCATCAGAGGCTGTTGGTATACCGCACATCCGAATGAGACGTGCGAATGAGACGGGTGTGAAAGGATCTTACACTGCATGCGGTGGGTTTCTGCGCTCGTGTAGAAAGCTGCAGGAAGAGTGCGCTCGCCGCGCTCGCCAGTATACGCAGATATCGCATCGACAAACCGACGAGGCCAGGCCGTGAGAATGCTCTAGTGACGAGTTCTTCAAGTCAGATTTTCTCCATCACGCAAGACAGTAGGAGATTCATGTACCTGGCGGCGCTCAACGGCTGCGAATTGAAGCATCAATGGCCGGCTCTGTTCCTGTTGTGACCGGAGGGTATCGAGGCGTGTCGCCTGCGCCTTCATCTGCTCTTCGAAATCCTTGGAAGTGCCATTCGCCTGCGCACGGTTGGGCGCTGATGCGCGTCCCATACCGGCTCTTTCGGTTAATGGAGGGACGGCTCGTCTTTTGCTCGGAGCGCTTGTAGGAGCGCCATTGTCGGATGGGGACCTTCCCCGCTTTTTGCCGGACTTCTTGAGCGCTTGAGCCATAAGCTGGATCAGGACATGACCATCATATCGGAGTGATGAGCGTGTTCACCGGATGCATTCAGCTTCATTTGGGCCTCGAGCTGTTTGCGAAGCTTCTCACAGTCCTTGATCTGGCGTTCTAAGTTCCAAAAGTTCTCCTTTACTCCACGAGTGGCGGCATCATCAGTCAGTGAGCTCTTTGTAGGGAGCAGGCAGAGGTCTCCTTGAGTCGCTGTGACGAGCTTGAATTCAGTTATGGAAGTTGGTCTAAGTATGATGTGCACCACTGACCCACAAGGCTGACGTTGAATCCACTAAAGACACGATGAGCGACAGTCAACTCTCATCAAGCGATAGCTTACTTAGCGTCTGCGGGGTTCACGAAAGAGCATCGATGAGGAAAGTCGTCGGGAAGAAACAAGGTACGACTTCTTACCCACTATGCACGAACATATCGTCAGCGACTGGATACATAACTGGTTTGACCACTTACTGAGAATCTGTTTGATTCCCGGTCCAAGTTTTCCTGTGATCCAACATCAGAAAGCCTATCGCTAACAGTGATCAAGCCTAGGGAGACTTGCCAGAGAACGGATTGCTGTCCGTCGCCCGTACGGCACTGGCCACAACAAAGATATGATCCAAATTTCCGAGGTATTTCAAAGCAACCTGATCTCTTGCGGCGTTGGAGTCTTGAACACCAGGCAGGTCCACGAGGACGACTCCACGAAGTATCTCGGCATCAACCCGATACTCGACCTCTGCTACCAGGGGCCAAAAGGACGGATGCTGATCCTCAGTATCAATGAAAACATCGGCCGAGTCGCCCTGACTCGCACGTCGCACAGCTAGATATAGGGCTTCCGCAAGGTCTTCGGCGTCTTCGCCGTAGTAATCCAGGGTTTTCCCGAAACAATTCTCAAGACCTGGCAGCAACTCAACTTTGTACGACATGCCTAGATCGCGGCGAGAATGGCTTACCTTGATCGAGCGATAATATATCTTCAACAGTCGTTCCATGCTGCAGAACACCAGAAAGTGAAGGGTATAGGACATCGAGCTTCCGAAACCGCGTGAGGATGATGCAGGTGGTACGATGCGTGGTTCAGCGCACCTTTGCCCATATCTGAGGCTCCTCCTTCTTCGCATATGCGACAACGTCTTCCACTCCATTGGCTACACCATCTCTAAGAACATCCAAGAAGGTCTCCACTTCAAATTTCCAGTCATCCCGCGTGATGAACGTGACGAGACCATGGATGATAGGATCGTCGTTCCACACAACTCGAGTGACAAAGGCCGTGCACGCTTCGCCGCCGCCTCTCTTCTCCAGAATATCGCCTAATCAGATCGTCAGAATCATTGGAGAGTATGAGATATCAAGTGCGCGGAGAGGAAAGAGGTACGAACAATCCAAAAGACAGTTCAGAAGCGAAGACTTGCCCGTGCCAGTACCTAGTAATGATACGACGGTGGTGAGTCCGGCGTTCCTGAGTCAGAGTTAAGTGCGAAAGCTCACCGCCAAACAGCCCAATACGCACAACAGGCAGTCTTGCCTCCGCCAATCTATGAGGTACGAGTCACATATTCGTGAGTGTCAAGTAACACGGATGCCCTGGCACGGTACGCACTTAGCCGCCTCGCCTTGCCATTGCTCTGCACGCCTGAGCGAGACATCTAAGAGCCTGCATTGCTTGGACAGATTAAGGAGGAGAGCCTTCAACGCCTGATATTCATCTTCCAGTGCCTCTGAATCCTCATGGGACGATATACTTGATTGGTCGATGTGATTGAACTTAAGCGCGTCTGGCGCTGTGGGGTAATTTCAGTTTAGCAGTGTGGCATGGTAATTGACTACACCAACCTGGTCTTAGCGCACAAAGTTGACGATCTTTAGTCACGTCCGCATCCTCTTGCTTGATCGACATCAGGCGTTAGTGAACAGTGGTGGATGCGGAGAACAAACAAACGGGCTACCCCGTGTATGAGCCCAGACGCGTGGGATAATCCGGAGGCGACCGCGCCACAGGCGCCCGACCCCGCGTACCACCTCGGCTGCACCGTCCTGATCGACAGGACACTGAAGGCACAGAGCCGAGATACGTACCGTACGGCAGATATTATATGTATAGGTGGTTATGTACTCATAAGCGAAGTATTACAGTATATCCTCGCAGGATATTATGCCTTTGTCTTCCTCTTGTGCGTCCTCTCCTCGCCTTTTGGCGCACTGCGAATGGCGCCGAGCACTCCCGCCAGGTCCCCATCCAGTAACCTATCCTTCTTCCGCTTCTTATCTTTCTTCCCGCCGGCCCCCTTTCCAGCGTGCTCTGCGCGAGCCTCTTTCCCAGGTTGCGAGTTTGTGGCACCGGAGTCAAGCGCCGCGCGCTTCACCTTCCGTCCAAGCGCGCCATCAAACAGGGCGTCAATCTCGTCGCCCTCGCCCTGCTCCCGCTTTCGTTTCTTCTTCTTCCCTGCTGCTACTCTCTCCGTATCTCCTGTCTTCTCCGCCGACTCCACCGTCGCGGTTTTGTTAGACGCAGAGGGTGTAGTATCCGCTGTGGCCTTTGCGGCCGCTTTCACCTGCGCCTCCTTCCACTCGTCCGGCTTCCGTCGTAACAGGTACAAATTGAGATTGCGCGCGAAGAACTTGCCATAGAAGCTCCCAGCGAGGGCCCCCTCATGCGGTATCAACGAGCGCGCAATCTTCTCGCGGAGGTAAGGATCCGCAGAGGTCCATAAGCGATCACCCACGCGGCTGCCGACGCGATCGTCGACGAGGACATGGTAATGCCCGGTGAAGCGCTGTATGAGCAACCGTTTCGTACGCGGAGGAATCGTGGGCGAAGTCAGAAGCGCATCCAGTATACGCGAAGAGACCGGATGTTGAGCAAGAGTGGTGAGATCCACGAGAGAAAGCGCGTCGAGGGAGGAGGTGACGAGAACGTTGTGGGGTGATGAGAGTCGTAGTAGGGACTGTAGCAGAAGTGCGCCGGCGACTTTGGGTTCAAGCGGATCCGCGTCAGGATTTCCATGACGGCGCTTGTGAAGCGGATCGGCATCGTTCGCCGACTGTTGAGACGAAGCTGAGATGGCAGCGTGGTACTCTTTTGGCGTCTGTAGTCGCAACACGCACGGAACGAGGAGTGCGCGATCCTCTTCACTTTTGAGTTCGAATGCACTATACATGACCTGAAGATATCATGAGCGAGCGCTGGACGGCGACATATGCATTTGAACGGACCTCGCAGACGGCTTCTTCAGCCTCTTTGAGAACGACGGCTCGTTCGATGACTGCGCGTAATACGCCTGGTCGCTGTGAACGAATCTTCTTCCAGCTCTCGGCCATGTCATCGATCGCACTCTGTAGCTGTGAGGCATCGACGCGTTCCAGCGCCTTCGCGACGACGAAGTTTGCGACAGGATGTACGGCAAGGCGAGCGAGACTGCCCGCGAAGTATGTGCGCCACAAGAGCGGGAAAGTGTGCGGTGGAGCACATGCGATCAAGCACTCGAGAAGATGGGAGGCGGTTGCGTCGCGGAGGAGGGTGCCCAGGTAGTCGGATGCTTCAAACGTCGCTGATGGGTCCTTGTCTATCAGAAAACATAGTGAGTGAAAGATGCTAAATCATGAGGAGAAACACATACGCTGCTGCGTGATGAGACCGACCATAACGCGATCCATGAGAGACTCGGGTTCATCCGCCATACCAAGGTCGGCTTCAACTTGGATTGCCATTTGGAGCACTGGGCTACTGGACTTGTTCGCCGCAAGCGAGCGCACCTCGTTGGCGTCCATGTCGTCGCGCATCCGTTCAATGAGTCTACGAGCCATAGCGCTAAACCCAGCAGGTTCGGTGACTTGACGAGCTTTGCCCTTGTCCGCCTTGTCCGCTTCGGAGACGAATACGGACTTGAACTGGCCTTGCTTCGCTTTCCAGGCGGCACTCTTCTTCGAGCGTAAAGCCGAGTTCTCGGAAGCAAAAAGAGACGGGCAGAGTATCATGAAGAGTGCGCGCAGAACATGTGATCCGAACGGGTCGAGTACGAGCGCGGTAACGGAGGGTAGAAGTTCGTCTGCGATATCAATAACAAGTCGAGTGCCCGAGCGCAGTTCGCCCTTGTCATCCTGGTTTTCGACTTTGGGGAATATGCCACGACTCTGGGTGGGCATTAGCATGCGACTAATCACACTGGAGACGTTATCCGTACCTCACGGCTGATAGTGTCCGTCAAGACTTCGAGTAGCGTCTGGATGACATGGGAGGCAAAGCGGTGCCTCGAAAGCTGTTCGTAGCTATTTACATGAGCATGGTTTATTTCAATGATCGATCAAGACACTCACGAGCCGGAGAGACTGTCCATGAAGACGCGGCGAACAAAGTCATCCATAGAGTACGCCATGCGCTCGAGTACCGTCGAACAGTCTGGATCCGTCGCCAGCTCGCGTTCCTTGCCGCCCATCTCCTGCAGAGCCGCAAGTAGGAACATGCGCCTGTCTGTGGTGACACAGCCTTGAATATCGCGGACATTTGTTTAGATAAAGTGACACACTTTCGTTGGGGTCAACGTCTTCCTCCGCCTCCCCTTCATGTTGGGTTTCCTGCCATTCGCGTAGCTGGGTGTCTACCGTGCGGAAATACGCCTTGACATCCGGATCGACATATCCAAACGGCGCCGCAGGGTCCACATCGGCAGGACCCGCTCCCTCGCCACCCTGAACGATCCACGACGGGCCGGCACCCTCGTCCTGCCCATCCCACGACTGCTCAGGCTCGGCTACGACCTGCTGCTCCTCGGCATGCGTCGACTTTTTCTTCTTCCCGCGCTTGCGAAACTCTTTAGGCATGACGACAGCCGGTAACGGTCAGGGTGGAAGACAACCCGAAGCAGAACGCGAGCCGCTACAGAACTTTTGGCCGGCTGCACCGGGCCGGATCTATAAATCTGAGATCTGACTGACTTCGGCACCCCGATCGCGAGCTTGTTCTCCGCGTCCATCACCGCGTTTTCCTATTCGGATTTGTCACATTGCTTTGCTTCGCTCTCGCTTGTAACTGTATACTAGACCATGGCGCCGAAATCCTGTGCTTTATGTCATAACGCCAAAGCGATCCTGAAACGACCAAAGACCGGTCAACAGATCTGCAAGGACTGTTTCTTCTTCGTGTTTGAGGAGGAAGTCCACAATACTATCACCGAAGCGCAACTATTCAAGACTGGAGACCGTGTAGCCATAGGAGCCTCTGGAGGCAAAGGTGCGTGTCGTTGCGTCTACTCATGCTATGCGTAGTCTCACGCCGGCACCTCAGACTCGACTGTACTTGCATACGTTATGAAGGCGCTCAACGAGCGGTATAATTACGGCCTGGATCTATATCTGCTGTCCATAGACGAAGGTATCACTGGTTACCGAGACGACAGCCTAGAGGTACGCGCTTATATTGCTCGCGTCGCTTTCGACGGCTCACAGACAGGCAGACAGTCAAGCGCAACCGGGACCAGTACGCTATCCCCTTGAAGATCTTATCATACGACGAATTATATGGCTGGACGATGGATCGCATCGTAGAGACTATTGGGAAGCGCAACAATTGCACGTTCTGCGGGGTGTTTAGAAGGCAGGCTTTGGATCGCGGCGCCGCAGCATTGGACGTCGACCACATCGTCACCGGTCACAACGCAGACGACATTGCGGAGACAGTCTTGATGAACAGTGTGTATCCAGGACCATGCCTTTGCCTTGCCCACGCTTACCGAGTTTCTCATAGTCATGCGTGGTGATATCGCGCGCCTGGGACGATGTACACAGATCTGCACCCAGGGCGAAGACACCATTCGACGTAGCAAGCCGTTCAAGTACGCGTACGAGAAAGAAATTGTGATGTATGCGTACTTTAAGAAGCTCGACTACTTCTCGACCGAGTGCATATACTCACCCGATGCGTACCGCGGCCACGCACGCGCTTTCCTCAAGGATCTTGAGGCGGCAAGGCCGAGCGCTATTATCGACATCATCCACTCTGGTGAAGCGTTCGAGGTCAGGGAGGAGGTGAAGGCCACACAGAAGAGCCAGCGTGCGCTCATATTGTGCTTCGTGATTGATGCACACTGACGTGGGTCGCAGAGACATGCAAGCGGTGCGGGTATATGTCCAGCAACGAGCTGTGTAAGGCATGTACGCTGTTAGAGGGCCTGGAGCGCGGGATGGCGTCGGCGGCAGTGGTCAGTCCACCATCGCAATGGTACACACCCTTTACTGACGACTGCATAGACAGATCGTGCGCGCAAGAAGATGGATGCAGAAGGGCCTGCACCGACAGACCTGCGTACCATACCCGTATTCCATAGACAGGCATCAGGCACGCCTATAGCCTTGGAGGCGTCCGCGTAACGCTACCAAATGCTGTGTGGTGCATCATCATTCGACGCATGCCGCGCAAAAGCCGACAATCATTAATAGGACGAACCATGAATAGGGCCGTGCTGTATACATAGCGTAAGGGTATCTGCGGCGTGTATATAGTAAAGTCCCCAAAAATTGAAGCAATCCGTCCTCATGCACGCCCATTCCCATTTTCGTGACCCTTGGGTGTCGACACCTTCCCATTCCGCCCCTCCGCAGCGAGGAATGTCTGATACAGCGTCTCGCAACGGTCCGTGAGCACAATGCTCGCCTCGCTGTGCTCCTTCCATTCCCGTATACCGTCTGCCTCGACACTGTTCTTCCAGAACCGTGTTGTCGAGTGTAGTTTTGCCGGCGCTATGTCTTCCGGGCAACGCAGGGATTCCATCGCCTCGGCGTCCGGGATAGGTGAAGGTGACGAAGTGAAAGAGGAGGTTGACGTTGACGAGATACGGACGAAGGCGGGGAGGAAGGCCAAAGAGGCCAGTGTAGCATGCACTGCCGAGATGGCACCGTTCCATGGCGAGATATTATGATGTGGACTCCCCATCCAACGCGCGACGTAGAATGCGAAGTGTTTCACATGGTGCAAAAAAGCGCTTATAAGCAGAATGTCGATGTTTGTGTGTACGACGCCGGGGTGCACGAGTAAGTGGCGGACTGGTGTGTGCGCGAGAAGAGCGCGACGGTTCAACTCGGCGCCGACCAAGTCGTTTTGGTACTTTGAGCCCTGATACGGTTGGTGCGTCTTGACTAGTTGCCAGTCGTCCGCGTCGAAGAACTCTGGGAAAGCTTCGAGACTGGACATCCAGAGGACCCTGCCCGGGCCGCCGCCTTCGCTCGCAGACGCGGCCAGCATAGGTTCCAGTGTCCTTGCCTGTCTGCCAGTCAGTATGGTCATTTCAAAATAGACGATGAAGAGACGCGTACGAGGATATAGTGCCCAAAGACGTTACACTGCCACACCCAACCCAGACCATCGTCGCTTAGCTGGCCATGGTGTTGAATGTTGTAACGAGGGTAGGTGAGCGCGCCGAGGATGTCGGTGAGGATCTGCTTGACCAGAGACGGCCAATGTATGCGCTCGAAGGGAGCCACGCCAGCGTTACATATAAGATGTGAGATGTAAGGATATCTACACCCGGAGTCAGTTTTGAGCCATCGAATGGTGTTGAACTGCGTACGTTTGCCTGAGATCGTCGCAGAGGTCGAGCGTACTACTCACGCTCGCGAGGTCGAGTTTATGGATGACGATCTCCATATTTTTCCTGAACGTGGCCACATTCGGGTCTGTGCTCTCCCGCACATCTTCTTCAAATAGCCTGAGCAGCTCCGTGCGGGCGTCCTCGGCGCGCTGTTGGCTGCGACAGGCCATGACGAGCGTCACTCCCTCGCACGGGAACGAGATACCGGCGTCGGCCTCGCCTGTTCGCGGGAATATTGGTCTAGCATCTTCAGGTGCAGACTGTGCTAGGGAGCATAGCAGTCGACGGCAGACCCCAAAGCCGATTCCGCTGTGAGGTCGAGGATTCAGCCAAGTTCGACGTTTCCGAAATATCCGCTGATACGCACTTGTTCGCGCCCGTGACCACGATGATGGGTTTAGAGACCATGGCCGCAGTACCGATGAGTTCACGATAGCTGGTAGACCGTGCCTGGGCTCTAATATCAGACGGGAGGGCAAGCCGTGATGGTGGTGAGAGCGAGCTAAGTACAGAGCGTAAAGACAGCTCGACCGTACGATATTTTGACGTTCGGGCGGGCCACGACTTTGCCAGCGTGGGTTCAAGCGCCAGAACACAACGACCGGAGCATTTTTACGTCGCAGCGCGGTGACCAAGAAAGAAACTATATGTGCAACAATGATACAGAGCTATGCAAGTACAGAAGGTAGTGAAAGTGGAGGTGAAGGCAGAGAAAGGATCAGAGGGCCGCTCATGCCTCCGATTTCCTCTTTTTCTTCTTTTTCGCGCCCTCGTCCGCGCCCGCCTCTGCTGTCGCCGCCGCTGCAGCGGCATCCTTCTCCGCCTTCTTTCGTGCCTTCCGTTGCTCCTTCGTCTCCTCCTCCCCAGCATCTGCCTGCCCATATCGTAAGCACTCATGGTCAATCCAAAAGATGAGCAGCTTACCATTGAAACGTCGGCGTCACCATTCACCTCGCTCTTCCGCTTCCGCTTCTTCTCCTTCTTGTCGGCCGCAGTCTCTTCCTCACCGTCAACCTCCATGGCCTCATCCTGCGCCTCCGCAGCCGCCTTCTTCGCCCGCTTCTCCTCCTTCCGTCTCCTCTTCTCCTCCTTCTCCCGCTCCTTGTCCTCCTTAACCGACAACACGGCCTGCACCGCACGCTCCTCCGGTGCCGGCTCACGTTGTGTGCTGACAAAGTCTGCAGCATCGTTGTACGTGCTCGCGCCGCCCGTCATCGAGAACTTGCTCTGCTGCGTGCCGTTACCGGCGAAACGCCTCGCGCTGCCCGCCTCATCGCCCATCTCAAGCATCCGTAACCTTGCCTCAAGCTTCGCGCGGTTCTCAACGCCGATACTTGGCGCAGTCGGCTCCGACTTGCCATCAGCATCCGATAGTGCGTCGACACGGACGCTCAACGCCGTCTTCGTCGCAACCATGCGTGCCATCTTGCCCTTCAGCTTCGGTGGCGCCTGGCCGACAAGTGATGCGTGGTAAATCAAGCCGTACTTGGGTGTATCGTGCTTCGTCTTGAGCGCACGGAACAACGCCTTCTCAGCGCCGAGAATCTGTACTGTCGAGGCAGGGTGCTTCGCCAAGCTTAAGAGGCTACCAGCGTGGCTGATCAAACGCGCGCCAACAAGTTCTCCGACGAGAGCAGTCAGGTTAGGTGCGATAGCCACCATGCGGTTGCGGAGGTACTCCGCCAGTTGTGTGCGGTATGCGGCGATGGAGATGACCTGGTCGCAAAGGGCGTGGATGTGCGCAATGTCGGCGTCGGAGATCTCAGTACCCATAGAAATTTCAGCCGCGGCCTTGATCGTAGCCTCGAGGTCCTCAGGAAGGACGGCAGAGAAGTCGGTTGATGAGGCGTTCGTACGGAACCCTGACAGTAAAGATCAGCCAGATACTCGATCTGCGGACGTGAAACACCATACCCATGAGCTTGACCGTCTTGGCGTAGGCGATGTTGTCTGTAAGGATCTTGGTCATTTCCGGGAAATGCCAACCGTACCACTCCTACGTTCCCTTTTGAGTAAGAGTCCTTGTACAATGATCATGGAGACCGACCTTCACACGCATCGCATAGATGTTGATCTCCTTGTCGAGATCGTCGAGAAGTGCAATAGCCTGTACGACCATGGTGTCGACCTTGTCGGGCGAGAACTTGAGCTTGAAACTGGGACGTGCGTTAGAACATGCGTGTGCGAAATAAGATTGTATAGATGTACCGAGAGAGTGAATGTGATAGACCGAGACTCATAGTGGCGAGATCCTTGGGGTCAAGACCATCGAGGAGGGCTGTCAATTGACTGCGAATGCCGCGGAAAAGATCGAGTGAGTCGGCGTCGCTGAGGACATTAATGCCCAGCTTTTTGTTGATTGGCCGTGCTGCAGGGTTTGCGTTAACAACAATCTTTATATATCGAGCACAAATCGCATACCCAGTTTGGAGTCTACGACGACGAGGGACTCCTTTCCCTTTCCCTTCTCCACAACCTCCTCGGTGAGGAACTGCTTGAGGCCCTTGCCGAGCTTGCCCTCCTGAATGGCGGTGATCTCCTCGACGGCCGTTGCCGTAGAAGTGAAGCGATGCAGTGCCTTGAGCTTCAATCTAATCAGAAGTATCAGTCATACAAACGCCTAACATATAGAGCAGCCAGTACGAACAGCTTATTCGCCTTCTCAGCCGACTCAAACTCCTTGTGCAGGTCCGGGCTCGTGAGTTTGCCCGAGTCGGACATTTTGAAGAGGCAGAAGCCCATCGCGGTCTCGTACAATACGAGCATGGCGACAAAAGGGTGGAGGAATTGAAAGGAAGGTGTGGAGAAGGAGGTCGGTGCAGAGTTGTGCGCGGCGCGTGCAGTCTGCAGACTTTTTCGCGCGTGGGATCAGGGCACCGGCAACACGGATCGGCAGTTGCCGCTCGTTCCGAACAGGGCCGCATGCGCTCCTCCGTCCCTCCCATCGGCATCCACAGTGATAAGCAGCCGCGTCCATAATTGCAAATGCGTCTCTTCGACGTTGACCGCCATGTTCACGAAGCTTGCGAGCTTCGGTCTGGCCTCTTGGCTTGTCTACGGCGCGTATGGCGCAGCACAGGCTCCTTTCGCCGCACCCGTCCTTGCTCAACCTGACGATGTCACAAAATTGCACATTGAGTCTGGTGTCACCACCATGCATCTCTCAGCCGTCTCTTCTGGTGACGAATTCACGTCCTTGAGTCATCCTCTCTATCCTGAGCATGGCGTGCGAATCAAGAGGACCGACTTCTGTGACCCCACTGTAAAGTCTGAGACACCCTCGACTCGTAGTTGGTCCTCGCCTGACCTCGGATTAGTGTGTACACAGGCTATCTTGACATCGCACAAGGAGCGAAGCACCTATTTTTCTACTTCTTCGAGAGCAGACGTGACCCAGATAATGACGGTAATTCGCCATTCCCCAAGACCTTCAGCACGCAACTGATCATTTCAAGACGTGATGATGTGGATCAACGGCGGACCGGGGTGTTCGGCTTCAACTGGTCTGCTCATGGAACTAGGTCGGCAGGTCCTGAATTCTGCACAGTCGGCGGCTGACATCACGCAGGTCCATGTAAACTCGACTTCAACGCCCCTAATGCATCCTTGAAAGACCCGTACTGGAATCCTTGGGGGTGGAATCGCGAGGCAAACATCTTCTTCCTGGATCAACCGTAAGATAACCTTCAGTGCTGAGCCTGTGCGCAGTTACTGACGAGCGCATTCAGGGTAGGTGTCGGCCTATCATACGCCGACTACGGAGAACACGTCGGTACCACCGAGGATGCAGCAAAGGATATCCACGCCTTTATCACGATGTTCTTCGAGACTTTCAGTCAGTTCCAGGGACGCGCGTTCCACCTCTCTGCGGAATCCTACGGTGTGAGCATGATTGGTCTTGTTTGATTGCGGTGTAGGGTCTGACGACTCGCACAGGGACGGTATCTACCAGTCTTTGCGAGCGAGATCTACGACCAGAACCAGATCGCTGCGAAAGAGGGGCGTACCGTCATCAACCTCCAGAGTGTCATAATAGGCAATGGCATAACGGACATCTCGACGTCAGTAGTCTTCTCTACCCTTCTTCTGCCGTACTGATTTCAAATCCGAGATAGACTGTACCCAGGTCGCTACGCCATCGAATGTGAGAACGCCGCGATCCCCGTCCCCTTCCAAAGTATCTCCAATTGCGTCCGGATGAAGAAAGCGGTAGGGTGATCGCACTAACCTTCCTGGACGGACATTCATGATATCCGCTCAGCTTCCGCGTTGCCAGAAGATGATGCAGGCGAACTGCATCGACACGTACGACGAGATGAACTGCCGCGCGACGGTCAACTTTTGTGAGACGGAACTTGGCACACCCCTTCGTATCGCAGGTAAGCATACAGCTTCTATGATTGAAGCTGGCTCCCAAGTGATGCGTTCTTACTAATGTAGGACGTAACAACTTTGACATCACAAAGGTGAAGCTGGTCGTGCATGCAGTCGATGATTTACTCACTGTACGCTCTACGAAGCCTTGTGCTGGCCCGGATAACTGCTACGCAGAGTCCAAAGTGATCGAGGAGTACATGCACCGTCCAGATGTACTCGAGAAGCTCGGCGCAAGTGCACCCGTCCCGTTCACAGGTTGCTCAAATGTCGTCTCCTCCGAGTTTACGCTCAACTTCGACAAATGGTCTCACCCAACCCAGTATTACGTGTCGAGCTTGCTGGACCGTGGTATACGCGTGCTCCTGTATGCCGGCACGTACGACTGGCAGTGCAACTGGGTTGCCAACAAGCTGTGGTCGGACAAGCTCGAATGGAGCGGCACGGAGGGGTATGCGGCGGAGGAGTGGCGCGACTGGAAGGCCAGCAATGCTACTGCACCGGCCGGGCGGACGAAGAGCTGGGGTCCGCTCACTTTCGCCAGTGTATACGCCGCAGGACATATGATGAGTTGCCTTCCTCTTCCGCGAGCTCTACGTCTCTCTGACCCTCGATTGTCTCTACGTCCCGTTTGACAAGCCGCAAGAGTCGTTTGAGATGATAAGCAGATGGTTGTTGGGGGAGCCGCTGTAAGCAGTACTGTAGACATCATCCTGATCTCCGTCTCTCCGCTACATACAACACGAATCTTCGGTATCTACATACGCCCTACTCTTCGTTTCGCCGCTCATTACTTAACAATGGTAAGTAAATGATACCATCGTGGGGAGCGGCGTGAAAGCGGCAACGGGTTACGGAGCTTGTAGTCATGCCATCGCTTTGGTTGGCGACGGGTCCGCTGGGTCAGTCGTTCATTGGTTAGGGCAAATGATCGGATAAGCTCTTCTGAATGAGCGGTCTGCTCAACACCTCCATCTTGCGCCTTCTCAGCCACCGTTGCTTCGAGGCATTGCGTGCCCGATATAGGGGATCGCGGGCATGAGGTATCGGCGTGCTAAAGACTACGTTCCCGAATGGGCTTGGCAAACGTACCTGATATCATATCCCGTTGCTCGTTGATTGACCGTGATTGGTTCTTTGCTCGAGCTTTGTACATCTGTACCAGAACTGATGTACTCTGTTCTATTCATGGGAGAGCTCGGATATGCTGCCAGACCTGGCATCATAATCTCTTCTTGCCGCACGATTGCAGCTCTGACAAGAGCTGGCAAAATCCCAGCCTTCCTAGCAACCGTGACCAACTCCTTCCGGGAAGACCGAGTGCCCCTGCGTCCCATCTGATTGGCTAACGCTTGTTCCTCCACGATGTTCTCGTGCCGAAACAGTGGTATGCGCGTTGGCATAAAGGGCGGGTGTGTGGGATCAGGCTGCCTCAACGATCTTCGTCGTTTTTCTCCCCGCTTTCGGTTCTGGTGAGTGCCGAACATCATTGCGCTAAGCGCGCGCTCCGATCTAATAGGCATTGCAGCTTGCACATTCCTTGGGTTGCCCGGTCGCGCCCTTCGTCCTTCCTTTCATTCGTCCAGCAGGCTGTAACACATCCCATCGACCCGGCTTGTCGACTTTCGATCCCGTACCAAGACCCAATCGACCCATATCCAATCGCTTTCGCTCTTCGTTCTAGTCATGTTCGACCTGAAGCAGCTTTCTGCCACGACCCTTCTCGCGCTTGTGGCGAGCCCACTGTCTAGCATGGCGGCGCCTACCTTCAATCGCCGTGCAGCGGACCCGAACAACGTCCTCGTCTTGCGTACGCAGCTGCATCTACCGTTGTCCTACTTGTGTTAACCCCTCCGTAGAATTCGCCAATGTCTTGGAGCAGCTTGAGACGGAGTTCTACGCAGAGGGCATCTCTAAGTTCCAGGCGTCCGACATCACGGCAGCCGGCTTCACCTCAGCAAACGTTGTTCTTGAACAGCTTACTGCCATTCAGAGCGATGAAGCGACTCACACGACCGTCCTGCAGTCGACCCTGACCTCGTTGGCCCAGACACCGCTTAACTGCTCGTTCGATTTCTCCAGCGTTCTCACCGACGTTAGCACGATGGTGACCGTCGCGCGCTTGGTGGAGAATGTGGGTGTGGCCGCTTACCTCGGTGCGGCCCATCTCTTGAGCGACCCGACGCTCCTCACTGCTGCGGCGAGCATTGTCACCGTGGAGGCGAGGCATCAGACCGTCCTGAACACGATGTCCAGCGGTCAGGCGATCCCAAGCGCGTTCGACTTGCCCCTACTTCCTCAAGAGGTCCTCGCCATCGCCGGCGCCTTCATCCAGCCTGGCTGCGACCTTGGTGTGACCGCCAACACCGCGCTCAAGCTCACGAACACGGATCCTCTCGCTGCTGGCACGCAGGTTCAGTTCGACTTGTCCAACGCGAACACGACCGACACGTCGGGTCTTTTCTGCCAGATGATGGCCGGCGGTATGCCCTTCTCGCTCTCGCAGCCCGTCGATAACTGCATGGTCCCGTCGAACGTCACCGGCCCCGTCGCTGTCTGGGTTACCAAGGACGACCAGCCACTTGCCAACAACGCGCGTGACCGCACCGACACGAATGTCCTTGCCGGCCCGAGCGTCGTCTTCATCGACACGACTGTCGATACGATCAGCCAGCTCGTTCGCACAAGCGCAGGAAGTGCCGCGAGTAGCTCTTCGAGCTCATCGTCGGATTCGAGCGCGCAACCTGCCTCGACTTCGACGATTGCCGCTGCCGCCGCGACATCGCTCGCTGCTGGGAACAACGCCGGGGCTGACTCCCCAGAGTTTACTCCCGTCATCTCAATGGTGCCGAAACCTACAACCACGCCTAGCGCGTGAATTTAGTTCTGTGAGCGATGGATACCCCTTCTCTTGGACACTGGACTCGGCGCCTCGGACGTTCGATGGACTTAAACTGCTCCTTGCTTGGGTTACTTGTTTGTTACCTTGATGTGTGTACCCTACCATACGCCTGCTGGTCTTAGGACGTTCGTAGACGTCTATTCATTTGAAACTACGGGAGATTTATGGACAAGATTAAACTTGAAACAAATACAAAATTCCCGCGCGAAAGGGCAGTATCGAACACTATTGCATGTATGAACACCAACGGGAGATGACTGATAGCGGAACAAAGACAGACAGACATAAGGCATGTGGATGATGGGAGCCTAGTCACTTTCGTCTGAGCTCGAGTAATCGTCTTCCTCCATTCCTCCGCCTCCTGCATAAGCATTCAAGCTTATCGGGCCATCGCCAGGCAAAGGTGCGGCGGGAGCTGAGTCGAGCCCGACAGGTTCCATATCATCGTCGTCATCATCGTCGTCCTCACCGTCACCGCCAAGATCAGCGGCGAGGAAGTCAAACCCTTCATCGTCGTCTCCTCCAGTCTCTTCCATCACATCGTCACCTCCAACTGTTCCCGTTAATGTCTCAACGCCAACCTCTTCCATATCATCGTCACCATCACCCTCCACCTCTTCCATGACAAAGGTCTCGGAAAATCCGCGCGGCTGACCTACAAGGGGGTCTGGCGTTGGTGCGGGTACATCGTTTGCCGCTGGTGAATAAGGCAACGCCTCAGGCTCGACTTCTTCCATATCATCCTCCTCCTCTTCGTCAGGCTCCGTGGCCTGTAATTGAATCACAGGCGGTGCGGATACCGGCTCAGGATTTGCGCTAGCAGTACGCGCGGGAGCGAATGGAAGGGCAAGATCTCGGGAACCAGAAGTAGGGAGCTGTAGTCCAAAGGGCTTCGGCGGTGTTGGAGGCCGCTTCGGAGATGCGGGTGGAGGATTCGCACGCTTAAGCGGGCGAGCTTTGGGTTTGGTTGATACTGGCGAAGGGACGGAGGATGATGCCGAGACAGGCGTCTGGAGTGGTGCAGCACTAAGCTTCGGCTTCGGCTTCGGGTGAAACGGCATGGGACGTTTCGTAGGCTGGGTAGCTTTGACTATTGGCACTTCCTCTTCACTGTCCTCAGCTTCCTGCTTGATAGGCGATGCAGCGGCAGAGGTTGAGCCTGGTGCCTCAGGTGTTGCAGCAGCTGAAACGAGCATGAGGGGTCGGGGTATACACAATAAAGCTTGGAGAACAATACGCACGGGAATTGGAAGGCAAGCGTCTCGTCGGCGGTCGCTGGCCCATATGAGTGAGATTGATTTGCGACTCTACTTTCTCAAGTACAAGCGTCTGATTATTGAGTGTCAGTGAAAGCACGACTGGGCGCAGTCTTGGACGAACCTGCAGTAATTCGTCCCAGATCAGGACGCAGTCATATTCGGTCTGCATCGGTTTCTCGACCCCCTCAAATACACTAACATCATCCTTCTGTGCATTTTGTTAGCCAAAGCCAAGGAATGCATGAGAGACGCACGTTTGCGAGAGGACGCTCAAGGACGACCTTGGAGATGCTTCCGTGATCGTCCTTGCAGGCTGATATATCGAACGAGCCAGATTTCTGCGTATCTAAACCCTGCGGCCAGAAATTATCTAGGGAAATTTAGATGCACATCCAACGAGAAGATATGCCAGCACTCACACCTTACGGCGTAGAGGTCACGCCCGCCCTTGCTGGATCCTGCGCCTGGACCCGCGGACTTCTTCTTGAAAGAGTTCTTGATTGTCGGACCAACCTTCGCAGTGCTATTTCCAGTGAGAGGCCACTGGCGAGGACCTGGCGGAGTCGACATGCGGGTAGGCAGGCGAGGGTGTATATGGTGGTTGTGTCTCAAGCCTCCGAATCCGTTCCGCCACCACGCCCATCCCTAGTGCCCCTATTCCGCCTCGTGGGTGACCGGCCCGGTCAGAGAACCACAATTCACATCTGCGCGCCTAGCATTGACTGCTGCTGACAAGTTTCCGCGCAAACGATCTTCGCAGGCTTGCATTCTGAGGAGGCACTTATGAAGCGTCATGCAAAGGATGGGGTGGAAGAAAATCTAGTCGGGTTGAAGTCACTGAGCCAGACGTTCCTTCCTCTGCGCCAGACATTCCTTTTAATTCGGACCACGACTCGGAGACCATCGTCGACTCGGACGAATCCCACAGTGCTAATCAAAGTCAAAGTGACTCGTACTCGTACTTAGTTACTCTACGGAGTGCGACCTGGTGGTACGCAACACATTATCTCAATGAAGGTCCTGTACGCGAGACCGCACCACGCGGCCATGGCTAGATAAGTATGGCGCCGTGCACCAGCGGGCCTGCCTTCGTAAGATGAATACAATCGTGAATGGCTGAGGAAGGTTCTAAACGGGCCATTCCGGTATGCTATCATCAAGTCTTTCGCCGAGCGAGGCTGATGTTGGACCTACGACATCGCTCGCAGCACTTGACAAGGTGTTTCGTGGCGGCAGTAAGGTTGAGATGTCCCCGGAGTTCGCTCCTTCGCTGACCAAATATCTCGCCTCAGAAGCTGGATCCAAAACAAGCTGTTGCGCGGAATGAAGATAGTCTTGTGGTTCGTCGAAGGCTGTGATAGAGTCCAACCTGTCCATGTCATATCCGGGAGGGGCATTCGCCAGTAGAGCCCAGTCCACATCCCAGTTCATATCGGAGAAAGCGTCAAAATTGCTCGTGATGTTGAATTCGGCCTCGGGATGTCCACTCTCGAGGTTTTCGGTAGATTCATTAGACAGAGTAGAATCCTTTCTGCCTGTCGCTGCAGGAAGCCAGCTCGAAACTTCCTCTGGATCCCACAGAAGCCCAGATGGAGCATCGGATGCGTCGGGCGTATCAAATACAGCCATGAGTGGTCTGAATACAGCGCTGGAAACTATCATTCAAGGCACTCTGAGGTACGCAGTAAAGAAACATACAGGAATCGGGCTCCCCAGCGCCACCGATGGACTTTGTTCTCAAGAAAGGCTAAACATGCTGTGGCATCTCGCTGAGCATGTTCGACGTCGAGGGCCATCTTTCGTAGTTTATGTGCTGCGACGGCTATCACGGAGAGAACAGCAGCGTTACAGATGGCCTTTGACGATGTGAGCGTAAGTTCAGTACAGTAATCCAATACCTACCTCGGCTGGTAAGATGAGGATTTGATCGGGCTCCCTATCCTCCAGTGATGTCATCAGGCTGACTAACGACCGCGAGGCATTGACGCAGGTTGCGAACGCGGGGAACGGCTTCGATGCGTCGTCGAAAGGTATGATGAAGGGTCTGTGAATGACTATTCTCATCTCATGATAGAAGAGCCATAGTCCAATTGACTGAAGGAAGAATAGCCCGTCGGCACGACTGGGATCACGCACTTATAGTAAGATCGTAGGTTTGTCAGCTATACTAGGTCGTTGTGAGTATTGGTTCACTCACGATGATCTGGCACGGAATCTGACCACTCATTCAGAAGAGAGTCTAAGCGAGAGATAGTTTCCAATAGCCATTCCTTGCCAGTGAAGCCCGAGCGCGCCCTCGTCCTTGCGTTCGCGTACTGGAAAATCGTGAATGCTTCAGCATCAAGGTAGGTGAGCGTACGTACGACAGTGCGAAGCGCAAGATGCATTATCTGCGATAACTTGATGGTACAGATGAAGTAAGACATGTAGGAAGGCCGGCCCTCTGGCTGTTTGAACGCCTTTTTCGGATCTTCGTGCATCCAATACTCGTCATCACAGCATTGCGGCAACGAAAGATCGAATCTTGGCGTCGTAAGCACGAATGGTTGTTTGCTGGGATAGACATTCGGACTTACTCATCTTCTTGTATGTTGCAAGGTCTGCCCAAGCCTTTGCTCAGGAGAAGATCGAGCCTGAATAGAACCCTGTGTAGGAACACTGTCATGATGAGCACACGATAGACGCTTCACAACCTGGCACATACCAAGTCACTCGTCTGTATTGCTCATCCTGAGCAGTGATGGTGCTTCCATATGCCCGTCTTCTATGTGCACCAACGTTCTGGGCTAGACGTACCCCGAAACCGGCAAACATCCAGGCGTGCACTGGCGAAAAGGTCCGCGCCATGAATAACGTAGCCAACTACATTGATATGAATGAGTTTGAGACGATATGCGTCCTCTCACCAGGACTTACGGCGGCAATCTGCAGACCATAGAGTTTCTCGCCGCCGACGAATGATCTGTCCATCACCTGAACCTGTCTAAACCAGGCCCATCCGGCGGAATGCCAAGCGTCCCCATCATCTGGAATAAGAACACGCGGATCCTTGGACACTAGAGCGCCGAGAGCGCAGACTAGGAGAGTGACGCCTCCAAAGGCTTTGTTGCGTAGGTGCATGTCGGTAGAAAGCTCCCGCTCAAACGTGGGGCGATGCAGTATTGGTGTAAACACGTTCATGTAGCGGAAATAGAGGTCAATAAGCTGATATAGAAGGTCTGGCGCGGGGAAGAAATGGGCCGTAGTGCTCTCTTGCTCTAAAATATAGGTAGACACCCACTGTATCGTGAAGGTGTGAGGATGAGTCGCGGTCGAAATGACAAACATAAGTAGCCATCACCTTCGGTGTCGTCTCAAGGTGGAAGCCTGACCCTTCGGATGGACCACGCAACTGCCTGAGAAGCTTGGAGGCGGCCAGAACCATTCCCGCAGCGGACGACCTCCCAAGATAGTTAGAGAAGCCCCAGGAGCGGATGATCGCCGGACCAGTGAGTGAGAGATGCTGTAACTTTGTCAAAAGGTCGCCCTCTTCGTCATCAGAGCCATCAGAGCCTCCAGATTGCTGTAGTGGTGTGTCGTTCGATGGGATGCCAGATGACAGGGTGACGAACGTGCTGGGTGAAGAGATCCCGGACGAGACAGAATCACCGAGTACACCAGGTTCCATCCAGTTTGTTCTTGTTAACTTGAAGCCAACTTCGCTTGAGAAGTCACGACCAGGAAGGACCTGTGCGTAGTTGAATCTTGATTACTCGAGGTGACAGAAGTTGATGAATCCCGACGTACCCGCTCAATGAGAGCCTCTAGCTTCTGTATCTTGAGCTCCAGAACCTCGACATAGCTTATGTGAAGGTAAGGGATCGTCAACGTTCACAACAGTAAGTCTGCATACCCAGGTGCGAAGAGCTAGCGACGAGGATCAGCCAGAATCGTTGTAGGATAATACGGATGGACTGGACCTTACCCTAGATGGTGCATGTGCGTATGTGCAATTCCAGTCAAAAGTAGAGCAGTTCGAGCACTTCCCGGTACTGGCAAGCTTCTCGTCACCTTGTCACACACTCTCAGTCATGAACGCGCACGAGCGATGGAGTAAGGACAGGACTGACATTTGATCTTGCGTCTGCGGCACATGTCGCAGGCGACTAGCTTACGCCTCTTCGTTCCCCGGCTCGCCCCAGCATTCCGTGTACTGTCTTCAGCATCTGACATGCGGGGTGTAGGCAGATGATGATGGTTCTCAATCAAGGTTGTCGCTGCGCCGGCGCGGACGTCAAGCGGTGATTTCCCAGACGCGAGCCGACACTGCATGCGCCACTCGTCCCAAACCCCCATCACGGTGGAATCGGCGTCATTTCAAGGACACTGTACGGCCACAGTCTCATACGGCTCTCAAAAATGATATTCGGCAGTCTTCGGAATACTACTTGCCTGCCAGATGGCCGCATGCTACGGCGGAATATGATTCCGCGAGCGTCGACCACCGACCGTTTCTATCATCTCCCTCGCTTCAAGCCTTCATTACATGCCAGCACCCCTCAATCTGAAGACGTGTGACCGCAAGGCTACGGGAAATGGCAAAGTAAACTTCTGCCTCTCTTTCAAAGCCTGGCAGCAGCCTATAGCTCCGATATGGCCGGCCTACAACTGTGGGCGATATTCAGGCCCACAGCGATCATTCGCGTCAAAAACTAGCGCCTGGTTACAGGCATGAGAGTTTGTGCTATGTTCGTGTGGAGTGGACATACACTCGATCACTGCTCTAAGCATATGCAACAGCGCGTTCGTGCCGTGCTTGCCAGTTCACCGCCATCCTCTGGCGTATATAAATCCCCCCACTCGCTCGACCAGACATCGCAATCTTCCAGCTCCCCCAGCTCATCATCATGAGGATTTCACTGTCTCTCGGCCTCGCAGCACTCAGCTTGCAATCATTCAATGTGCTCTCTGCCCTCGCGACGCCGGGCCCCATCAATGGAAGCGGTGAGAACCTCAGCATACGATCTTCGACAACTGGACTCACCAAGCTCTGCAGCCGATATACAACTTCGCGACCCTGCCATTTGGTACAATGCAGATGCTAAGGTACGAATACTTATTAGTAGAACCCTTCTAGCGCTCATATTCCGAATAGAAGTACTACGTTTTCTCGACTGGTGGCAACATCTCGACACATACGTCTTCCTCTTTGACCGGGTATATCACCTATCTGAATTCATGGAGACAACAATACTGACGCTCCCCCTTAGACCATGGACGAAGGTCGGCGCTGCGTTGCCGCACTGCACGACCATCAACCTTGGCTCGGACGGTCACTGCACCTTATGGGCCCCAGATGTAAACTGTACTCGCACCCTTCTCCCTTGATTGACTGGCATGCTAACTGGGATCACCTCAGATCAGGATGGGCGATATGTCATGTACTTCGCTAGCCCTGGCAACGCCAGGCGAAACGCGAGCATCGGTGTCGCTACATCCCCCTCGATGGACCCTGGCACTTGGACAGACCACGGCCTGGTGATACACTCGAAACCGAGTGGTAACTTCGATGCTAGTAAGCCGCTTTACCCTTCTTCAAACGCATGAGATCTCACATCACGACGTAGTCGATGCCAATCTCATTCACGCGGACGGTCTCAAGCTTGCCTTTGGCTCTTACAACGACGGCATGTTCTTGACCGACCTATCAAACATCACGACGCCTTCTTCGTCGTTGCCGGGTACGCATCTCGCCGGCAGTGGTGATCGCCCGGCCGAAGGTGGCTTCCTGTATAAGCCGTCCAGCTCGGATTACTACTATTTCTTCTTTTCGTACGGGCATACACCGACCGTCGGCGAAAAGCCTCGCCCTCCCGCTGGCCAAGAGTACAGAGTTCTTGTGGGGCGCAGCAAGAACATCAATGGGCCATACGTCGACGAGAACGGCGACAAGTTGACGAAGAATGTCAAGCCACCGACCGGTACCGTCGTGCTTGCCACGCACAACAATGTTTACGCTCCCGGAGGTACGCATCCATCCTGCCTTCCCTCGTTGGGGCTTGTCGGGCTGACTATGACTGCAGGACAGAGTATCTTCCTCGACCCTGTGAGCACGCGTGACGTCATTGTCTACCATTACGTGCGCAAGAACGCCCCTGCTGGTGGTCCTTCGTACTTGGGCATCAACTACCTCGACTTCAGCAGCGGTTGGCCTGTCCTTGTCAACTAAGCGGACGTCCTCGCCCTTGAAATGAACAGTTGCCCCACTCGCGCGACGATATTCATAAGCGTCGGACATTACAATTTGACTTATTCCTTTCTGTACATATATGAATATGATTGCCCGTTTGAACGGACCATGCGATGAAGTGCCAATATGAAAGGATATGACCATGAATACGGGCAGTACAGAGGGAGGTGATTACTTGAAGAACGCCCCGAAGTTATATGCACCGTCATCGGCTGCTGGTGCGGTCGCAGTCTTCGTCTTCGGTGCGTTGGCCACCTTGCCTGCCGGCTTCGCCTGCACTTTCGATGGCTTCGCCTTTAGCACCTTCTTGGCCGGTACAGCTTTCGCTTGTGGCGTTGGCGCCGATTTTGAATTGCGCGAAGGGGGTAGTTCGAACGCCACCTTCTTCGACGCGCGAGGCGGAGCGGGTCCAGCTTTGCGTTTTGAGGATCGTGGCGGAGGTCGGACATCTTCCTCTTCCTCGCTCTCATCCTCCTCGACGCCATCCTTGTCATCATCCTCAGCCATCTCCTCCTCGTCATCCTCAGCATCTTCCTCGTCCTCATCCTTGCCTTCTTCGTCACTCTCATCCTCAGCGGCCCACGGGGCCTCAAGATCAACCTCCCGGTCCTCTACCTCTATAGGCGAGAGTCGTACGAGTCCATCTCCCTTCTTCATCTCCGCTACACTCTTCAGATGCTTCAGAACCTCCTCATCCGCGGCATTGGGTTCGGATTTTGAACCTTCTGGCGGCACAGCTACACGAGGAAGCTTTCCAGTTGCCCAGTCGCGGAGGAGTGTCCGTGCAGCGCCGGCGTGGTCCAAGGCTCCCCGCCTCTTGACCAGCCCGAGCGAGCGGGCCAATGACGCTGTGAGTGCTTCTGTATTGCTCTTGTCAAACGCTGGCAAGCTGTAGAACAGCATGAGGTCTTCTGGCGCGACCAGACGGTTGATGATGTGGACGAGGGCCGGCTGCGGGTCATGCAATTTATCGAGCCGACCGCGAGCGCGGACGAGAGCGTCGCCGGAACGACGGGATTCTGTGAGAGGAGTACGCTCTGCGACAGGAACAGATGAGGAGTACGTCAAACCGGGCGTGTCGATGAGTTGGACAGAGGTGGACCCAAGGGAGAGCGAGAGCGAGACAGCGTAAGGTGTCATAGAGGGTCCTGCAGGCGTCGATGCAGGGCTGTAGGTTGGAAGCGAGGCACGGCCCACAAGCGAGTTGATGAAGGCCGATTTTCCTGACTGGATACCATCAGCAATGAAGCGTGGGGGGAGTCAACGGGCGACATACATTCGTCAAACCCACAACTGCGACCTTCAGAGCTCCCTCGCCATGTTCAGCCGCCCATTGCTCTAGGTGATGGCGCACGGCATCTGTCCCCAAAGCATCGGTCGTGGCTGCGACGGCTTTGCCCTTTTGGGCTGTTGCTCCTGGTGCAGGCGGCAAGAACGCCGTTGCCGAGCGAAACAAGACGGTCGGGTGGGTCGTCCGGAGGTGGGCGGCCCAACGCGCCACGTATTCCCGAGGGCAGGTATCTGCGTGGGTTGAGTTCGATCACAAGATAATTGGCATGTTTGGAGACGTACCGATCTTGTTTAGAACGAATAGCATTTTCTTGCCCCTTTCATGCGCAAGCCTCTCGATCTGGGCACTGCGGAAGGCCAAGGGTTCCCGAGCGTCGAGAACTTGGATAAAAATATCCGCATCGTTCAAGACTGCGCCCAAGTGCGGCCAGTCCGGATTCAGCAGGAGAGGAATGTCTGCCGCTTCCTCCACCTCCACGGCGGGCGCGGCCTTTGCCTTGCCCTTAGCGCTCGTCCGCGCCGACGTCGAGGGGACAGTCGAGATGCCGAGGAACGCATTCTCGGCATCGCCCACAGTCACTTGCTCGGCTGCTTCGGCCGACTCTTCCTGCTCGCCGTCCGAGTCTGCCTCTGGGCCCGAGAGCGCGACAGCCTTGGCCTGAGCCCTCAGCGCCTTTTTCTCCTCCTTTTTACGCTCCTTCGCTTCCTCGGCCTATCAGAGTATATGAGTTTTTGAAATAGATTCGTATTGCAGTGCGACGCACCCTACGCCGCTCCTCCGCTATCTCAGCAAGGATTTGCTCCTTGTACGGGAAGTTATTGGGAATACCGGGATCCTTCTTGTGTTCTGACCGCCACAGTCAGTAAAATAGTCCACAGGGATGATTGATCGTACACACTGGACTTCCATTGAGGATTCTTCTTTGCGTCCCGCTTAGCTTTGCGGTGAGTCTCCTTGACTTTTTGCTTGATTTGCGCGCGACGGTTAGTCGACCCGCGCTTGCTCGTTTCTGTTCCAAAAGTTCAGAGATGTGCACTGTAGCCGGTATCATATGCGACTTACTTTTCCTGATCTTCCCCATGAGGACAGGAGAGCGTGGGGAGCAGTAGGTGGACGTTCAAGGAGAGAAGGAAATTACGCGCGACGGCACGTGCAGCGGATGCTCTAACTTCGGCTCACCGGCCCGTATGTGTGGCGGCCTTCCCACCGACTTCTTGCCCGCGTCTACGATCTTGCCCGCGGCGCTCATACCGTTAGCCACGAACTTCCTGGCGCCTGATCCTACACTGTTGTTCTCGCGTTGGCCTCCCTCTACCCGTTGAACTATGGCCGGCAACATCTTGGCACGGCTAGTCGCCCTCCAAGGCGGCGATCGGAGTTAAGGCTGCAAGGAGGCTCGGTCGGCGGAACGCGCTTCACGCGCGGTTCGCAGACGCGTGGTGTACCCACAGCTTCCTTACAACGCTCGTTCGAAGGTGTTGTCCCGGAAGGCCTACCGCAGACTTGAGGAACACAGTTTGAGTCTTACTGCCAGCTAAAGAGCTGTACGTGTACTCACTTTCCTCATTTGTGTACATGGGATTCAACACAGGTATTGAAGTCACCAGGGAAGCCCGAACCGCCAGCGTGGAGCTTACCTCTCGAACATCCCTGCTTTTGCATACCACTATGCCGCCAATACCTCAACCGCCTGTATATAAGCTCCCGCCGGAGCTACTGGTTCACATCTTCGAGTTTCTCATCCCGGACGATAGCAGTCACTGGTCGTATACCGCGGAGACTTGCCTAGACGATCCGCGCGCTTTGTCGCAAGTGTGTTCGCACTGGCGCGCCATCTCTTTGGACATCAAGAGCTTGTGGACCACGGTCCCTATCCGCAATGAGCTCTGGGCGAGACTTTCCCTCGAACGCTCCAGGCCGCTACCGTTGGAGGTGCCCATCTGGCTAGAGGGAGATGATCTGCAAGTCGCTGCGCGCAAATCATCGTTCTACTTTTATGACATTCACGATGCATTGCAAGCTGCATTCTCGGAGAGCCACCGTATACGTGTACTTCGCATCGAAATATCGGCCTTGGACTACGGCATCCTCGACTGGCTTGGGCGCAAACTGTTCACGTTTTTGACATCCAGCGAGATACCCACATTGGAGCATCTGGACGTGGACCTTAAGTGGTATGGCGCGGCCCGAACCTACCCTTCTTTCCTGGGTCAACAGACACCAAACAACCTACGCCACCTGTCGCTGTGCGATGTCGATCAGGATTATCTTCCTTGTCCGCATCTTTTCGTGGCCCCTCTCACCGCCCTTGAACTCGGTAGCGGACAAATCTGGGAATCCGTGGAGGATGCGTTGGAAGCCCTCTCTCGCATACCAACTCTTGAGATCCTCAGAATCAGACGGGCCGGTGATGGTGACGAGGAGCGACTGAGCGCGATACCCGAGTTCAACATATTTGAACTCGCTCTCGGCGCTCGCTCCGTATCCCTTCCCAAGCTCAAGACGCTGGATTTGTACGAAACGATGGAACTCATTGCATGCTTGATGAAATATCTGGCCATACCAACATCCGCGCACATTCGGCTCCAAGCCATGCAGAACCCCGAAGACGAAGGATTCGTCCTCGACTTTGTCAATATCATCGCTTCCGCTCTCAGCAGTCATCACGAGAGCGTCATGAAGGAGGGACGTCCTTTCCGCGGTCTATATATGGACATGACAACTTGGAAAGACGAGCGCCGTTTCGTCATAGCCGCAGACCACTCCCTTCGTGACCAAGATCTTCCGGCCTCACGGCGGGCGTGCCTCATCCCCAGTCTCGACATGCATGAAATATTTAGCCCGCAAGAGCTACCCTTGAGCCTCAGCCTGTGTGACGACGACACCTCTGCGACAAGAATGGAGCTCATGACGATTTTCGCGAATCTCCCGTTGTTCAAGAACGTGTGCGCCCTGACGCTCACGGAGCACCATGATGACTCGCAGGACAGCGAGGACATCTTCGAGTCCATGGCACCTGCCGAGCTGGGGTCTATCATGCCGCCGTTGAGCGGCATTACGGTCGCTCACTTTTATGGCTATACTGCTATACATGCCTTGGGGGCATTCGCCGATGGGGCGCTCGGTGATACCACATACCTCAGCCTTGTCGTCGACATCACCATTGAAGAGGTGTCGTTTATCCCGCCATCCGCAGAGAGTAAAACTGTATACATACCGTTTGATGAGCTACTCCTTGCGTTGAGGGAGCGGACACGCGGGAGAGGGCCCCGGCGTACCGCCACTCTGGAATGCCTTGAGCTCAAGTCTTGCGACATCGACGATGCTCAGGTGGCCCACTTGCGTCGGGAGTTCGGTGGGATGCAGCTGGTATGGGATGGTCTGATACGCGGCACGCAAGAATCCCAGCAGAGGGCCATGTGGGATTCGATCAACATGTCAGCCGAATGGGACGACTTGGAGAAGAGCTGAATTGGCCGACGGCATGGGGCGAACCGGGCAGGAGGAGGACTCAAAGTCGTGCTTCTGCAGCACCGCGGACTTGATTCTGGCTCGTCGCGGCACGTATTTAGAACTCTGTCCAGTCAAATGTCTTCTTTACTACAACGACACGATAAACTGAACGGTATACATGTAGACGTTAGAAGCTAAATTTATCGTTGCACCGTTACTCATGGATCCTGCAGTGGTAGTGGTACAAGCATGACATGATGAGACGTTGCGATTGGGGATGGGTTAGGGTTAGTGGAAGACGCGCGGCGCTCATCGTGAACTAGGCTTGCGAGCTGCCTCCATCTGCACCATGACCGCTCAGGGCGCTTCAGCGTCTCCTTCTAGGAAGCATTTGCACAGTCTACCTCCAGAACTGCTAGTGGAGATCTTCCGTGCGCTTGCGCCTCCCCGTTACCCGCAATGGCCGTATAGCACATCCACTGGCGATCCACGCCGCATCTCGCAAGTATGCTCCAGCTGGCGCGCCATCACACTGGGCATCAGAGACCTATGGACGAGCATACCGATTAAGAATGCCTACTGGGCGGCTCTATCTCTTGATCGATCTCGTCCCCTCCCTATATCAATATCCATCGTTAGGCTGGATAAATTTGGGACGCTCATTTCCAACCTGAGGAGAGAGCAGCTCAAGGTTGCGGTACACACACTCAAAACCGGTGTCCAGACGGCACTTTCGGAGCCTGCACGCATATGCGCTTTTCATGCCGAACTCTCCACATACGGCAACGAGGCCGAGTTCCAGGCCTGGTTCGCGCGTAAGCTCTTTGCGTTTTTGGAGGACGCCGATGTCCCTCTACTTGAGCATCTCGTCATCACGGTGGAATCATTAGAAAACATCGGTCAATACAGTTTCTTCCTTGGTCACCAAACTCCTGCCAACCTTCAATACGTGTCTATGTATGGCCTATACAGAGGAGATATGCCCTGTATGCATCTCCTCTCGGCGCCTCTAACAACACTAGATCTTGGCAGCGGGACGATCTGGGATTTCTTGCCGGATGCTCTGGATTCGCTGTCTCGACTGCCCACTCTCGAGTCACTCTCTATCAGACGTGATAGAGACGATATGATATGGGAAGGGGCGATTCTCCCTCCCTACGACATCAACGTCGAACCGCGATCGGTTTCTCTTCCCAACCTCAAAAAGCTCTACCTCTACGAACCGCTCGACCTCATCGCATGTCTCGTGCGAGCGTTAGCGTTCCCAACATCTGCGGCCATCAAGCTTTACGACGCGAACGACGAGGTCGACGACCCGGATCTGCTCGTCACCTCCGTTCGCGATTGTATAGACGTCATCGTCGCAGGGCTCAACGCACATTACGCACCCCTCGTCGCAGAGGGTCGTCCGTATCGAGGTCTCTGCTTACTCTCGAGAGCCCGAGACCACTCCGAGTTCCTCAATCGAGTCCATGTTGTGGCAGACTACGCAATCCGCGGGCAAGAGCTGCAAGACAGTCGCGCCTATCTCATGCCGGACCGTATCGATCGTGAATTGCGGGTCCTCGACCACAAACCGCAGGACCGCACACTGGACATCAGCATAACCGGTGACGAGACTCTTGAGGCGCACATACTCGTTGAAATACTCACCGGCCTCCCCGTCCTCCGGGAAGCGCGCGCCCTCACCTTCTACGACAAATCCTACGATCCATGCGAGGCCTTCCACGCAACCGGCCCACAGGCGTGGCTGGATGCTCTCCGATATCTTGGCGGCATCCAGGTGGCACATTTGCATGGCTATATAGCTGTCCGCCATCTCAAAGCGCTCGTGGCCAACGACGTTCACTACCATGATTTCACACCCCGGGTCCTCGTCATCGAAGACGTTTCCTTCCTCCCTGACCCCAAACCGCCATCCATATCGCTTGAGGAACTTGTGCTTGCGTTGAAGAAGTGTAGCGGGTTCGGCCGGCAAGCGGTGGAGGAGGGTGTCATGCACGTGGAGATCATCTACTGCGATATAGACGATGAGCAGGTCCTCCGTTTACGCCGCGAGTTTGGAGACAACTCTGTATCATGGGATGGCCTAACGCGAGGCTCGAAGCGGTCCAGGCGGAAACCATGTTCCATCTATGCTATATCGGACCCAGGATAACAAAAATACAAGTGTTTGCCTTCACAGTAGCAGCTGTATGAGCGATGAGCGATGCGAGATGCCTCGGAAGTCTTGGAATGGCGAGAGCTCATTTGGGCAAGATATGAACTTGCTAATCGTGTCATACAATGACATATCCTTTGACGACGTAGTCTCATTTATCTGTCTGCGTTCGACTTGACTGGTCAGAGGATGAACGTCGCGATATTTGGACTTGATCCAGGCGCAGTCATCGTGCATAGGGGCGTGGTTATGCATACAGTTGGTCTCATGGAATGACAGAAAGCAGTAAGAAAGTAGGGGCCCATACAACACATAACAGCACCAAAGCGACGCCAGCCTGTCCAGGCCGGCCAAGGTTTTGTAGGTCCGCTTAGACCTTGAAACCGCGCGAAGCCCTGCGACCACGACCACGCTCGAACTGTGTGCCGCGCATGGGTGTTTTGATCTTTTCCAGAAGAGCGACGGGAAGAAACGTACCTTGCGGCCCTTGGAGATGGTGTGTGGCCTCTTGTGCTTGTGGGGGCCCATGCCGAAGTGCTTGACGGACTCGCGCGAGTTGCGCTTGCCGCGGATGAGGACGGTGTTTGAGCCGGTGGGTGCGCGGGTTGCGAGCTGGTCGAGGGTGAGAACCTCGCCGCCGGCCTTGAGGATGCGCTCGCGTGCGGAGGCGGTGAAGCGGAGGGCGGCGACGGAGAGCTTCGGGAGCTCCGTCAGGCGGACATCATCGGTGATCGTGCCGACGACGACGACGACCTTCGACTCGAGCTCAGGCACGCTCTTCGTCTCCACCACGAGCTTCGAGAGCGACACCGGCGGGCGGTTGATCTTGGAGAGGTACAGGCGCTTGAGGATCGCCTATTTCGCATATTCAATATCTTTGCACTATATCAACTATTCAGACACGCACCTTGTTGAAGTCGGAGTCGGTGCGGCGGGCGAGGAAACGGTACAGCTACGCGTCTTTCAATATCCCGATCTTTGACACAACACCGGGGCCACACACCTTGACGAGCAAGAGCAAGTACGGGTCCTCGCTGGCCGGGGCAGTCCGTGCGCCCTTCTTCACGTGGTGCTTGGCGATGTCGATGCCCTGCACACCGTCAGCATCTCCCCCGACATCGAGCAGCACAGCGCGCGCACCATTTTGAGTCTTGCCTTGTCGTCGACCTGCGCGATGATGAGCGTACTTCCACCGTCGCCCTTCGAAAACTGCCAACCCCACAGAGTCCCACGCATCACGTGATCTCGGCCGTTGCCGGAGCGACAGCTCACTCGCTGGTCCTTATGGGTGCTTGATTCCTGAAAGAAGAAGTTGATGGCCCGATTGGGGTGATGCTATTTGCTAAGAAGACGTAGTAGTGGCGCCGACACGATACAAATAAACATCGGGCTACCTGGCAGGCACGCCGGGCATCGTGCTCGTGGCGAGGTCTCAGGAGCGTCCCACGCTTACGCAAACGACGCGAACCGTCTCTGTGCGTGGACGTTGACCGCCACGACGACGAAAAGCGTGATAAATATTCGCAGTACTCCGACCAGCCTTCGATGAACGTGGACCCGTACTCTGACGCGTACAACGACGCGCCGCCTGCTGCCGGCGGTGCTGATGCGCCGAGTGACCCGCCGAGGGGTCGCTCTCGCACCCGTTCGCGCTCACGCACGCCGCCGGTGCGTTCGCCGGCGGCCAGCTACCGCTCTCCCGAGATTCGCTCAAAGCGGCCCTCGCCGGCACCGCGCCGCCCCCCGCACGCGCCGACAGTAAGTCGCATGCGCTGGCTGACGCCCCACCACAATATACTCATCACAAATGAAAATAGAACCCGAACCCGACAAATGTCCTCGGTGTGTTCGGTCTCAGCATCCGCACGACCGAGCGCGACCTCGACGACGAGTTTTCTCGCCACGGCCGTGTCGAGCAAGTGACCATCGTGTACGACCAGCGCGTAAGTGTGACCCCTGTCTTGTCAAACAAAGGACCATTCACTAAGCCATGCTTATCAGTCCGACCGCTCCCGCGGCTTTGGCTTCATCAAAATGGCCACCGTCGAGGATGCCGAACGCTGCATCAAGGAGCTCAACGGACTCGTAAGCCTTTGACTTATTCGTGTGCCCACCACGTTCTGACGCGCGAACAGGACCTCAACGGCCGGCGCATCCGAGTTGACTTTTCTGTGACCGACCGGCCGCACAACCCGACGCCGGGCGAGTACATGGGTCACAGGCGCCGCGATGACTTTGCGCCTCGCAACTCGTACTACGGCGGTGGCGGCGGCGGCGGTCGCTCTGACCATGGCCGTGACTCGTACCGCGACCGTGACCGCGACTACGGCAGCTCCCGCTATGGCGCACGGGACCGCGATCGCGACCCGTACGGACGCGATAGTCGCGACACCCGCGACACCCGCGACCGCGAGTCTTTCCGCGAACGCGATAACTGGCGTGATCGCCGCAGCCCAGCACCCTCGCGTGGTGGCCGCTATTCGCCGGACTACGGACGTCGCCGCCGCTCCTACTCGCGCAGCCCGCCCCGCGGGTCAAGTCCTCGCCGCGACTATGATGCCCCCGCGGACGGCGGTGGCTCGCGCTGGTAAACGACACAATCGTCAAGACGTCGGAGCACGACTGGTATGGTAAGAGACGCGGTGATGCTGAGAGCATTTCATTCACGCGCAGGCGGGAGCTGGTTCTACCAAGCGCAGTTGGTTCAGCGGTCTTCATCCGATCTTCAACCTTTCCGTCAAATCCTCAAATACGTCAACTGCTCGAATTCTCAAAGCCCATCTTGCATGAAGACCCTCCCTACAAATAGCATAAATCCCCAAGCTGTCAAGTCTCGGTCCCTTCTTGTCTCCTTAAGCTCGCCTACCGTACAACTCAAGTAACAAGCCGTGGTGCAAGTTCAACATGAAGACGAGGTCCCCCGGACGTAGCGGGTGTCTGAGTGGAGCGATGGACTGCGCGAATCAGCCGTCCAAATGCCGATGCTCGGCGTAAGGTGTATCTTTGGACTCGCGTTCTCGCGATGAAAGGTATAGGCGGTGCCGCACTTATCACATCTGACATGTTTTCGTACAGGCTGATCATGTACGATCTTCAAGATCCTCGTGCTCCTTGCACTGGACCGCAGCAGTTATGACGGATGCAGTGAATAACGCTTGCATTGTGTATGCAATAACTCCGTGTATATGCCAAATGACATGCGTACTTGAAATATGCCGGCTATCATACTCTTTTTTGTTCTTGTTGAAAGCCATGAAGCTTGAATTCGGCCAGCGATGGCTGTGCACTTCTGGACTTGCGCTCGCAAAAGTGCCTCAAACCTTTTCTTCTGGCTCGCGGCGCAGTCCCTCTAGCACTGCTACTGTACTCACTCTAATACCTCACCTCCTAACTTCTCTAGACTACGTTCTCCTCCCCCCTTCTAGCGAGCCGTTTGTATTGCCGGAACCTTCTCGCCTGGAGGTCCTGTGCCATGCTTCACTCGAAGAGAATGCGACTTGGCTTTTACTCGCCGCGAATGCCGTCCGTGGTATGTACTATTGCTTTTGCTTTAAGCATCGCGATAGTCCCATGAACCGTACCACAGGTTCGAAAACGCGACGCACACCACTGGAACAACCAAACATTGCCTTTACACGCGAACTATTCCGAGCCCAACAAGATACCCGTTCATATTATGCGTTCGTATCTCGGCCGTGTTCCCGTTCCCGACTGATAACAAACATCGCCGCCCTCGGATATGGAACCCTTGCTCCCAGCTCTTACCTCCTGATGAAAGTGCGGTGCATTGCGAGCTTGCGCCTCGGGTTCTTTCTGTTGCATGAGAGAGCATCGCCCCTAGTTGCGCCTTAGCCTCGACGATCTGCGATGCCCGAGTATCCCTGTGCTCACGGCTTTCACTTTTCTCCATCGGAGGACGTCTTGCCTGTCATAACAGGAGCGATCGTACCCATGAGAAGGTACGAGCATCCAGATGCAAGCGTACATGCGCTGTTCTCCGATGCATCATGTTTCTAGGGTGGTACAGCTTAGGCGTCCAGAAAGGATGGGATTCACTCTTACTTGTGTAAGTCTACCAGATCGATGTTACAGTGCTATAAAGATGCTAATAATGGAAGTAGTACCGTATGCACATGAAGGCACCTGAGGCCAGATGTGGATACGTCTCGGCAAGCCGGTTCCCTTTGCACAATTTCTGCCCAAGCGGATAACTGTACATGGACTTACATCCGGATACGTCCGAGCAAAGAACTATACACAAGTCTGTCTGCACTCTGCTAGCAATTCCTCAGAGATCCCCAGGACGCCAGTACTTCCGATATAGATGGAGCGAACCTGTAGTTGACATTGTATAAGGTTTTGGCCTTGATAGAGGACTTCTGAGTGTATGGGTTTCACAGGACGACGGATGTGATTCTCGTCTGCGCCAATCGCTTCCTACCAGGATACCGCAAAAGCGATAAGACACGTGAAGCTTCGTCGACTTCAGTATCACAGCTTTGCGGGTGACTTTCGCCGCCGGCGTGTGCACGCGGCTCCCAATGCGAATACCTGACATGTTTCTCTCTTCCTCGAGATCCACAGGGCTGTGCCCGATAACGGCGACAGGTGAATAAGGTGGCCCAACGCCCCTCACGGCGGGACAGACATGATGTTTTCTCACCCATCTCCCGGGGTGCTGGAGGTGATCGGATTGAACTTGAATGAGTCCAACAGTTGTTGGAAGGGAAGTGCCCAACGGCTAGGTACTCACGATAATCGGAGTCTGAATATGAGCGCCCTGTCGGGTTATGGCTGTGCTATGACGAAGTTAATGAAATCAATCATCGTAGCCCCAAGCTGTTGGCGGCTCGTACAGTACCATCCGCGGCCGAGTGTAGATAATCCGCACGGCGGATCGCTTTCTGGCGATTGACCGGTGGCTTCTGTTTCCGTCAAGAGATTGGTACTTTTCATCATCGCGCCAGCCCGATTCCACGACATCCGCGGGCCTAGCCTTCAATGAGCAATGTCCGGAATCTGAAGCTTAGATCACGAGGGGTTGGATACTTTGTCCTGGCAGTGCATCAGCTTTAACTCGCCCTCGAGATCTCTTCCAGATACTACCTTACCTGTCAACTTATATCGCGTGGCATGTAGAGGTAACCTCCCTTGCAGGCTTTTCAGCTTTTGCCGGGAGGGAGGATGGTCAATGCAGAGGGCTGTCGACAGGTTTGGCGGGTTGTGGGAATTGGTGACGAACCATGGCCGAGCCTCGTGCCACAGCCCGAGCCGGCGCGTCGGCCCTGCGCTTGCCTCGTGTCTAACTTCTCCCGACTACAGAACCGCCCTCCGCTCTGTAGCTGAAGCTTGATGAGGTAGGCTGAGCCTGGCGCAGGGACCATTGTCCATTGGAGGTCTGTGGTCCATTCTCGGAGTTGATGCGTCACAGTGTACAATATTTCTAGCAGTAGGCGTTCCCTTTGAGCGCTACAGCCATCCTTCGCGAGCCCCGTAGAATATCTCTACACCTCTAGTCTCAATCAGCATCGTACTCAGCATTCTCCCGCAGGCGCAGATGGAAAGCCTATGCGCCACAAAGCCGCTGACCACTGGTAACGGCCCTCTCAGGAAGCACGGAAAGATTGCGCCCACGGCGCATCTGCTCCAGACGGAATCTACCTAGCCCGCTTGTTATCACAGCCGCCCTACCCTCTATAATCATCCATATGAGTGCCAAGCTCGTCGCAAATCGCACGCACTAGCATTGGTTTGTCGCAGATCAGTGACGGTAATGTGAACACGAAGCCTCGGGGACGTCTCGCAGTCCCTCAAGGCTACTACGTGTGATGTGTTTGAAGGACAGCAGCGATGCATGGAAGCAGGCATGGAATGTAGCCTCTCCCACAGGGTGCCTCATGACGCACAACGAGGCGGGCCTATTCAATCAGCGCACGCTATTCAAAGATGGCTCGCCTTGGTCTCGAAAGGAAGACGGAAACTACTGGCCTTTCTTTCAGCTTTCATCACTGCCAGCCGGCATAGCATATCGTTCCTGCGAGTGCAGCTTCCAACGCTTTCCAGCTCCGAGAGCCTCAGCCTGAGAGCTTACCCTGTGACCCTTGTTGGTATCACTTGAAGATCGTGCATCGTACGATGCACAGGCCTGCCATCCTCGCGTCCTGTACCCGTGTCTGGTCCCGGTCCTTATTGAGGAGGGTCTCAGGTTCTGGCAACCTGCCCAATTGGCAGTCATCGACCTGATAGTATGGCGATTCAGGAGATGAGGGAAGAGCGCCATCAATCTCCGGGGCGCACCGGAAACATATCCGCCCACCAACGCGGCCGTGCGGCGCGGTCAATGCATATGTATGTAAAGCAACTCTTTGCCACCATGCACGGTGGTAGAGGACGACGTGTAAGGCTCAGAACAGTCTTCTAGGCTCGACACTGCGGCACTCCGTTCAGTGAGCCCCAGTCAGGTCGTACTGCCTCGGCGGCGGCTCCCTAAGGCAAGAGGCGTATTAGAACCCGAGTACCACATACATCCATATAAGCCGGACCGTACGCCATGAACCTGTCCTCCCTCCCTCCTGTTCGTCATACTGCGTCTGTCCTTATTGCATGGTCCCCGTTGAGCAGCTCATCAAAGCAAGGCTTCATGGCTCGATTCTCGTCGCTGCCTTCGGCTTTAACTTCGCCTATAAACGTACCCTTGCGCACGCTTCTCGCGCCTGGCTCGAAGAAAGCGCCTCGGCCCCGAACGGCACATGGGGAAGTTTCGAAGACTTTGTAGACGCATCGTATAGCGATCTACTCGAGTCTGACGGGAAGCCGAAGGGGCTGATCTCTATTTCAATACCCTTTTACGCATGGGCGACCTTCAAGTTTGGCTTTGGCGCGTATGCCTTCCAAGCCAGCAGCGCCGGCTGGTGGTACCTCATGGATATGAAGACGGAGGATACGCGGCTTATCATACCGCTCAAGATATTCGAGCCGTACAACCTGAAGCCGGGAGTCCGCCAGGAAAACGTGATGAAGGAGGTGGACCTTAGACCGCTCTGGTGCATCTGTAGAGATGGAACCTTGGGCGTTCCCGTAATCGGGGAGCTCCCTGAGCTATGTCGCGGTAACGAGGCTTTCGAGCGCGCTGACGGTAGTCCGCGGAAGACCATGAAAGTGAAGATCAATGTCAGTCATACCATCTGTAGCGTCTTGTGTATCCATGACATCATCTCCATCAGTGGCCAGGGTACGCACCGTCGGACAAGCAGATACGGCCGCTGAGTGACAAGGGCGATCGTTCGATCAAACGACTCATGACTCTGGTGGCTGGCAAAGTCTGTGCCTTTTTGGACGTATGTTGCGCAATAGGCATCGGCGGCTCCTATCGAGTCTAACGTACATCCGACAGGAGCATGCTACGGCATGCACGGCAAAGATGGGCACAGAGGCCGCCTATGTTATCGGCACCCAGACGGGGGAGATATCCTCTCGGGATGTTCTTCTGCTAGGTATTGTGATTGTCTCTGAAGGTGCAGCGACGCCTATTTTGAGATTGCGCGACGACTTCCGTGAGTCTGGTGTCAGTTCCCTTCAAGATGCACCTCGACTGACAATGTTCAGTCTCACAGGGCTTGGTTTGACAGTGTAACTAGCACCTTGTTGGTCATTAAGGAGCCGTAGGCCCTACTACACGCGCCCTTGCACGCGAAGGCTTCGTAACGTCATCTAGGGAAGTTAGTAGTTGAACGTCAGACTACACTTGCCTCTAGACATGGTGTTTTCGTGCAAGCTCGCGTAGCAGGTTCCACATCTTCGCGACCAGTCGTTCGATACCATTCTTCCCATTGTGCACGTCGTATCAGTAGTTGAATATCATGAGCATCCTTTGTCATACTATGCCGGTGCCAAAGCAAGATCTCAACATCTAAGTAGTATTACCATGCGCCAACAGCTCCAGGGCTCACATGACACGAATAGGCTGAGGTTGTCCAGCAAAGATCACAGTGCGATGCCGCAGCGAGTGGGGAAGTTCCCTCGTGCGCTCTCGCGGCTGGTAGTATCACGACGTAGGACCGGTATGCGGGCGACCGATGCTGATAATGTTATCTCCTTAGTCCTAGCTCCACGCCATCAGCCCGCAATCGCATAGAGCCGCAGGCTGACGCGTGACGACGCGATGGATATGCCAGTCATCCTATATTTATAGTTCCTGAGAGTCTTGGCGGTAGTGTTGCGGTGGTATGCATGGCGATGGTGCTCACGACGACGGTAGTGCGAGTTCAAGGAGTTGCCATGTCATGGGCAATGTCGCCGTCTTCAATTTGCCATTGGTATGTAGCAGTGCCGACATGACTCAGAATTCGGTAGCGAATGCGTGTAGGAAGCAGAAATCATTGTCCTCAGACCACCGCGCCGTATCGTTTGGACCAGAAGTCGTCATGGTAAGGGTCCGAAGTTGAGGTCACGGTTGTGTGCTGGGCTTGAATGTTGTTGGGCTTGGTAGACACCTGGCGGTGCGAAGCCAAACAAGGGCCCGCGCGCGCGGTCAACTGCCGACCCCTTGATGCTCACGCTTCCATCACGCACCTCCTCACCTCTCACCAGTATTGATCCCTCAATGCACGCCAAACGCGCTGGACAAGGCGATGATGTTTTGCTTCTGTGATACTAGAAGCTCGAGCGTGATGCGTTGACAACTTACGCGAGGTTGACCGGCGTCCTCATGCTGCTTTGTGCGGTGGTTTGGGGCCCGTGTCAGCGCTCCCGCCACGTTCCCGCCAGCAACGAGCAACGATCGCGCGAAGGATTGTCATATCGGGCGACTTGGAGACCCGGGATGTGCCCATGTGCATGTCTTCGCATGCGCCGGCGCTCTCTGTTTGGAATATGATCAGAGGTCAAAAACAGAGCGTCCGTAGGGCGATCGGCGTAATGAGCCTTCCTGAACCGTGGGACGATGCAAAGACCGAAGCAGAGTCGCACACTGCTGGTAGTTCTCCACCTGGAAAGGCCTGGGATATCATATCAGACAACCTGGGCAAGAACCGGAGACAGGCCTTGAGTATTCACGATAACCTGCCAACGCTCCCCAGAATGCACGTGCAATGGACGCCCATTTCATCTGTGTGTGTGTCGTGTCAACTGGAGGACGGACCCTGGGCACTGGTCAGCCTTGAGCACGTCATACCGCACCGCGCACGGGCCCGGTATCGTGCTAGGTGCCTTTGAGATGGACCTCGAAGGTCGAGGCACTTGCGGTATAGCAACGAATGCGCCCATCGCTATGATGCGCTTTGCGTCTCGATGCCTCCTCCGAGTGGCTACACTCGCCACTATTACTAGAGAGCGGACGCCTCGGACCTTGCGACAGCTTAGACGGTGTGTACTCTAGTCTTCGCATTTTGCAGTCATCTAACGGCGGGTATCATCTTGAGTCGGAGAGGTTATTTGAAACTGTGTAGGCGGTGCGCCGATGTCGCGCGCTTGTTACCTCCGCGTGGGGGTGCCTCGAGTTCCTCCTGGAATCCTACATGCGCCCCTCGGCCAGGGCTATTGGTTGTCTCACTCGAGGCTAATGAGGGTGGCCTGTGCTGCAACTGGAGTATAACATACGCGAGCAGGGACTAAGGGGTGATCACTGTCGTAAGCAGGGGGCAACTATCGCTCAGCGCTTGAAGTCGGGATTTAGACTCTTGCCCTGGCAATTGCGGGCCGAAGTCGAAGTAAGGCGGGACCTGCTGGAGACCTTCGGTGGTGATAGCTCAAGTTCAAGAGTCGCTCATGCCTATAGATATCCAAGGCCCATACACACGCCGCACGTCGATTTCGACTGATATGCGGCGTGGGGCCGGAAGTGACTAGGCGTCAGGTGCGTTCTTCTGCGTACCTAGCTTCTGTCTCCGTGTTTGTATACTCACGGGGCTACCTGCGGCGAATTGCGGCGACGTTCCTCATCCTGACGTCCACTTCCATCTCGCGGTCGTGTCCTCGAAAGGTCCATCTGCTTGTCGCGCTCAGCATCAGCCACATTATGAATGCTATTCTCCATGGGATCGAGATGAGATAGAAAAAATCATAAGCTCGGCAGGTTGGTACGATGCGATGCTCGGGAATACAGCTGGCCATGCTCACGCATCTCTACAGATCAATATGCATCCACCTCAGTCTACGATCTGTGACCCCGGAGAGTGGAACAGATACAGATCCAACTATGTTCATCATACGTCCCGGTCGTCGGCGAAAGCGAATGGCCAGTGAGGTAATCCTCGCGCGCCGTCGGGCAATCGGGTCGCGTACTTGGCGCAGCCAAAGGTGAGCTTTCCAACTTGAACATGTACAGCGTTGTGGCTTCCAGCTCTAACGGTTGTTCACTTGGACGCACAATACTGCAAGATCTTTAATCGTCCAGTACGGGATCGCGAGATTCATGTTCTCGTCTATCATGCGCAGGTCCACGGTCACCCGAGGACCTCCAACTACCATGGCACAGGTCATTCAACATTGAGCCTCTCGACGTCTGCGATACATAAGGCTTGCGTGCGTGAAGTTGCGATCCGTACAAACAGTCGCTTTTGCTCATGCACGACATATACAACGCCCGAGACACCGCTCTTTCCTCTTCCTCTTCCCCATCTACCGCCGACATCGCGCGTGCTGGGCAGTACCTCCGGCCCCTCCTAAGCACCACCATTCTGACTCACATCTTTGATATTGAACTTGCGTTGGATCGTGCTCTTCGCATCTTACTCTCGATCTGGAAAGGGATGCCTCAACATATGCAGCTCCCGTTTTACTCATTCGTCACGACCTACTTCCCTACTTTCTCCTTCTTGGAGAGTCACTGGGAAACGGCCGGCATGCCTCGAGGCGCCATCTCCCTATTCTTTCCTGTTCATGCGCTCGACGCACCGATGTACCAAATCCAAATTCCCTATGTCCAATGTCCCCGATACTACATCATGGACGTCGTCGCCTCAGACTATTCGCGTTTCATCCCGTCAACGGTTTTCGTTCCTTACAAGGACCGAAGTTCCCAACGTTGCCGCCAAGTTCTTGATCGCATCAATTCGATGCCGCTCTGGTTCTTTGGGGAGGATGGCTCTCTTGGCTTTCCAATTGAAGAAGGGGGGAGAGTGAGGCTTCTACACGGAGACGATCCGTTGCACCTCATGAACTCTCAGAACAAGTCGATCACGACACTGAAGGTCAAGTTCGGGGTGCGTTAACATCACCTACGCCATTCAGGAACAGTATTAACGTCCGTTGTCTGGCAGTGGCCAAACTATCAGCCCACAGAGAAACAGATCCGTGCGTCACCCAACGGGACGCTCAACAACCTCAATCGGCTCGCAAGTCTGACGGCTGGTGCCGTGCGTAATTTCATGGGTGTAAGTTCATTGACCTCTGCGAGCTAAACGCGAAGATACTGAGCCCCTCAGGATGAGCAAAAACTCGAAAAGCTCATGATAGACAAGAGTCCGGGGTTCCATCCGTGGCAGATCGGTACTCAACCAGGACGAATCAGAATCTCCGACGTCATACTTCTCGGAGTGATCTTTGTGTCTGACGGCGCCGCCATGCCGTTGTTGGCTATGATGGAGTGAGTGAGCTTCTATACTTGCAGCGCCTAGTACCTACAACTAAGTTTATCGGTGTGTAGTTCCGAATCTGCTTAGATCCCGTTAGAGACCAAGCTCAAGCAAGATCGAAATCCGCCGTGGCAGCCAGAAATTGTGATCTACGACCTGGTAACGCACCGGACGCTTTCTTGGATTGGAAACCTAGTATCCGTAATTGTCTGCATTCTTGTACTGCTTTTACAATGCGATGCTCGCACCACAACTCCTTTCGTCATGTTCAGTCTGTTCCAGAGCGTGATACCGATGAGTACAAGCTTTTAGAGTCTTACAGATCGCTACGTCCGTTGAACGCGGCATTCAGTACGATACCTGTGTAGATCGTTTCGTCATTCAGCCTCGTAGTTATGAATACGTATACACTGATGGCAGCATCGAGATCCAATCGAGATCTGTATGTGTCACGCGAAACCCGATTCGATCTCGAGATCGCATTGCTTGCGGTGCTCTGGAATTTGGATATCTCAAACAAGAGCGCTCTAACTGACGGTCTGCATCATGTATTACGCGTTTACAAACGAGCGAACGCAAGTCCAACGTGAACGGTTCAGGAACGACTGCAGCTCCAGAGGTGGCGAAGAAGGTGCGGTATCCAGCCCAGCATGCCACCCCTGCCACCTGGCATACTCCTCCTGCGCGCACCACGGCTGGACGTGGTCGTGAAGCACCATCCAAGCTGCTCTGCTCTGTGACACAAAGTCAGTCTTTGATCGATATGCCGAAGAGATCGGATACGTACGCGAGAGTATTCGCCGACCCGACCGCTCTTCTCGTTTCGCTCAAAGACCGGCGAGAGAGCCATGCTTGCTACGCTCCAGCACCGCCTCCAATCCCTCCCAGCCTTGGTCATTCTCGATCCCAAAGTCTAGGTACGGCTTGTCCGAGTCCGTGGTCACGAATAGTTCCCGCGCCTTTCCTTTGCCCTTTATCGCTAACGAGCTACAAGACTTTGGCGTTCCCGGCGCGCTCGTTGGAGGAGTTGACGTAGCGAGCACAGCATAGCGCGATCCCGAAGAGTCAACGCATGTGGACTCGGTGGCAGACGCCGGCGATAGCGGGAGAAATGCGCACTCAGACCACTGGTCCAGAGAGTGCGTTGGGATGGCAATGAGCTCAATCTCGTGTGCATCGAGATCGTATTCGTCGGGCGAGAACACCTCGCGGTTCTCAACTCCGAGTACGTCGTCTGTCAAGCCGTCGATAGGCCCGCACTCACGCGTCCGAGCGCCCGTCGGTGATATGTCGGATTTCCGTGCCACAGGCGGCAAGCTGAGCAGCTTTGTTCCAAAGCCTAGCGATTCAAGCGAGCTGGCGCTGCTGCAATTTCCTTCATTGGCGTCAGACCGAGCAACGGGAAGCTCGATAGTAGAGTGCGCCGCAAGGTCGAGGAAGAGGGACATGACGGGTAGATTTGGTGGAGGCCGAGGGAGATATGCTCGCTGGAGTTGCAAAGGCGCCTGAGCGGCAGGGTGCGGGTTGATAGAATGCCCAGAGTAGCTCTTATATAAGAGGGAGGTGAGCAAGGGTCTTTGTCCAACGTTGCAAGAGCTAGTGCGGGACGATGAACTGTGGTTCGTAGCGTGGATCCTGTCACGACTGAAAGACACAAAGAGACGTCCTTTGTCCGCGGGTTCAAAGCGAGGGGTGTCCGTCTTGGCACGAGCGCAAACGATGATCCACATTACATTATGAAACATGAGTGGTGGGGTGATATATATGCAGACACTACTTGAACGAACTAAGAGAGATGTCCAAAGAGATGGAGCAAAGGCAAGCTCACAGATACATTTATATAGACGCGACAGAGTTCAAGTGCGTTCGCTCAGGAAGGCATCCAATTCATCGTCGAGTTCTTGCTGAGTCTTGTGTGGGCGTGGCTCAGTGCGCTGTGGCTCCGAGCGGCGTTCCCCGCGACGTGGTCCAGTCCCGGCTCTATCGCCCTCCCGCCGTCCGCGTCCACCCCTTGGCCGATGTTCTCGCTCCGGTTCACGATATCGACTGTTACGGCCAAATTCATCTTGTGTGGACGGGTGAACGCGTATGACGGATGTACGCTCTAAAAGCGACTTTCCCTCCGCTTCCACTTTGTCCGCGTACATCTTCGAGACGGGTGCGTCTTCCTCCTCTTCATCTCCCTGCTGCAAGAAGCTGTCTAGCTCCTGGTCGAGATCCTCGCGCGTGAGCTTGGCTGGACCGTCGTCTTGACGCCGGCGCTTCGCGGGACCTTCGCCGTCATCAGCAGTCGGAGCGCCACGGCGGTCGTCCTTGCTCGCGTGTTTGCGGTAGAACTCGGACTCGCGACGGGCGTTGGGCTTCTTGACGTCGTCCACGCGGGCCCACCGGACGCGCAGGGCGCCGCGCAACTCGCTGCTCTTGCCGAGGCTGGCGGAGATGCGCTCCTCCGGTGGCCACATGGCCATCGGGATCCCCCGCGCGGTCACGAAGCCCTCGGCGTCAGTTTCCTGCTTCGGGTCTCGCTGCAGCTGCCCGAGGGCTTCCTCCGCCGCGAGACTGGACTTGAAGACGAGCACGACGTTCGAGTCGTTGACCCATTCGATGCCGAGAGGCCGGACAGAGTAGTGCGCGCCGTACGCGAATATCTTGTCGTTGTCCAGATGCGAGATGGGCGTGCCGGTTACCAGCAGAGCATTGGGCCGATACGTAGTGTCCTCTGAAGTAGCATTGGTAAATGTTGAGAGCAATAGCGCACACAATGACAAACCTGCGGCAATCTCCGCGTCGACGACCGAGTCCTCCACGTTCTCGTCGTCGTCGTCCTCGCGTTTGCGCTAGGAAGTGTTCAGGCTCGCCGAGGTCTTGTCAAGGCGTCTTGCGCACCTTCCCGGCCCGGGCCACGGTCGAGTCGGCGAGCAGGTACAGCTTGTTCCGGCTGATCCGGTCCGCCAGCGACGGCTCAGCCGCGACCTGCCTCTCGTACGGAACTTCCTCGTCGTACGACAGAGGCGCCTCTACGGGTTCAGTGTCTTCGAGCGAGTCCATGGTGGCGGTGAGCGAGAGCGCTTCGGCCAACAAGTGACGACGCGCGGGGCGTGACTTGTCCCACGCTTGCTTTTACTTCTCTCCATCATGTCCGACGCAGAGCAGGACCAGACCGTCTCCAAAAAGCAGCGTTTCCGCAAGGACAAACGTGAGTCAGGATACCGGTGCTCTAAGACCCGATATTGAAGATAATATAGCCTGGGATACCGATGACATCGACCAGTGAGCAACCCATGCACCTGTGCGTTTTTCCACCTTTGCTCACCATCTCTCAGTGTACGCTCGGTCACATGTGTACTCGCCAACTCAAATGCTCACTGTGTACGTAGTGGAAGGTTGACCCGTTCAAGCCGGAGGATAACAAAGGCGGCACTCTCCTCGAAGAGTCTTCATTCGCTACGCTCTTCCCTAAATACCGCGAAAAATACCTGCGAGAAGCCTGGTCTGCGGTCACCAAGGCATTAGACGCTCATGTACGTGGCATGTCAGACATAATTCATTTCAGCTGTACTCATTGCGTGCAGGGCATCGCGTGCACACTCGACTTGGTGCACGGTTCCATGGCTGTGCGTACGACGCGCAAGACCTACGACCCGTACATCATTCTCAAAGCACGCGACATGATCAAGCTACTTGCGCGTGGCGTGTCCGCCGGTCAGGCCGCAAAGATCCTTGACGATGCCATTGCGTGCGATATCATCAAGATTGGCAGTCTTGTCCGGAATAAGGAGCGGTTCGTGAAGCGCAGGCAGAGGATTATTGGGCCGGATGGGAGCACGCTGAAGGTCTGTCAGGATGTCAGATGCTTGAGACGGACAACTGACGCTCTATATAGGCCATCGAGTTGTTAACACAATGTTATGTGCTCGTGCAGGGTAACACGGTCAGCGTCATGGGCCCATACAAGTCTCTGAAGGAGGTCCGGCGCATCGTTCTCGACTGCATGAAGAACATCCACCCCATATACCGCATCAAAGTACGCACGTGTCATATCTGTTTCTGATCTTACGTTCAAATTGCTCTACAGGAACTTATGATCAAGCGCGAACTAGCCAAAGATCCCAAGCTCGCCAATGAGTCTTGGGACCGTTTCTTGCCACAGTTCCGTAGGCGGCATCTCACGACGTCCGAGAAGACGGCGAAGAAGAACGAGAAGCTTTCGACGAAGACGGAGGCACGCGCGGCTGCCGGTCTGGACGCACCCGGTCCATCGAAGGAGAAGAAGAAAGTGTATACGCCGTTCCCGCCCGCGCAGACGCCGCGGAAGGTCGACTTGCAGCTCGAGTCTGGAGAGTACTTCCTCAGCAAGCACGAGAAGAAGCGGAAGGAGGATCTGGAGAGGAGGCAAAAGGTATGTTTTGTCTTTCTATTGCATCATGCCATTTTACTCAATCGCTTTGTAGCAAACGGAGACGACCGCGAAGCGTCAAGCAGAGCGTGCGGAAGCTTTCGTGGCGCCAGAAGAGGAGGCCGCGCCGACGGTCGAGGAGAAGCGCAAGCGCAAGCGCAAGCAGGGCTCTACTGTAGAAGCGGAGGAGGGTTTCGCAGAACCAAAGGAGAAGAAAAAGAAAAAGAAGGTCCGGATGGCGGAGGACGAAGAGGAGAGCGCTGCACCTGCAAAGAAGAGGAGAAAGAGCTCAGAGGCTTAGGCTTCGCATTGTCCCTGTACACCACTTCCCATCTTGCTTCGCGAGGCTATATCTTTGCAATGCTATTGTGTATCACCCGTGATTTCCCCGTGCAACTGTACACATAGCCCACCCAAGGAAAACCAGGGAAGATTTTGATGTGTGGCACGAGCCACGTGCGCTCGAGGGCAACGCGAATCGGAACAGCCAAAATCTTTTCGCGGAGCAAGCCACCATGTCTCTCATCGCTTCGACCTCCTTCACCCAGTTCTCGAGCCCTGCACGGTCCGCCGAGCTTGCTGGTGGCGCTTATGTGCTGTCTATAGCAGCATTAGACAATGAATATGCAGTGCTGTCTTCTGCGCCTTCAAATCAAATACATCTATATGATCGCGCTTCCTTGAGACCATCCGCGTCTTTCGACGCGCATACCACCGCCGGGACCTCTCTACGCTCTGCAGAAAATATTCATGGAACCTCGCGCCGCGTCCTCTTGTCGTCTGGCAAGGACGCGACAGTAAAAGTCTGGGATGCCCGGACACCGACGCCCGCCCTCATTAGTGCGTTCTCCGCGGAACGTTGAAGCACGCGTGCACTCAAGGTCACTCGCGTCCAGTGAGGCAAGCGGGAGCGCCGCGCGCTCTTCTGTGTGCCGATGCCGCGCCAGACGGCATGTTGATTGCCGCGGGCGCTGAACTCAAAGGCGACGACGCGCCTATTCTCTACTGGGACCACCGCTCGCCCGCCGCCCCTTTGCGCTCCCACGCGTCTACGCACTCGGACGACGTTACCGCGCTGCACTTCTCCCGCTCACAGGGCACCGCGCGTCAAGTGCTCTCCGCGTCATCCGATGGACTGCTGAGCCTTAGCAACGCGGACGAAGAGGACGAAGATGAAGCCGTCGTACACGTCGGAAACTGGGGCTGCTCCGTCGCACAGGCAGAATGGATGCCGAACGGTGAAGGCGCATGGGCGAGTAGCGATATGGAGACGTTCTCGACGTGGTCGGCCGAGCTCGATCCTCGCGCAAATGTCGATATTCGCGAGCCGTCGCTGCATACTCCCCAGATCGAATGGGTCACCGACTATCTGATCGGATGCCATGCGTCTGAACGCGGAGGGATGAGTCTGTTCGTGGGCAGCAATGAAGGCGATGTAGCGCTCTTAAAGAGCTCGGACTGGGGCAATAGTTCGGCCGACTGGAATCTCGAAAGACTGTTCATCGGTGCTCATACTGGCGTGGTCAGGAGTATGTTATGGGATGAGCAGGTGCGTGACGTTTGAACTGCTTGTGAACATCCGGTTGATCAGGATGCAGAACAATGTACTCCTGACGGGCGGGGAAGATGCGAGATTGCATGCGTGGGCATGCCCTCCACTGGCCTCAGCATTCGCCTTAGACCCCGGAGTGAGCAGCTTGTCCCCGCGAAAGCGTGACCTCGACGGCGACGTAGAGATGGGAACCTCCCCGGAGTCGGTAAGTCACCGCCTCTCGCTTAACTTGACCGTCGCTGACGTGAACTCGATATAGGCGAAGAAGAAAGCGCGTAGATGAAGCTAATGATCATAGGCCCTGCCATCAGTCAATGCTTTCCTGTACATCTGCTTCATCCATGCCGTCAAGCCAGACCTTTCGCTGTGCTGATCACTCCCGTCAGCCTTGAACACGTAAGAACCCATTGTTCATGCCAAAAACGAAGTATCAAGAAAGTGCAAATGATTAACGTGTGCGGTCATTACAAATAAGCGTTCGAATCCTCGACATGAAAGCCATTATCCGGAGCTCTAAGGGACCACGTCCCGCCCACGGAGCAACTCGTCATCCAACCTCCTAACCAAGCGTCCATATCAAGACGCTCACGCCTCCTGCAGCTCAACATTCGCGCAGCCCGCGAGGGTGCGCTGGCCCGCCAATTTGTAGCTGATCAAAACGTTGTCGCCCTCCTTCTGCAACACGCTCGCCGGGCAAGCGGTGAAGACCCCATCCTCGTAAGCGAGCTTGCCGTTCGCGGCAGCGACACCCTGAGTTCCCGGGGTAGGGCCGAACGTGACGACGTTGGCGCTGGGGACGGTGGCCGTGCCGCCAGGCGTGATGTGAATGTGGAACTCCTGGCCCGTAGCATCGGTGTCGATGCTGTTGTTCGCGTCGGTGAACGTCGCGCCGGAGCCGGGGGCGGTGAGGTAGGCGTAGCCCGTGTCGTTCTCAACGGTGACCTCCTTGCCCTCGAGCGACGGGCTGAGATCGAAGTCGGTGACGTGCGCCTTGAGCTTGAAGCTCGTCGCGGACGCCGAGGCGACGGCGGCGAGGAGAGCGAGGGCTTTGAATGAGGCGTGCATGGCTGAGATGAGTAGAAAGGTAGTGAAGAGCGTTTGGTAGAGTGGTCTGGTTTGACTGGGTAGGCTGAGTTGCTGCCTTTCTCTGCCATTGGGACTGGATGTTTTTATATGCTTCGGTCGTCGGTTGGCTCACGTGAAGGAGGATCGTCGCGCACCGCGACGCGGGCTTTGGTCACCGTACCAAGCTCGGGTAATAGGTGTCTTTGGTGCTTTGCAGAGGAACCCCGGACGCGTCGGTCAGTACGGCAATCAGCGGCCGACCACGCGTTGATGCGAGAAGCAGTCTGGTGCAGTCTTCGATGAAATATGAAATGAGCGTTATTCGCTTGTACAGCAATGTACCGGAGGAAAAGAAGCCGGGTGTGCAACAAACGAAGGGCTTCTGCACGGTGAAGATGCAAGTAGCGACTGTAGGGCGTACGGTACATCCGGAGAGGATGTGAACTTGATGCAAGAATGAACGGACAATATGATTAGTAAAGTGATAGCAGCATGCGAATTTCGCACCATCGATGGGTTGAGCTTTCTGGCGATGCTATAGTCGTCCATACCAGATCTCAGCAGTACTACTTACGGGATCGTGGGCAAAAGCAAAGGGCTGAAAGCCGCGGGACGCGCAGCCAAAGCCCCTAACTCGCACCCTGATGCCCATGTCGGACGGCCGCACGTCTTTGGCCGCGCCCCAGAGGCCGCCTCTCCTATCAGCGACACACTCTGCTTCATCGCTATCTACCTCAGCCGCCGGCTCCACGAGCCCATGGATGAAACTGCAGGGCTCACAGTCGCAGCCTCCGACGCCGTTACTGACGCCGTCTTCCCCGCGGCGGCTGCTGATGCCCACCGTACGACCGGTCCGGGTAACGAATGTCACTCGCTCGCCCAGGGTTCGCCAGCACTCGGCCAGCAAGCGCTCGTCGAGGCAAGGATCGGTCGTGGACTCGGCCGACGTCGCCGCAGCTGTTCACGATGCAGAGATCGGCCAGGCTTGGCTCGGACGTCCTGCGCGGTTCGAGGTCACGAACGAGGAATTCCAGTTGACGGGCTTCACCCTCCACGCCGTCGAGAAATGGATCACAGAACGCACCAGGCCTGTCGTCACGCTCGCCGTCTACACCGGCGTGCACACCGACACCATCACCGTCACCGCCCTCGCTCCCTGCCGCACCTTGTCTGCAGAGCAGCAACAGGCCGAGTGGGATCAGGCCCTGCGCGCACTCAGAAGCGCAGGCGCCCGACCGCGAGAGACGCCCATGGGCACCATCATGGTCACGTCTCTCGCCAACTTTCGTTCGGACTATACGCTCGTGCCTATCCCCTCTGGTTCATTTCTCGAGGTCCGCGAGCGTCTGTATTGCAACATCAACTTGCTGCGTATGGGATGCACTGGCCGAACTGCTTTGACCCTTGAGGAACCCAGGTGAGCGTGCCGCTCCGGCCTTTCTATATCCAACTCAACGTCGTAGTGACACCACAAAGGACCGATTCATAGGTGCATATCACGTCGCAGAGTCCGTCCGCTCAAGAGCAACATTTTCCATCACCGTCCTCGCTCTCGTGAAGTTGCTTCAGACGGCGCTTGCGCTTTTCGGCTTCCTCCCGGAGAGTTTGGCACCTGATGGTCTCTTGTGCGATGTGACTGCCGCAAGCCTCCAGCGCTGGGTCGTTGCCTTGGGCGAGCCTTATCTCGGTGTAGAACCTATGGAACGCATCGCCGATCCCTCCGCCGTCTGCGGTCTACTGTCTATGATCACTGCCACCCGTGCCAAACTCTCTGCGCTCGGCTTCTCCCAGACACTGCCTAAAGACCCGTTCGAGTACCCGGCCTTCTTCCGCGCTGCCATCTCGGCTTTTCAAAGCTCGCGCCTATGCACCCTCCCAATCTCGTCGCCCGCTTCGCAGCTCACTCCTGAGACGCTCGAGGCAATCGACCTTGCCTATGACCGTAGCAGGCAGGCTGAGCAGTTCAAGCTGCATCGCATAGCCATGAACAAACTCGACGAACTGCGAGAAGGAATGACGGCGCCGTCCTCCGTCACCGGCACAACAGGCCGAGTTCCAGCACCCGATGCGCCCACCGCGGATATCTCTGCGTTTGTCCGCGCTGTCGAGAAGCGCGGTAAAGAGGGTGTTCCGAGCATCCGATACGTCTGGTCTGGGCGTGCCGCGGAGCTTGCGCAGCGACAGCGTGAACGCGAGCGGGCGATGAGTGACGGGGAACGGGAGGAGGAACGAACGCCTGCACCAAGCATGAGCATGTCGCCTCTACTCGACCGTGAGCGGGATCGGTCCACGCCAAATCCCGACGAGCTTTCAAGCGCCAGCGATGCCGAAGGCCCCCGCCACGTCTGGAGTTCAAAACGTGTCCAGCGCAAGCTCGAATCCTGGGCCACCCGAGCAAAACAGCGCAGTGTTGACCACCAGAACCGTGGGCCAGGATCTGGCGCTGGCCTCGAGGAGGCATGGCAACCTTCCGTCCCGGTGCCCCAGGTCGTAGTCACCTCGAGCCGTGAGGATGATGAAGAGATATTGAGTAGCGGGCAAATTAGCCCCGTCTGTGCGTTCACTGCCCATCTGTCAATTTATACGTACTGATTCCTTTGCGCTCACAGCCAATAGCCGGCTTTATCTTGAGCCTGCGCTCGGTGGTGGGCGAGCGACGGCGGCGACATCGCTCAGCAACCTTTCTGATTTCGACCGCCATGCACAGAACGCGCGAGGTGGGCGTCCGCCTAATCCTCGTGTGACGTCCTGGGCCGACGTCAGATCTGCTTCTGCGGCAGGAGAGAAGAAGAGAGAGGAAGAGGAACATGACTTTGCTTCCCGGCCTCATCATACACGCGAAGATACACTGCGCGCTTTGCCGTCTGGACGAGCAAGAAGACATTCTCCAGAACCAAGTCTGAATCGGAGACGAAGTGCCGATGACGTCAACATGCTCGAGCGCGTATTACCTGTGGATCGCATGAAGATCGACGTCGACTTGTCCGGACAGCTACTGGTGATGCGCCGGCGAGCAGCACACCTTGCCGGAGTGATTTCCATCCTCGGCATCCTCACATCGCAGTTATCTTCGACCAACGCTGCGCTTAAGGACGATCATCGCGCCCATGCCCCTGCGATTCAAGAGGCGCATATGCGAGCTAAGGTCGTCGCGGCAACGGAAGCCGCACGGGGAAAGGCCGGTATCATGCTCCAGGATGCCCGCGCGCTCAGCTATGAAACTGCACAATTCGAACCCGCGGCACTTTGGCGCGCTGTTGCGCCACCTCGGCACAAAGTACTCGCAGCGCGACAACGTGTCCTGGGTAGCGACCGGCACATTCCTGGATCTGTTGGCCGTTATACGAGGGCCTATACTACACTTGACGGCGTCGTGCATCACGTCGACATGCTTGGCCGAACCGAGGATGAGGCGGAGGAGGAACGCGGGCTTCCAGATACCGACGTGGGACCGGACGTCGACGAGGAGGAAGAGCGTGCGCGCATGCAGGCGGAGGAGGTTAAGGCTCGCCGGCCCATGGTCATTCAGCCAGCACCAACTTGGCTTCTGCGTTTATTCGAGAGTTGGACGCAGCGCTGGCGCAAGAGGCCCACTGGCCCTGGAGAGAAGGATGCGAAGCCCAAGCCGCTCATTACGCGCGATGAGACGGACATTGAGGATGATGATGAGCCGGTCGTTCGGAGAAGGAGCGCTTCACTTGAAACAGTCGGTGAAGATGATGAAGATGATGCCGCAACAGAAGTCGAAGGAAAGGCGACGCAGTTCGTCGAATCTGCTACGCCAAGCTCCCTATGGAACGCGAACGACGAGCGTGAGAATGCACCGACGCCTCCCGAGCGGTGTTACTCACCAGAGAGCATCGTCGGATATCAGTCAGATTGAATTCGTTACCCTCCGCACGCTACACGTACCACTAGGAATAGGATGCCGCCTCGAGTTTATGTCCTTCAAGGCAAGACTACCTGCGTCTCCACTGTCAAGTGCCGGCGCTATCGCGGTGCACCCTTCCGTTGTGAAGACCACCAATAAAGGCATTGGCTCTCACACAAACTTCGGAATATCACACCCCAGGTGATAGTGGGGGGAGAAGAGCCGCCAGTGTGTCTATTGGGCGCGCCAGGTTCGATGAACCATTTACTCCGTCATCATGACGGGCTCGGACGCGGTAGGTTCGTCAGTATTGACCACTGTCCAAGCTAGTATGTACTTAAGTCAGCCTCATTTTTTGATACGTTCAGTGTCCGGCTATGCAGTTCAGCTCCCTTCTCTTTGAAAACGACGGAGCGCCGTCCTCAGTCAGGGTCTCAACGAGATTTAACTTCGACTTTCTTAGTGCTGAGGGCGATGTACCGGACGCTCTACTTGTTACACACGACAACGTGCATTTCGCCGTATTTGCCTCGAAGCTGCGCGCAGCTTCATTCAACGACTTCGGCGGCTTACTGCTCTCCTCAAACACGCCCTCCTCGATACCACTCACGTCCTCTGTCTTGAATCTGCTCTTGCACGCAATCTACGGCTTGTCTGCCGCAGAGTATACAAGGGGTGACCAAAAGTCTTTGAACAGTCCGAGCCGCGGCACGCGGGAGCCACGCGGGCGAAACCCCGCGGTGGTGTTCAAAGACTTTCCGTCACCCCTTGTACACCCGATATAGAGGACCTTGGTGCGTGAAACCATTGGGCCGCGTATCAAGTTCGTACTTGACCGCAAACCATCCTAGCTGCCGCCGTAGAGGCGCTACAGCCGCTTGGACTGTCCAAGGAGGCATACATGAAGACGACATCGACGTTATCCCAGGAAATACTGCGCCGCGCGCCATCTGCGCCACTTGTTTGTTACAAGCTTGCCGCGCACGCGGGAATTGAAGAGCTCGCTGTCCTCATCTCACCGTACACCCTTTGCATCTCTCTGAACGTTCTCACCGACGAAGATGTGGTTTGCATAGGAGCGCACTATACGAGACGTCTTTTCTTCCTCCATATCGACCGCGTTGAGGCCATCAAGGGCATCCTACTCCCGCCGCCTGAGCCACATTCTAGCTCATCGACCTGTGACACGTCCTCTGCCCGTAAGCTCATGGGCAGCGGCGGCCGCAGAGCTAGCATGGGATCTTAGCCCGGGTGAGCGAGCATATATACTCGACGTGTTTGAGTTCATATGAACATTCGCTCTGGAAGACGTCTCTGTCACAACACTCAAGACACATCTGCAGGCCGTTGGCCTCGGGATTCAGTGCCCCGAATGCGCCGGGCAGCTGGACCATCGCGTCAAGCAACTCCTTGCTGACTGGTCTCTCATCAAGGCACGTCTTTTGGGAATGAATATTGACCACAAACTGTGCTCACCTTGAAACTAGATGACGATATAATGATTGCAATCGGCCGCGAGTGGCTATTCGGTGATGATTGAACTAGTGGGATTGCCTGGATAGGATAGAGCGACACCAACATCGATACGCAGTGAATAAGATCACGAATACATGATGGCTATACACCCTGATAACATTATTCGAGGTATACTACTTGCGGACCGTCTTGCCTTGGCTCTTGCGAAGATTGCGCCTGCGCTCGCGCTCGAGAATCTGCCAGCGAGATTAGTATGATCTCGATAACGTATGTGTATGATGGTGCACACCTTGGCCTGCTCCGCCGCACTGAGCCCGGCAACCCTGTCGTCCTCTGCCTTCTTCTTTGCTGCTGCACGAGCATCGGCGGCCTCCTCCTTTGCCTCGCGCTCGCGCGCCTCCTTCAATTTCGAGATGAACTCTTCGCGAGCCTTGCGTAGCTTCGTCTTCGTCTCCGGACGAAGGCCAAGCTTATCCAACGAGTCAACAAGTGCGAACACCGCGGTGACAAGGGACACAGTCGCGTCCGCTTCCGAAGGAGGAGGGGGTGTCAAAGTCAGGACCAGGCTGCGCGAGCGAGCGACGGGCGCTTCATCAGGCTGGATAGCCGGCTGATCGGAGAGGATGAGCGAGCGGAAGTAAGGCTTAACCTTGGGATCTTTGAGTGCAGCAAGGAGGGGCGCGGAAGCTTTGAATACGCTATCCGTCACATCTGCGACTTCAGACATGATGGTTAAGTGCGCCGGTAGGTTGGGGTTCTCGGAAGTCTTAGTGAATGACTGATCAGAAAATCAAATGAGCATACTGCTTAGTCAAGCGCCGAAAAAAGCACATACCAGTTCCCAGCACTCCTTGCGGATGGTGGGCAGCTCGTCCTTTGCTACGATGGCGAATACGGCGTCCGGTGCAGCATAGTCATCGGCAAGGGCAAACTCGAGAGCGAGGGTGTCGCGGGGCTCGTAGCTGAGGTCGTACACATTTTGCCAGCCGAATTGGAACGCGAGCTGAAGAGCATCATGCCGGGGACGGAGAGCGAAGACGGTGTGCAGGCTGCGAAGGGCGCGGCGACCGGTGCTGAACGCGAACATGTCGGAGTAGCCATCCTTGGTCAGTCCGCCGTCGAGCGGCCGCGAGAACTGCGAGTCGTACAGCGCCTTGTGCGCATTCAACCTGGCGATACGTGTTAGGGGCCACGTCGGTCGAGTACTTGGTGCAGTACAACACACCATGCACTAGCTTTTTTGGCGTTCGCGCTGGAACCGATCCAGAATAAAGCAAGATAGGCTACGACGGCAGCTACCAGGTATATTTCGAGGTGGAAGACTACGTTCAGGGAAACCGCTCGTCAGAGGCGTTAGGCAGAATGGAAGCTCGACCACACTCACGACCGGGACGGAAGACAATCCATTTCCAGATGACATATTCTGGACCGTCGTACGCCGTCGCATTGAACTGAGGAGGCGTGAAGGCCTTGCCCAGTTGGCCAATAGGCCCGAGGAGCAAGCTGGCCATCGTCGTTGCTGACGACAGTCTGCGGACGTGGCCCGCGATGACAACTTTGATCTCAGGGGCGACACTGCGGACATGTCCACATCGCCGACACCGCCCCTTCGAATGAATATATCTTGAAAGCTCTCATGTGGCACATGGTACCATATGTACACACAGATATGGCAGTAGCTCAAACGTAGATAATACGGATGTGAAGTACACTGCAGGCTCATGCCGAAAAGAGCAGTAATGTTAGTCGAGGCTACGATTCCTAGGTATACGTTGCAGACAACCTGCCGACGATGTAGTCTTCGGTCGTCACGGGAGGATACTTGGCCTCCTTTCCACAGTTCGGCAGGCAAGCAATCTCCGCATTTTGATTAGGATTTGCGAAAAATGCGACGCTCTGTCGACGAGGGGTCATTCCTTCTGTGTCCGAGATGGGGAGTGCGGGAGGCGCTACTACTCGATGAAGCGTCGATTTCAGTACGTCGTTCGACCACCGCGCAAGGAGGTCGCCACAGTTGATGACGATAGTGCCGGGCTAAGTGCGCACAACGTAGTCAGTCGATCGCGAAAGGAAAGTATACGAACGGAGAACGAAACGAAACGCACGATAGGTCTCGCAGGTTGGTACTCCTGCGTGGTAGGGTTCTGAACCTCAAGCCCGCCGACGTTGTCCTGAAACAACAGAGTCAAGGTACCGTAGTCTATCAGTCAGAGATATCAGTACTCAGCCGGATGCAAGGGGTCGATTGCATACCTGAATGCGCGCCAGCACGAGCCTGTCCTGCGCCATGCAGTAATCGTGTCTTGATGGGCGGGTAGTTCAGCAAGCGTAGGTTATGGTACTGCTCATCGATATGCTTCTCAAAGAATGCTTCCTCAAGGTCTAGACCAAGTGCGATAGCGCGCATCACAGATACGTGCAGATCATGGCATGTCTGGAAGAAAGCAAGCATCGTCTCGCGAAAGTGAGGCGCTTCTGCTTCTTCTGGCCACATGTTCTGCCACTTTTTATCCCAGTCCCGTCCGATCTCCATCGTTTCCTTGAAGTCCGGAGCCGCCGCGCGCATCGCAGCTATCTCAGCCGCGTCGCTGCTCTGCGTGACGCGCTCACGACCGATCTGGACGTAGCCACGGTTCGAGCGAGGGTCCTCCCACGCAAGCTTGGCCTGTTCATCACCGTTAGACGCGGTTGAGCATGCCTGCACACAGCATCACGCACTTTGGACGAATGGGGCAGTTCAAAAAAGCGGGCGCTCTATCAACAGAGTTGTTTAGGACAAGGTCTGTGCTTCAAGCTCAAAGCGCACCCTTTCGAAGACGTTTTTGACAGTGGCGTCCGGAATACCATGACCCTTCAAGTAGAAAAAGCCGCTGTCCTTGAAGGCATTGACGATGGAATCTGCTGTCTTCCGTCTTTCAGAGATGGAGCCCGCAGTGCGATAACCGCTAAAGTCGATGATTGGGATGTTGACCACCGGCTATATGTGCGAGCTGCTCGTGAGCGCTCATGGAGGTGGAATGCAAGGTGACGTGGACACGTACTGCGGCGGATGCGAGCCCGGCTCTCGCGCGCAGGACGTGGGCAGAGGCGCGCCGTGTGGCTGAAAGCGAGTTAGACAACACCATCACCATCGTGGTTCAGAACAAGACGCCTTCGGTATCCGGCCTGGGGAGCGGATGCCGAGTATCAGGCTAGCATGTGAGGAATACATGCAGGAGTTGAAGATAAGATAAAGCTCGCGCACGCGGCTACCGAAAAGCCTGATCGAGACAGCTCGAGGCCCGGTGATTTGGGCTGGACCGGTATTCACCTTGCATGTAGTTCAAGTTGGTTGCCGAAAACAGTAGACGAATGTTAGAAATACAGATCTGAGTTGCAAAGTGCTACACTGACAGCCGGTCTTAGGATCAGGAACGGCATCATGCATTCGTCCGGCGCGCAGTGGCTGCCGCGCGAGGTTCGCGAGGCTCTCCCGATACCACCACTAGCGTCTAGTTCAGAGCCTTGCGCTATAATAGATAACTTGTCATCCTCTCTAGAAACTCCCAGACATCATTATGGCCATTCCTAGTGTTCCGACGGCGTCCACGTCGCCCATATCTTCCTAGCAGCACCGGCATTGACATATTGACTGATCCTCTCCGAGTCGGTCCGTCGCAGCTGACTTCGCCGACTCAAGAATGTTTGCATCATTCTTACAGAGAAAAACGTGTTGAGTATCTCGAAACATGGCAGTACACGTAGTGATTACGATAATGCGCTCTCGGGGTGTATTCAATGTCGAGATCATGGTTACAATAATGCACAGCGGTCAGCAAGCCTAGCCGCTCCTTGACCCATCGAGTGTCCCTGATGGATGGGCCATAGATGGTAAGCTTGAAACACAGGACATAAGTACTTACTACAGCAGACTCGCGAGGCGGCGACCGCCACTCAGGTATGCCGGGCCGGGTCGTGGATCTATGCAGATTTAATATATACCGATCAGCCGCGGAGAACAACGGCGCCAGCCTCGTATTGCATAGCGACGCACAGTTGGCCGGGATCGGGGATCATCCACAAACCTCAAGACGGATCCCGCATGTACTGAATAGGTCACCGAGCTTTGCTGACCGCAACGCCGTTGTGGTTGTCAGCCGCTAGCTTGCTTAATTCTCGCTGGCGGAAGTCATTCACTGGTTTCCTGTCTTGATGACTGTCGACTAACTACGACAATGCCGCCTAACATCTATGCACCGCACATGTCGACCCATATCAACAGACGAACAGGATCCGCGCATGAACTTCACGGCAGTTGATCAAGGCCACACTTATCTCCATCTGGACTCTGCTCGTGGATAGAGCGGTGTTGCACAAGCCGACCGGAACACCATGCTTCAGCACATGCCGTCGCTGAAACGCCTGCTGGATTTCCTCGGTCATAGTGGAGAGTAATGCTTAGCTAGGCGGGTAGAAAGTGGAACGATCATGAATCGGATGGGCGTTGACGCGGACGGTCGGAGGTTCAGTCAGACACGCGGTCGATAGCATCACGAGCGCATCATTATGTGCTCTGCAGGTGCTGCAGGTGCTGATTATAGCCTAGTCCACGCAGGTCATCTACCATTATTCTCGCTCCCATCGTGAAGTCATCTTTCGCACCGACGATAAAATAAATAACACGAGTACTGCTAACATTAAGAAGGAATAGTGTACAGTACATGTGCAGATATGCTTGTGGATTCCACTTCTCTGCCCATCAAAGATCTCATGAGGCAAACACTGAGGTGGCAGTCAGTTGTAGATGAAGACATTTTCTAGGCAAGAAGTGGCCGCACCGAAATCATCTCGCACTTGTAAGATAGGCATCGCTGCACCGTCGGAAACGAGAGCTATCCCGAGTAGAAGTATATCTCCGGCGCGGATTTGGCCAGCATGACTGCCAATCCTCCATCGTGAATGGGTGCCGATCGGATGACCGAAGCTTGGATCGTGGTCCTAACGATAGCTCTAGTAAGAGAGGTGCAGCGAAGATTAACAAGCGCCGACTGCCGGACGTACGCATACGAAGTCCCGCACTTTGTTCGCCACAAGACCGGCGAGGCGACAAATAGAACGATCTCCCGCATCACTCATCAGACGAATCTGCTTTTCCCATTCGTCATCGTATCCGGGCCACTGCCAATGAAAGGTCAACTTTGACAGCGAGCGAGATTCATGGCAGCAACGCACGCTCAGTTTGATTTTCATCGTCTTTCGCTCCCTTCGAAACTCTTTCGCGCCGTGCCACAACAGGGGACGATTGCCTTCCACGGGCACACCTAGACCACCATCACAGCGAACGAACCAGAGAGTAGTGCGCTTGAAGCCTTTAACGACGTTCTCGCTACGAGTGACGGAGGTTCTTGCATACGGAACGAAGAGCGTTGATGGAATGATGTGGGACGGACGCGGCGCGGCCATGTCAAGCAGATGCCACCAGCTGGCGCTGCGCGCTTGGAACGTGTGTGCATCGAAGTCAAAGGTTCCCCAAGCGAAGAAAGGAATGGCGTAGGGAGGTAGACCGTGAGGTGTATAGTCTGATTCGCTGAGATCAAGATAGGAGGCTCGAACGAAGTCCTCAAGATTCACCCAGTCGTCTGAAGACGCTGAAGTTTCGGCCTTCCAGACAGAAAGGGCGTGGTCGAAGGCGTGTTTGATGGCGAAGTGAAGACCGAAAGCAGCACTAAGGACTGAGTCGCGGTGTTTGGCCTCGATTAAACGTCGCGTAGAGATTGAGATTGTGTACCCCTCCATGTTGTGGCGCAGAGTTCCGGGAGGTGAATACAGGGAGTGATTCCTGCTCAAGCAAAGCAAGGACTTCGCACTCATATACAGGAGGGCGGGATGTCACCTTCCAACCGACGATGGGTTGAACAAGATGGTCCGTTGGCTTGGAGATGTGCGTCCCTCGAGAGGCACTGGTCTTGTTTTACCCCAAAAGGTGTGGTATTGAGTTTAGCGCAAGTGAATGAACCATTCGCCATCAATTCGACCTCACCTCGAGGCGAGACGTAGATGTGCTGTGTCGTGTTGGTGCGCAACCTAGCGAAGGCGGTAGCAGTCGCCAGTTTTGCGTACTTGCGCAAGCATTTGAGTATCTTGCTGAATTCGCTACCCTGCTACAGAACTATGAAGGGCAGTGGCAAATGCAAGAGGTCAAGTCAGCGCAAGGAGAGCTCCGGTGTCCTTACGGTCGAGCAGATGTGCCTTGTATCCAGGTTTGGTGTTTCGCATGGACATCCTATCGCGATCAAAAGCACACCTACCTCTAGGCGTCCTCAACGTAATTGAGGCCTATCTCAATCATACACTTCCGCGCTACATCTGAAGGTTGGGGCGACTGTCAATGTATGTGCAACCCACCGAGTCGGCGTTGAAGAGTATCCGATAGCTCGTGTGCACTGTGCGATGGCCTTAGCAAGAGAAAAAAGACGGGCTTTCATGAGTGAAAGACAGTACCTCTCCTGATTCTCGCGTGAAACGATACACCGTTCAATCGCATTCAAGACACGAAACGATTGCCGAACTCCGCCTTGATTGTTTCGGATGTACGCGCACACAGTATCCCTTCGAGAGAAACGCCCTGCAACCAGTCGAGATCGCAGAACCAACGTGTTCCCTGATTGTTTCCGAGGGCGAAGGGCGGAGAGAAGAGGTACGAAGTTCATTCGTTACCGAGCGCCCAAGTTGTCCTAGTGATCTTCCCACCAGCGTCAACACTGGGCGATCTGACTAGGTGCTTTCACCGCTCCGATGAATGGCAGATCTTCCGCATGCCGCCGCAGCCTCTAAGCCGACGTCGCTCTCACCCAGGACATCCAACTTCATTCCTCATCAGACACTAGCGCTCACGAAGTGGCGTCGACCATATGCTTTCAAACCTCTTCCCGAGGCCTCAGGCCTCAGGCCGTAGCAGGCACCCCCGCCCGCCGATCTCTATGAATCACAATTAGTCATTACAAGAAGGTATCAGTGCCCGAAACATCCTCGAGGCAGAATAGCGTAGCGCGTAATTTCGACTGTGATGGGCATACAGCCATAACCGGATGTGGGTGCGAGTCTGTGCGCCGTATTCAGTCTCCAGACGTTCGGCCGTAGAGGCATCACGGACATAAGGAGCCCACAGGCCACGACGTCGACTAGGTTTGGCAGTGCCAATCATGGCGCGGAACGCCCACTTACTCGAAATGTGCATAGCTCAGTCATGTTTGGTTACCGGAGTGTGCGTGTGATGGTTGATTGGCGGAGTCGATCTACACGTATGCACCAGTGAGCAAAAAGGGCGTCGTGTACAAGGACGTTCTTAGCTACCGGATCAAGATCAATCCACTTTAGGAAACCCCTTTGTCCTCTGTAAATGTGTGGTAACGCCAATACTTATGGTCAAAGTAGACAGCAACCAGATCGGGATAGACACAGGAAGAAACATCATACCTTCGGCGTAGTCGGACGTGAGACCGAGTGGAGAAGTTGCCGACGTAAGATGATCGACGCATCCACACAGTTGTACTTCATCGACTGTTAAACGCATGCGTATCGTGTTTCAGCCAGCCGGCAACATGCTCGGTGGGCGGTCGCAGGGGGTCAACATCATCGGGTGAACCGAGGCGCAGCAATCTCGATCCGGGTGCTCCGAGGTCGTTATAGCGGCAGATATGCATGCTCGCGGAGAGTAGAGGTATCTTGTTGACTAGATTACAAGCCCAGTGTCCGTCCTAGTATTCATGAGACTCGATCAGTAAAGGAGGATGTTTCAGTGATATAGTTCACCTCTGCTCAGCTTCTGTGCTATCGTCGTATTACGAGCTTCGGACAGAGACATCCGCATTCTGCGCATTGGAAATTGGTCATGTAGGTTCAGCTGGTTAGTGGTCTTAGGTGTTGGCCTCTGTCTAACTTGGGGGGGTTCCGGTGGGTAGCGCGATTTTGGGGTATCTGGCAGAGATGGTAGTGTCAGGCAGCGAAGATAGTAGGGTAGCGGTAAATATCTTCGAGCGGACGATACTCTGTTGCGATGAGTCCATGTGAGCTTTGCGATCGCTTGTACACAGGTCTGCGAACGAGGCAGTTCGGAACGGCAAATGCAGCCATGCTAGCGTGCGGGTCTGCCGAATGGTCCGACTGCTTGCAGCAAGGTCGACAACCCCTTCTGAAGTAAATTTGGCGATCACAACCAGCTACATGGGTTTGACCGCCTATATCGTCGTGGGCGGATGATGGTCAAGAGCAAGCAGTGGGAAGACCGAGGAAACCCGTGGGACTCGATTACCGCGTCCCAACCTGCCGCGCGTGGCGTCTTCCGGCTGTTCGCCGACAACGACGACCACAGGCGACTCATGATGCTCCGCGCTCTGCTCACTGCGGCGCTACTTATTGCTGCTGCTTCTGCATTCTCAGATACGCATCCCATAGTTGCATGGTCTTCGCACAAGTGAGTCACAAGAGCTACGGCTCTCGTTTCGCTAGTACGGCAGGGCTGAGTATATTGTCTCCATAGGACGAACGTACTGGACGGCGCACCCCGAACAGGCGATATTTTGGATCAACTACTGGCGTCGGATGAAATATGCTCCTTTGACGCCGTCGTACTTGCCGAGCAACCCGGAGTACGCCTTGCTTTCGATTCTCCTCCATGGCACTGTACTCACGACGACCTAGTTGCATGCATCAGATCTTCGCAAACTCGCGCCATCGTCTCAGTTCGCTACGTTTCTGAACCAGGCGCCGGCGTCAGTGCAAGTGCCTTTTGCCAGACGTTCGGTGCACGCCCTCGCGGACTCACTCGCAACCCGGTGCGGCGCACGCACGCTCGGCGTCGTGCTGGGCATGAGCGACCCGGTCTTCGACCCGTCTAGCAAGCATGTGATCACACTGTATATGCCTGAGGT